TCAAAATATAAGGATGAAAGGAAATGGGTAGAAGTTGCATTGCCTCGCACACACAGCAGGGGTGGCTGGATTTTTAGTCCTCATGCCTTCACAGGCAACAATTTATGGTCATTATGGTGGTCTATTTCTAGCTATGGTGATGGATTTTGCTCAATTATTGTCCATTATGGAGAGAGATGGCTGCACCATGCTGGAAGTATTGGTTCCCATTGCAGAGACATTACAATGAATTCACTGCTGCATGTTCAGCTGAACCGAATATAACCTTAACTAATAACTCTGTCATTTTGCAACACATAAATGGTGAGGTATTGACAATAATTTTTGACCTTTTTGGCCATTTTTTGTTGCTTAAGAAGAAGAACTTTACTGATCCCCAAAGGCAAATTCATAATAGGGATGAGTATGTAAGCAAAATGTCTTATTTGAAAAGAGTGTTTGATGGAAAAGGAGGAACAGCAAACATAAGTGAAATTTGGGGAAAATGTACCTTCAGTAATAACGTTCAGACCCATAATTTTCTTACATATGTGGTTGGTGTCATAGAATCCACCCATACATTTTTTTCTTTTTTAAACACATGAACTTACTCACTAATTAGCATAATAATAAGAAAATAGACTGGTAGCTAATTCGCAGTCTGCTTGCTAAGCACACACACTGTCATATGGTACCTCTGAAATCCACTGCAAAAGTTTGAGTGTTTAAAACACACTTAAGGTAGATTCCAGACCTCCAGAGTACCTGGATGCATCCACAGAACTTTGAAAGTGGGAGTTTGCTTGGTTCTCAGGTGTTACCAGAAAATAAGGCGATCTCAGTCAGTAGACAGTTGAAGCTTGCTATTTTGACTTGCAAAGTTAAAAATCATATCAGATATTTGAATGGTATTGTTTCTGTTTGTGGAAACAACACGAAGAGGAACAGCTGTTGCCGGTAAGATTGCTTGGTTTCCCTTTGACAACTGAAAAACAAGCAGGGGTCCAGTTTTCAACTGTAAATGCGTTAACAGAGATCAAACTGTGCATGTGTTTGTAGATCTCTGCTGTGTCTGCAGCTCAGTCCTCCTGGTTTATAATGAGATCCCCATAACAATAAATGGATTTCTGGTTGACTCTCCTCCATGCACAGATGTCATTGGAAATGAGGCGTTTTATTAGTTTCGGTGCATTAACCCCAGTGTAAGCCAAGGTTGGAAATGTTATCATGACTGGCTAGCTGTAAGAGCCTGACACATCAGATGCCATGTACTTCGCTAGCAAAACTTCTTATGTCAAAGGTTAAAGAAGAAAGTTATACAAAGAAAATAGGAGCAACAATATGAAAGCCTGGTACCTCTCTCTCTGCAATCCTGAACCACCTTATTTACATAAGTTTATACTCAGCTAAATTCAACAACAGCTACAATTGGGAAAGCAGCAATTGTTTAAAACCATAGACCATGGCCAAAGCCATTTACACTCTGTTCACTCTTGTTCAGTCATACATGATGCAGTACAATACAATACAGTAGGATACAATAAGGCATGGCACGATGCGATACAATATGATATGATAAGATATGCTACGCTACGCTACAATATAATACAATACAATGCAATAATGTCCCCTTGGCTTGGGCAAGTCTGTCTTGGACTCAAGTGCTGCACAGGTTTGACCAGATCCAGAACAATACCAATGAGTAAAACAACATTAAAAAGTAGCAATAACTCATGTAAGAAAAAGGGCTAAATAAAAGCACTTATAAACTTTAGATTATACTTATCCTCACATTCAAGCTACTAACTGCAGAGGGCCTCAAAGTAAATTAATGTTTTTGACATCTTGGAATGTCAGGAGGAACTGAAAATTCTCTTTCAGTTTCAGGCACTTGTCTGAGCTCATTTTAACATAATTTGAAGGCTAGTTAAAGACAGCAAGCATTACAAATGAATTTGTGATTATGGCAATATGCAAACAAATAGATACAAGAACTAAGGTTTTCTCGTTTTAAGTCTACAATGAAGGGTCTATTATATTAATGTGTTAAAATTAATTTTGAGTCTGCTACTATTGATAAAGATTTTGATATCGGCTGTTCTGTACAAGTATGCAGGTTGATCAATCAAAATTAGATTTAAAAAGTTTATCATTCATTCAAAAAATATTTAACATAAGATATTTTCATCCTGTTATTAGTGATAGAAACAAATGCACCACATAATGTCTAATAGGCAAATTTTCCACAGCGACTTTTCCGCTTACAGAATGTTAATGTCTGAATAATGGAGAAGAATTGGAAATAGGGGGTTGCCATCATTCCTGGCATGGTGATGCTGCAGTGGCTGTTGTCTCGCCAGGACTCAGCCCGGCAGTCAGCACAAACTAAGGGTAATTGAGAGCAAGAAGTCCCAGCCAGTTACACAGGGGGGGCCTTCACGGGCCTCTGAATGCCACCGTAGCCCCCAGTGGGCATTAATCAAAATGCCCGATCAATAACTTCTCAAGTGCTAATAAGCACTGGCACATTTCGTGATATGTGAGCCCCTTCATCATTTCAACTACCCAGAGATTTATAGGAAATCCATTGTTAGGTCCAAAGTATGAGGTAATGTAGCACTTAGTAAATGAAGTAAAACCAAAAGCCTGAGGTGATTTGTATTTCATTTACAAAGGACATGTCTAATCATTAGGAACTCCATCTCTCTGAAAAGCAACCGAACGGCTGTAATGATGCCTCTGTTCTTTTATAGCTTACTTACTCAGCAATGATGCAAAAGACAGTGATGCCTTCACTGTCCTCCACTCCTGACTGGTCCACTTCCAGATAGTCACGGGGGGACTCTAGCCCACTGTGGAGTGATTAAAGTCATGTTAGGGAAGCATTATAGGTCAAGTCATAAAATAATTTGATTTCTGTCCCCCCCACTGTCTCCTATCAAAGTGATTGGTCTCCAGGTCATCTCACCGGCTGACATAATTGTTAATTAACCATTATGGGCTGCCCTCTCTCATCCATATCTCACTGCAATTACTCATTAGACAACAATACAATATATCACGGTGCATTATGTATGGACGCAGAGCTGTTTTATGAGTATGAACCTCCTGACTGTCATTTAAGTGTTTCACATTTACTTATGACACTTACTTTGTTTACAGAATGAATGGTTTAATCCATTTTCTTTTTGCACATCATGTCCTCTACAGGTGCCTGAGACGAATCCCTATGGTTTAGATTTTTTTTCTGTTTAACCTGTTTTCAGTGCAAATATGCAATACAGTTCCTATACATTTTTCCTCCTTTTTCTCAACCTTTAAGTCATCAGTTCTTTACACGTCAGGGTAAGTTGTCTTTTCAAAAATACCACAGATCAGGTAAAGAGGTCCAGGGGGAAGAAAGTTAAATAAAAAGCTCTTTAAAATGGTATTCATGAAGAAAAAGACAAACAATGTACCTGTTGAAAATAAAAGCGCACACTGAAATCCATTCTGATGACAGTTGAGAATGCAGGCTTTACGGAGGACTTGAGCTCCATCTTTGCCGTATCTTTTAAGCGTGATTATTTACTTAAAACAACAAACCCAAAGCCCCAGGTCTGGGGTTGTGGACGACAGGCCTTTGATTGAGCCCTAAGCTTGAATTCTTAGCTAATAAATTGTTCCTCGCCTTTGTCTGGGGCATTAACAGCAGTGGTCTGGGTTTTTCTTGCCCTAATCTCAAGAATGCAGCAGCCTCTTGAGAAGCTCAGGGGTTTCCTCCTCTCCCAGAGCCGGGCCTTCACTTTGTTTTCTTAGATTGACAGGCCTCACCGTTAGCCTGCTCCTCGGCCATCTGTTTTCACCAATTCTGACTGAACACATCAAAGTCAATCAAAGCTGCAAAGCATTTTAAAAGTCACACACCCCTTTGCCGTGTGTGAGAAATAAAGAAAACTTTTCATCAGGCTCACAAAAAGAGTCGGTTTGGAAGGGGTGTTTGTGTGTATGGTTTTCCATGTGAGGATGACCTGGGAGGGATCCCTGAGCTCACAGCACAGGTATGAGCAGCTTAGCTTTGTTCAGCGCCTACTTCGACGACAGCTCGGTGAGTCACCTAGACACAGAGATTTACCTCCTTTGGTCGGGTTCCAGCTATTCACTGACAACTCCCTGACAATAAAATAATCATTAGTGAGATTGAGACACAGCACACAGTTCTCAAGGAGCAAAAGTGTCTTGGCATGGTGATTGAGAGAACAGACACATAGAACTTTGTAAAAGCAAAACTTCCATCATAGGTGGAACAAGAAATATCCATCACAGTAGTATGACATAAAGATACTCAGTAAAATGAACATTATTTATTTCACCTTAGGCAAACTACATTTGTTTGTAAAATGTCCATATCAAAAGACAGAGAGTAGTAGTATTCAAGGTGACCTAATCAGTTATTTTGTAGTCGGATAGATAGATAGATAGATAGATAGATAGATAGATAGATAGATAGATAGATAGATAGATAGATAGATAGATAGATAGATAGATAGATAGATAGATAGATAGATAGATAGATAGATAGATAGATAGATAGACAGACAAATACTTTATTAATCCCAGGGGGAAATTCAATTTAAGTCATTCAAATTCAATGTTAGTCATTACTTTAACATAAATCAACATACTGAGTTTAAATTAAGATGATATTTTTGATGTATACAGTATATTACTATGTAAACATCCATTATGTCTCAAGTCTTATACTTTTTTAAATACAATTAGTTTAGTGAAAGTACAGTGCTTCTTTTTATCTGTTATATAAATTGTTCAAAAGTGATTCATAGATGAATTTATGAGTAGTTGCTTAGCTATACTAATCTCATTCTGATATTGTGTAGTTTCAATATGAAATGTCAATGTGAAACAATCACAAAAGTATAGAAATTAGATACACTTGAGTTCAAATACAAAAACCATTAGATTTACTATCATTTTTTAAACCATACAATCTAAAAACACACTTTAAAACACAGAGAGCCTGCCCTCTTTATGGTACTTCGTCATCTAGAAACATAATCCAATCAGATAACGCAGAGCTCCCGGCTCAGCCAATCAAAGGCAGCGATGAAGCTCTATACGGAGAGAAGGAGGGTCCTGTCTGGTTGCCTAGTAACCGGTCAAACACCATATTGCTAGGATGTCAATGCGGAAGGTTTGGATTTGTTTGGATTTTAGCGGATTTATTAACTTTTTAAAGGTGTTAATTAGAATTCAGACATACGTTAGAGAGACTTTACAATTCTTTACGTATGTAACTCTAGTTTGTGGGCTTTTACTCGAGTTTAAATAAAAGTATGTGTCGTTTGTTAGACGGAGGTACAGCTGTCCCGTTATTGTACATGTCGTGTTGAGGCTACTGAAAAGAAATAGATCCAAAGTTTACATTTTTGTCTTTGTTGGAATTATTAAAAGGTTTTGCTTCCCATCCGTTTATGAAATGCTGTGTTTTAAATAGCCTAATATTTCATTTTCAGGGCTTGACATCTAAAGCAAACAGGGAGCTGGTGCTCACCTCAGTTGCTTTTCATGACCACATCACACGCACCTTTCTGCATCCAGATTTACTGACTGACCCTCTGCTAAGATCAGACAGAAGACCTCACAGAAATCCAAAAGCAAGACGAGCATCAGACAGGAGTCAGCAAAGACAAGCTCAACAAGAAGAGAGGGAATATGTTCTTAACTCTGCTCCATCTTCTTTGACATTAGGTAAAACAAACTCTCTGGAAAATTTGGAGTCCTTGAATGTGTCTAATGAATATATTATAGAGTTTTTTTTTTATATCCCGTAGCTCAGAAGTGGGGTTTGGTGGCTCCCCCTGCAGAAAGACTGACAGAGGATGAATGGATGCAGGTCAAGGCGAGGTCTGTGAAGCAGGGGGAATCAGCTCAGCCATGTGCTATATGCAGGGAGGAGTTTCACCTTCAGCCCCAGGTATTTCCCCCAACACAGTAGCTACTGTTAATACTCTGTGAGAAAACACCGCCCGTCCTTTCTTTTAATATGTTTCCAGTGTCCTGTCTGTCCTCAGGGAAACCTGTGTTTCCGTATGGGTACACACACAAAGCCCCCACACAGCCCACCTCCCCCCTGCAGTTCCTGTATGTTCTAATCTGTGTAGACAACTGTACAAATTTACCCATACTGCCTTGGAACTCAACTGTGACGTGATGATGTAGCAATCAGTGTGTTACTGTGAGGGTCATTCAGTCTTTTACACCTTTCCGATCCCCTTTTAAGATGCCAATCTCCTCAAGAATGCGGGACTAGAATAGGCGGCCTCACAAAGCACAGTTGCCATAGATGCACGTGTAAATATTAGTTTGACTCAGGGAGGAAAAAAAGTTAATTAGAGCCTGCTAACAAGAGAAAGTGACAAGAGGGAATCTTTGTTGATTTGGCATTTTCCTGCAAGCCTTCATATTGTAACAATGCATTTGTGTGCTGCCGTGTCGTTGCATTCAAGCAATAATATGACAATTAAAAATGCTTTCAGCCGCAGTAGCACTAAATCAGAAAACTGCCTTTTGTTTTTTTTTAATACTTCACACAAATTTTCTAAAAGAGACAAGATGTGAGGAAAGAGTCATGCTTCTGTTTTCTATCAAATTTGAGTTGGATTTCTGTTTCTGTGTCTCTTGAGCTTGCAGTATTGTGAAATTTCTTGCTGCTTTATGGCTTGTTGTGCTCCTGGAAATTGTACACTGCAGGGGGTCCTTCAGTGGTGATGGAGTGTGTTGGTCAGGCCAAAAACAATGGGAAATCAATATTCCCCCTCCCTCCAGGGATCTGAGTAAACTGGCTTTTGTGCCAAGCTCCATAGCTGTGGCTGGTTTCTTTCAGACGATAAAAGCGCCCCTCTCACAGGTAGAGAAGACTACAGTTCAGGTCCCAGCTGGCCCACTGGTGGTCATGCTGACTCCCTCTATCCTTTCAGCAAATAACACTTAAAGGCAGATACGCACATTCACATATGTGCATGAATACACACAGACTTAGCATTTCTTAAGGCTCATGAACACACACCACATGCACAATGGAGAGCACTTCAAGAAAGCCTGAAGCCAATACACACTCAGGAACATCCTCTGGAGACTTAACAACTCATACAGTCAGCTTGGTTTAGATGCTTGTTTTCATTTACTCGTATATTTGATACAATCTCTAATTCGAACATACTTTTATGTCTCTGTGTTCTTTTAGGTGTTGCTGTCCTGTTCTCATGTTTTCCATCGAGCCTGTTTGCAAGGCTTTGAGAGGTTTTCTAGAAGGAAGTGCTGCCCCATGTGCAGAAAGGAGCAGTATGAGACCAGGGTGATCCATGATGCAGCCCGACTCTTTAGACACCAGTGTGCCACCAGGTACATCCTCTATGAAAACCCATTGTGGTGCGAACAGAACATTCTTATTCACAACATTGCACAGTAGGAATTCATCACAAATCTTACCCAGTGGTTTAATAAAAGACTTTTCGAGAATAACATACAAAATACTGTTCATGGTCCCAGGTGTTAATCCATCATTAGTTCAAGAACTCTTGATCAAGAATCAGACAGAATTAAAGATGGTGGAGACCAGCTGTTTAATAAAGTCAGGACATTTCATTGCAAATGTTGTGTATTTGCTTTATGTCATAAATAAAGGTGTTATCAAATTTCTGATCATGCAGTTGCGCATACAGTTATAATTCAAAGTATTTTTACATGGCTTGTCTATAGTTGCTGTATGTGGTCATCTCAGATGTAATCATGTGTCAGGATAAAGTACAACTTGCTGAGAAAGGTAATGTTGTTTTAAATAAACAGTATTAAATCAGCCCAACAAAGGAAACTAGCATCACACAAACATCTCTGCAAAGCTTGAATTCTGTTCATTTTAATTAAATTTCACTCTTGTGAGATGTTTCAGAGGATGTTGTAATGACTGTATCTTTGTATCTTTTCTGTATATCTGTGTGTGTTAAGAATTCAGGCGGCCTGGAGAGGCTACGTGGCCCGAAAAAAGTACAAGAAACTGAGAAAATCTGTCTGTCCGAAGGATAAGAGACTGAGGCACAAATTCTTTGAGGCAAAGGTGAGTTTGGACTTGTCGTCGGTGTAGATAATTTAGGATGGTTATCATCCCTCATGAAGTCACACCGCCCACTACATGTCTCTTTGTGCTCTTTATTCCATTCAAACATTTTAAAACTCTTTAGTCAGTCAAATAAAAACTGGAGTAAAAACGTCATCTTTAGGGTTGAGACCTGGGTTTCAGGGACTCTGTGACCCCACTGCCAACACACACACCTTCACCTGTTCTTACCCTCTTGGGCCCCTTTGATGCTTTGTGAATCACACACTGTTTGTCCAATAGTGTTGAGAGTGTTTTGTTGTAGTCAAACAGTCTAGACCTTTCAAGGTCAACACAAAGCATGATTTGGGTCTGGTATCCCTTCATCTATCTAAATGTCTTGTGAGTGTGCGTTTTTGTGTGTTGCCCTGTTACTGGGTATGATGGGTGAGGGTGAAGAGGTGAGGTTGACCAGGCTGTCATGTCAGGCTTTGTTCTCGTTACCTATTTCAAAGCTATAAATCATGCAACGACTGGGCTTGACAGAGGGATTATTTTCAAGTGGCCCAAAGTTGTTTGACTCTGAGGCTGAGTTGCCTTCATGGTCTCTCATAGGAAAAGGGAACATTGCCACCTAGTGAACCTCCCCCAACCAAAGTCTTGGATGACCAAAGACAAGACTGGTCACCACGTCTTTTTTTTTTTTTTTTTTTAACCAAATATCAGTTTTTTGCAGACTTAGTTTTCCAATCCCTCCATTAACCCTGCTTTAAAATACTCATAGCTCCAACACATGTGTGGTGTGTTCAGTGTCTACAAGAACAGGGTCTAGTTGTCCTTTTGTGGGTTGTTCTAATCATGCAGAGTGCTCCTGCGCCCCAGAGGCTGATTAAGCAAAAGTGACACACACATGAGGCCACACTTTTAATGTTTTCAAGGGTCTGAGATTCCTACCCATCCCCCTGTCCCTACCCATCATCAGGCCTATAAACACAGCCTCAACATGTCACGTAAACAAAGACACAGCATTTACCGAGCCAATTAAGTGTGTTCTAACACATTAGGCCATGTCCAGGTCCACACGCTGTGGATGGAGTCATAGCCGCTGTCAGTCACTTTACATTCAGACTGTGTGATTCAGTAGTTGTGGGTGGTCATGAGATTGTCTCATGTCTTTTGTCACGCTGAGGATGATCTTCAAGAGCTTTGAGCTGCGCAACACAGCGCTGACAGGTCTGATGGACCTGATTTTCAAGGGAAAGACTTATTTGCTTAGCTGACTGTAATGCAAACAGGCGTGTCAGAGCTGAGCTGGAACCTGTGTGAGACGAGGAAACCTATTCTTTCGGTTTTTCCTTGTAAAAGCAGGGGGGCAATAAGGCATCTTTGTACCGCCGGGACACAGGTGTTCCCTTGGAAATTAAAAAAAAGGAAAAAAACTCCCATGTATCAGTCTGTTCAGAATTCTTATCAGCTGATCCTGCTGCCCAGCTTTCAATTTTTACTCTCTTTGGCGGTCCGACCCTGAGTCAACACATTAAGGGTGACACCACCGACACATAGATGGATTGCTGTGAGATAACGCCGCTGTGCTTCTACATCTCCTCCCTCTGTGTCTCCTCCTCTCCACATCTCCTGTGGAGCAAAGGCAAAGTTCAGAGGAGGCTGTTCTGTTTGCCTTGACTGTCGAAAAGTCAGCCAGGCTCATAAAACCCTCCATCTCAGCGGTCAACAGTTGTTTAATTAGTGATAAAAGCCCCACCGTAAAGCAATTCTGATGCCACTGTGACAGGCTGAGGGATAGGGTCTCTGTTTGTGTGTATGTAAGTGTAGATGAGTCATAGATGGAGAGACCATGTACATGTACCCAAGCAGGTGTATTCCCAAGCTACATGTACCAGCAACATAACTGCTCTCTCCAGATACAGTGCAACAGTCAATGTATCTGCAAATCTATTTCATGCAAAGGTGCCCATCACCCCCAACTCCAGCTTTGCATTGACCTCTCAGCTTTTCTCTGTATATTTGAGATTCAAGTTTGTTGAAAATGTACATGATATTAAAATGGCATTTTCAGTTTCTGGGTGTTATAGTCTTTCTATATCTTTTTTTTTTCACATGTCATAAATCAAGAAACCAAATTATTAAAAAAATATCAACAGATGAGCCACAAACTGCAGTCTTATATCAGAGCAGTTGTGCGTTATCACATACAGCCGCTGAAGTACTAAAAGGACTTTTTAAAGGCAGAACTGTTCCTCAACAGTGGATGTGGTTGTGGTTTGCTCTGTTGTCATAGCGATGGTTCAGTTGTCATCACTGAATACAATGACGATGATGTTAGACGCTGAATTTTCTGTTAATTGGTCAACAACATGGTGCTGTTGAAACCTATATCTATAAATAGCCTATTGTCTAATGAATATGTTTTTGATATAAACATGCATATGCGGGCATTAATTGTTGCCTAGCAACAGCTGCTGTGATGGGAGAGGACAGATAAGGAGGACAGAAACTGGGAGAAAGTCTTTGAAACCTGTCAATTTAATAATGAAAAGGGGGTGGCCCAAATAAACACACATCGTTTAGAAACTGGACTGTATAAAGACTGAGGTTAAAGTTCAATTACGCCAAACCTCACAATATGAAACATGCATTCTTAGTGCCTAAATTCATTAGATGTTATAGCTTATATTTATTCAGTAATTGTATTCAACATTGTTTTCACTTTAACAGTAACAAAGTGTTGCTGATGAAATACTGAACCTTTATTTGTTGCATTAAAAGTGGTAAAATCTTATCTAAATGTAAAATCCAACAGCCGTGGGATCAATCTATAAACTACCCAGACAGAAAATGTGTCAGAGATGTGTGTAGTTCCATGTTTCCCAACACTTTTTACTGGTTTCCATTAATTTTCCATGTTAGTGGGAGACGTGACTGTATTGATCTGGCTGTTTAACAACTACACCCTGTCAGCGTGCCTCAGCCATTACAATACACACACATGCACACACACGCAATTAGCCTTAGCTGAAAACACGACTCTATTGTGTATCTGAAAGACACATGCCTCCTTTGTGCCACTAAAATGGTTTTTCTAATTAGTTGCAGGAGCTGAATGACAGCTTTGTCCGATACTGTCATACCGACACAGAGGCTTTTCTGAGTGATATCAACCGCTCACTGTCATCCTGCAGACGAGTGTTTCAGCAGCTGGAGAGGAAGAATGTCTCAGAACCTCTGGAGAGCGACTGGGACCAAATTCAGAGCCAGGTCAGGTTCAAGACACACTGTAAAGGCGGCATAGAAGTGTGTAATCCTTGTCTGATTCTTCTCCTCTAAGCCTTGCCTTTCCCTTGACATGTCAACACTTGCATGGGGACGAGAGCATCACAGCTGTTGTACAGAAAGCACACATCTCAGCAGAGGTCATCATTCACGTTAACCAAGTGAATGGAAATGAGGTTGCCTAATAATCCTCCATGTTTACCAGAAAACAAAAGACAGTCTGATAATGCACGACAGCCTTTTCAAAGCCTGGACTGCTGCGGAGGAATTGAAAAGACATTACGATTTGCTGTTCCATAAGGCTTCATTGTTGGCTTTCTGTGCAAGAAGCACTTTTTTCCATAGAAGGGGGGGTGGGGTGTGTGCAAAGAAGATGTCTTTATTTTTTTTTTTTCTTCGTCTTCTTCATCTTTTGGTGTGAAAAGGTTGAGCGCACGGCAGGAGTGGCTCAGCCTTGACATGGAGTATCAAGCAGGGAACGCGCTTTCAACACATACCTTGCACCTTTTTCACGGGTGCAAACTCTATAAAGCTCGTTATGAGACATTTAACAGCAAGAAATGTTGGCCTCCAAACACAGGAAGAAGTCTCTGGTTAATCATTGGTGGAGCTGTGCGTGTGTTGCCTTGTTTTCATAAGGATCACTGATAAACACGTTATCACCTCATGCTTGATCAAACCAAACAGGTGGTTGCCAACAGAAGTCTTTTTAAAACAGCAAAACCAAAGCAAAAAAATAAATACTTAACAGTAGACTCTGAAGTTAGACTAAAAATCTGTTGTTTCGACAGGTTATCCAGAGAGGAGTCTGGGATTGCCCCATCTGCCTGACAGCTCTGAGCAGCCTGTGCCTCCAAACAGAAGCAGATACATCCAACCATGGAGAACACAGACGCACCGTGCTTCTCTCCTGCTCCCACCTCTTCCACCAGCTCTGTTTGGAGGCTTTTGAGGCTTTTAACATGGAGAGCAGACCCTCCTGTCCCCTGTGCAGATCTGTCTACTACAAAAGAGTCATTTAAGCAGGTCCAAACATATAAATCTGCATTTTTTCATCACCTCATGCAGTTGTATTTGTAATCTCAGGCACCCATTATTTGTCAGCAAAATACAGCTGATAATGTTGAAGGAGAGAGCATCATTTGTTCATTCAGAGGTTTTCTGTTAATTAATCTTGTAGGTATAGCAAACAACATAATATTAGCACTCTTAAGCAGCACATAGGTTATGGTGACCATATTCTAATTTGCCAAAAAGAGGACACTACTAAGTGGGGCGGAGCTGTACGTGTGTTAAACCTTGGGGTTTTTTTCGGGTCAGGTCGAGTGTTTTTTCGTGCTTCTGACTCAGTTTAACGCATATTTCGAATGAACCATTGAACGTGTGTGGTAAATACAATAGTCTGTGATGCAAAGATAAAGTACACACTACACGAACTCAAAACTATGGAAGCCTGTTTCCGCCAGTGAAAAAAAAAGATGAGATAAAATGTCGCGACAAAAGACGACATTTTATCTCATCGTTTTTTGTTTTTCTTTGTTTATTTGTTTTTTACTGGCGGAAACCGGCTTCCATGAAAAACCCCAGACATTTAAAGGATTTTATAAACTTCCCCTGGACAGCCCCCCGAAAAGACGACATGTCCGGACGTATGGTCATCCTAACATAGGTAGGAGTCTAGCAGCTGCTTACATCATCCAAGCTTAACATCTTATAGACACTGACTGACTCACTGTCCTCAAAACTACCTGGCATTCACAAGGACAAAAAGTCCTATTTCTTGACATACAGCAGTCAAGAGCGCCAACTTCATATTCTCGCTGGGTTTTCCCCTTATTTACATCTTTATATGTAAAGTCAATCACATCCTGCCAAAGAACAACCTGCTTTCCCCAGCATGCCAGAATGCCCTCTTAATTGGTCCAAGTGTCTCATAATGAATGCAAAGATATTTCCAAAGCGTTTTTTTTTTCTACTTTTATTTGCAAACACACAAAACATCAAAAAAATAACGAAACATACATATAGCAAACTGAGAAACTGTAAAAAATACATTCACAAAACATGTACCAAAATTTACATGCAGAGACTGACTGACAGAGACAGAAAAAATAAGCTGCTTTACTTACAGTACAGGCCAACTCTCAACTTTGAAACGCCCCAAACACAACACAGAGATGTAGGGTAAAGGCAACCAAAGAAGATTGCTTGATTGGAAAATGGACGTTTGATTTCTTACGTCTGGAACTACAGCAGGAGTTTGATTGTGATGTTTTATTAGTACAGTGACACATCCCTGCTAAATATGATGGAGCTGGAAGAAAAAAACCCATTCATTCCATTGTGTTCATTCAGACAAAGTCGTTAGTTAGATTCATTTACACTTAAAATTGCCAATTTAAATAATCACTTTTTGGTTTTTCATTTCACTTTGGGCTATCTTGGTTTTTCACAGTCTCAAGTGTCAACAAAAAAAGGTTCAGAAATACACATAACAAATGGAATTACAAATAATGTACAAGACAATCTACCAAATGTTTTGCCCAGAAGTGTTGATAAACCTGCACTTTTAAAACCATACCTCTCAGAACTGGAAGCCTAGACCACCTTGTTTTTGGGGTGATTGGAGCTCTTACATGAAGGGGTCAACTGTTATTCAACATTCCCTGGTCTGGTTTGCCCATCTAAGAAGATGGCTTTACAATGAGTTTGGGGATTGAGAGTAGCACTTGTTTTTTTTTTTTTTAATAAATCCAGTCTTTGTAATAAAGCAAGAACTAGTGATAAAAACAAATGGCAGACAGCTTTGTTGTCAAACATTCTCTGTCTTAAGAAATAAAAATGGTTATGCATAAAAACATGAAAAAATCCTCACTTCCTTTTTTAACCATGTCATTGTAGCCACCATTAAAACACGTGGCTTCTATTACACCATAAAATTAACACCAGTAGATCATTCCAGCCTATTCTATCAAGTGCTAAAGTTTTATGGGTAATGATTGAGTCTTAAATGGATCCTCTGGAAAGGGCTGCTGTGACAACATTCATGGCTTGATGCAATATGTGTGTTTAACCAGCTGGCTTTAGACTAAACTCAGTGGTGTACAGGGGTATCACAGTGAAACTGTCTACAGACGATGTTCATGTACACATACCGAACATGTAGATAAACTACACAGAACAAGAAAGAACCTTAACATGAAGCCTGCAGGATGCTTTTTTGTATAAGGCATTTAAGGTGGTTCTAGAGACAAAGAACGTCACAGTTTAGACAACTATGCAGCAATATAACAACATGTAAATGGGGCCTGAGTCACAGAGTCTAATGGCTGCAAAGTTTTTCACTCATGCATTCTGTTTGTGAAGACTGTTTCAGGTTTGTATTAGAATCAGGTATATGAAAAAAGAAAGGAACTATTTACAACAAAATCCAGAAAGCGAAGTGGACCAGACCCTCAGTGGGCTACTATTTACATCCAAATTATGCAAAAGAGGTATGAAACAGAATATAATATGTACATGTAAATACAACATTTACAAAAATCACACAATTTCTCAAAGTTTTCTATGCCCTGTCAATTTAAAATATTGTTTTGGGGAGATGAGCTAAATTTGATCACTTTTATTATGTGAATAATAAAACCCTAGAAAATAAAAACCACAGGATCAGCTCTTACTGCACCACAGCTTGTCGAAACTGAGGCGGCAGCAACTCCCTTGTAGTTTCCCATTTGGAGAATAGCTCAATTCTAATCTAGAGCACCTAAAAAAGATCCTACCCTACTTCATACACACTAATGACATCATCAATAAATTTAAAGCGCACTTGTGTAAAGCCAAATAAAAAGACAAATGCCAGCAGGAGTGCTAAAATCCGAGGCCTGTCAGGAATGACAGCTCTAATGCATAAAACGTGAATCGTATTGCCGTGCTGTTTAATGTAGTGGAAGGGGTGTGATTGGATGACTTTTGTGCTTCGTGAAGCACATGTTGTTTTCAAATGTGAAGCTTTAACAAATTAAATATAACAGTATGACACCTTATTAACCTTCTGTCAGATCACATTACAATCAAAGACCAATTACTGAAGACTAAAACTGTAAATGCTCCATGTTCCACCAACACTGATTGCTGTGGACATACTGACATAACCAAATGAGTCTTAACAGAACAGTTGGGAAGAGCAGGATGATGGGAGAGAAACCTCTGCCATTAAGCTAGATGTAAAAACTAACTTACAAAAGGTGTATTATTTCACCTTCTCAACTCTCTTTTGTCTCGTATTTTAGTGAGGGGTCCTGTAGAGGTGAAACAGGTAGTGAAGCAGGGGCATGGGGGAGCGAACCCTGAAGCGAGAGATGGTCGGTTTAAAGTCACAGTCATGGTTGAGGTCAGCATCAAGGTGACTGCAGTGATGCCAGTCTGTCACTCTCCGGCCCCGTCCCTGAATCTGTCTCCGCCTCCATCCCAGACGCACAGGATGGAATGTCATGAAGCTAAATTGCTCTCAGCCTCCATTTGCAGCATCCGTCAGACACTGCCCAGGTTTATTAAGTTCCTTCCAATCCCTTTCACCTTTCAGCAGTCAGGCAGTACTGTCGAAATCTCCCTTTGGCTGTGCTAAGGTGTGTGTGTGTGCGTGTGTGTGTGTGTGTAGGTGTGTGTTGATCTATTGTCCCTTTCACAGAGTTTTCTGATGCCCGTTGGCCGAGAGCTTCCCAGATTCAGGGTCTGTGGGGCTGTTTGACAGTTGCAATTTATCCAGACCTGGGCAGGGGGAGATAAGGGAGAGAAATCTCATTAAAAAGCCTCAGACTTTCACTTAGACAGAGGTATTGATGTGCTTTTTTTTTCCCCCTCACTGCCTCTGTCTGACATTTTCTAACCCTATCCCATCCTGTGTATCAAACACCCGAGGCCTGTCACCACCAGCTTTTGAGACTAGCTCCATCCTCTGTCACATGTCAGTCCTGCAGCACATTGGATCTCACTGAATTTCTTCTATCACTCTTGGCTATGCTGCCAGAGAAATTAACACTTTTGCCCTTCACAACCGCAGAGCAGGTTGGTGATGTTGGTGTTTGGGACCTGACCTTTCTTGTTACATCTTAAAATGATCTACTTCATAATTTATGGTAAAGCAAAAACAAGGACTGTGAGAAAGACGAAGGGAGAATACATAGAGCTCTATGAAATTATTTTAGGAGCAGTTTCTTCACATGAGAAATATGAAGACAAAGACAAAGTTACCCAGGGCTTTCAGAAGCTCTTCTCGTACTGCTGAGGTAAATTTCCTCACAAGACAGAGCGTGGTCACGACTGCAAACAGCAGGTTATAGGAAAGGACGATGTAAAAGTTTCCCAGCCAATTAAATCTCCCAAAGTCTCCCAAGAGATCAAACCTGGTGATACCTGTGGAGAAACCGACATGAAAAAAACAAGTCAAAGACAGCAAGTTAATAAGTTCCCACCTACTGGGGAAAGACGTCTCTGAAACAACTCTAACAGCATAAACAGCATTTATGTTTGACTCAACTAAGAGGCATGAAATCACTTTTCCAGCAAATATTTTTAATGGCAAGAAATCTTGAAAAACAAAGTGGTCAACAAGCATGGTGCCTCACTGAAAGGATTCTATTTTTTGAGAAAACGACTTTCAACAAAAGCTTAAGGCGTCACCAAATGGCACTAATAAGATTTGATTTTATCTTTAGTTAAGGTGTTTTAAATGTGTATCTTTTCATTGCTCCCCTATTTTAAGGAGTATAACAGTCCAGTCTGAGAGTTAAGGTCCTTTCACACTGGGACCGTTTTTATTGTGCGATTATTTTGGACGTCAATACTTTCTTTCCAACCCGTATCCTGTCAATACAAGCGTTCACATCAGTGACGTTTTCCCATCCTGCGATATTGCAGCATTTATTTTTTTTGGATTACGGTCAATTTTTCTGAAGTTTTGCATACTGTGTGTCCACTTCTGACCGATCAGATTTCGTGTTGTTGCGACGTCGGATTCACCTTTACAGCCAACATGGCCGACCAGCTGATTGTTTACGTGTCGGAGAACAGAGTGCTTTTTGATAAAAAAACACAAACATTACAAAGACAACGACCTGAAGGACAACTTGTGGAGAGTCATAGCTTCGGATTTCTCATATGACGATGGTTTGTGTGCTTTAACAGTTTGCTAAACGTCTTTGTTTTAACTTTCATCTGTGCTAAGTAATTTTAGCTCGTAAGCTAACCTGTTCAGATACAACATACCATATGTATTTTCACTGTCTCAAACTCAATCGCGTTGCTGTCACAGCACCATTAGGTCTCGGTTGTTACCTTATGTTTATGAATTATAGTTTAATGTGCTTATCTGGTACTGGCCCCGACTCAGTACATGCTATCATGACAGACAGACATCTCAACACTAGTGTCTAATCAGAACTGAAAAACAGTCAGTCCAGTTTTGTGTCAGTCTTCTCGCTTCCACCCTGGACGCGTCTTTTTCCCCCCCGGAAAGTCGCAAAATCGCATCAGGTTTGATGTGTATAGTCAGGCGTAATTTCGCGTTGTATATTTGTGTCGGTCCCGGTGTGTAAGGACCGTAAGAAAGAAAGAAAGGAAAGTGATTCCAAACAAAACAATATCAGCTTGACAACAGCAAAGCTGAATCAAAATTCCTATGATTTCTTGTTTGGATACTTGTATTTAATTTTCATCAGTTTCTGTCATGTGAAAAATATGGTGACATGAAGATAACATCTATGTAATTCACACCTGAGTTAGCCAACTTGTTAATGATACACCTACTTTAAGCAATAACAAAAAGCAGAGGTTACAGAGCGCTATCACATGAATTATGAGCTGCAAACTTTGTGTCTTGGTTAGCAGTTTTGGGAAGACTGTTCCCTACAGAACTTAGTGGACTAAATATAGCAGCAAAGGTGGTGTGCAGGTGGACTTCATCTCTCTCTCTCTAAAGCCCTTAAGACAGAGAAAGAGGAGCTATCTTGTGGAGGCTCTATATACCAACATCAATTTCAAACAATCTTTAACAGCTACCTTAGAAGCCATGAGCACCTGACCTGGACCTCTACCTGCTGTGACATCCAGTAATAAAGTAATACAGAGATGATACTCACAGATACGCACAATCTTTCAACGTTATTAATGGAGATCTTCATTTTGCATGCACAGTTAATTACTATAACCCTATTCTGAATCTATGCAACCATGAGAATTCCTTGCATGCAGAAATGATCTTGACATGTGGCCCAGTTGAGAAGCATGAGTCTCTTCACATTCTACTTCACCAGTAACATCTTCACAACCTTTGTCGTCAATTAGACCATCCGATCGATTCAGTGTCTAGAGAGATGTATTTACAGCCGCAGTAAGCAGTTTGCAAGCATCAAGGACCTTTAACAAAATTGCCTGTGAAGAGCCAGAGAGAGATATGATGGAGACCCCAGTCGATACAGCCTGCCACTGTGGTCTGAATACATCCATGTCTAATGCCTGAGGTTTTGATCTGGGTTCGGTAATTTAAGAAAATCTAATTGGGGGTAAAAAGATGCTTGACATTTGAAATGGACGGCTAACAGTGGCAGGAGATATTGGCATGCTGCTGGTCACACTGATGAAACACGTGTCATCAGGAATGTAAGGCACAAGTGAGATAACTTTCTCTGCATGTGAGGAATACTCAATATCTAATGCGAGAACCTGCCTCTGGCTATTAACAAATTAAAAGACCACGACATACACGGCAGATATCCATGACAGCTCTGAAAACGTGCAACAAACTAAAAGAAAACCCAACCGCACTATGTGTTGGCTTGTTGTTTAACTATAGCCACTGAATGCTGGACGGTGTCCTGCAGATAATCATCTATGCAGGCATCGGACAAAATATTGATACAGCAGTGTACTCTAATTCCGCCTGATTTTGTCATATGAAAACTGTATTTATGTCTCACCAAAAATCAGTATTCTACCGTATCCTCAATATGGGAATCAACAGATTTATTTTCCAATTTCACCCACAGAGACGCTACTTTAAACCAGCAGAGATGGCCGGGTGAAACATTGTGTGCGCGTGTTTTGTGTATGTCAAATCCTGCTGTTTACCTCTCATGCTTCTGCAATGCTGTGATGCAATATGAAATAACATCACAATGTAAAACTAGTGCAGATCAGTACTAAAGTGAGATGCATGATGGTGGCTGAGGTGCGTTACAGGACTTGGAGACTTGTAAAGGGTTGTTGTGGGTCGGTCTACAGAACAGTGCAGTAGAGCAGACCATGTGCTGTGGATATCAAAATGAAATGGTCTTAACTTAAAGTTTAGAGCAGCAGTAGATTAATCATTTGACGTCACTATTACCTTGGGTTTATTATTATTTGATGCATGAGAATAATAATAAAAAAGATTTAGTGAAGAGAACAAGTTTCAGAACTTGACACAAACTTTTTTTGTGAACTTTAAATTAAAAATAGCTTTTATATGTTTTAAAATATGTTTCTATTTGTTCCTATGTCATCAATATTGACAGTCTTTTAGCATGTCTTCTGTTCTGTGGGCTCTTCATCTCCTTATACGGTGCATGTCTCCCACACTGACATGCACTATAAACACAGCATACAAAACCCTTTCTCCCTTCTTAACATCTCACTTTGTCACACTCAACTCTCCCAGTCTTTTTTTCATCCTCTCTGAGGCCTTTTTTTCTCTTCAACTCTGTCTCATGCATTTATTCCTTTTTATCTATTCAGCGCCACAAAGCAGAACCTGTTGATATTTTGTAAAGCCCCCAATGAGTCACTGTATGCTCACTCCATTCCATTTTCCCACTCTGTTGGTCTCTCTTCACACACACTCACACACAGGGTAGAGCTATTTGAACAGCTGTGCTCTGCACTCTGCATGTTTATTAGTACCATTGTGATGCTGCTTCTCCTGTCATTTTTACCCCCTCACCCAGTCTAATGTCACTATGGGAAACTATAGGAGAATTCAACTAGCCAGTGGGGGAGGGGCATATTTTCTTTCCAGTTGTTTGCAGCAAGGTAAAGCTCAGATTAGATTGGCTCTTGTATGAAATAAAGAGGTACAGTAGATAATCTTAGGGTAACTTCAGACTTGAAACTAGAAATTAAGATACCCGATCCAAAAGTCATAGTTCAGTTCATGCACCAGCTAATCTAATGGTAACAAACATGCAACAAATTTTCTTTGAGTCAAAAAAGTGGTGTAAGAGGAAGAAAAAGTGTAGTTTTTATTCAGACATCACAAACTGTATGTTAAGTATGTAGTTACGAGCTCTTAAGTGACTGTTTGGTTGGCTATGCTGCCTCCAGAGGGTGAAATCGGCTGTTTTTCCTCCTTTCGTGCCTTGATGCTAACCTTAGTGACCACTGGCTATAGCCTGGGTAGAAGAGTGCAACACTGATTCTCTCATTAAGATGTAAAACAAACTGAATTTTTGAAGTCTTCATATGGGCCAGGTGTAACATGGAAAAGACACGCCCACATTTGGCTACTTCTATTCTTTCTTTCGCTTTAATTTGTAATGGCCTGTTTCAGCCACTTCAAAATGTCTCCTCTTCATGATTTTCATTTTTAAGGTTTCTCTGACTTTTGTCATCTATCTTGTAGGCTCCTGTGTAGAACACTTCATATTGTCTTGTAGCTGAAATGTGCTTTTTTTAGTATATTGGCCATGCCTTGGCTTACAAAACAAAAATGATCAGATCTACTCACCTAGAGTTCTGGACATCACTGGCAGAGCAGAACTCAGTACCAAAATGGACACACAACAACCAATGATCTAAAAGACAGAACAGATAAAGCTCAGATTTCACATCTTTTTTGCACACATTATACATTTTATGAAATCAACAACAGTAAGACGCATGAGGAAAAGGCAAATATGTGCCCACACATTAGCACACAGCACTTGATGTTAAACTGGTTCCACAGATTGTACAATTATTACCTCTGAAGTTGCTCATTACCAGGTTTTCTTATGTCCTTTCAAGCCCTTTCACTGGAGCGTCATGGCTAGTTAACAAGCCTCACCACTACCAAACTCATTACCAAGTGAATGGGTGCCACTATAGGCCAAAGAGAGCACACATCCTCCCCCACCTCCCCCCCAAAAAAAACCCACTGTCCCTCTGATGTACAAGAAGGGGGCTTGCACTTTGCCAGTGTTTGCGCAGCCCACAAACAAATATTAGACAGATCAACTGCAGCCATTGAGGGGCCGAGGAAAACATTAGTGAGCAGTAGGAGTTTGGAAGGTGGGAGACAGAAGGGGGGAAAAGGGAGGAAGTAGATGAAGACACAGGGGGGTCACAAACACTTCAGGACCTTAGGAATCTCAGCAGCCTTGCCCCCACCTCACCCTTCACCCCATCTCTCGATCCCATCCTTACCGTTGTCATGGTTGTGTCATCCTTCCTGGGGGTGAGGACTTCAAAGACTCGCAGGCTGTAGAAGCCAACGACAGAAGACACCATCAAGTAGCTGTTCAGCAAATCAATCAAGGACCAACAACACTCCTCTGCTCAGTGGAAAGCAGCTTCACTGAGTCTGCACCTTTTCAGCTATGATAAAAGGTGACGAAACAGCATGTTGTTTCCCGGAAGGTGTCCAGCTTAACTATGTCCTGGGTAAACAAAGCTGCCCTGACAGTGTTGCTCTTGGCCATGGAGCATGGTACTGCAGCCACACACAAAAGGTGTGTGTGAGTGTGTGTGTGTGTGTGTGTGTGTGTGTGTGTGTGTGTGTGTGTGTGGGGCGGGGGGGTCACTAAAAGGATACAACATGAGGATGATCTCGAGTGCTGCCTGAGCCACGCCAAATGCGGACAGAGAGGTGTTCCTAATGCCTCGGTCCTGGAAGACACAGACAGAAAAAAAAGGGTTGTTCAATGTCCTCATGGACCAGTCTCACAAATCAAAAGGAGAAAATGAGAAACAAGAGCACTGCAGGCATTTGCACATACATGCAATTACAGAAATCCTGCAAAGTGAGTGTGCCATGCACAAAGAATTTCCCCCTTGAGAGAGACGAAATCAAATTGGCTGAGTAATGAATGGAACAAGATGAAAGAGACTCTTTTCAAATCACTGTCGATCATACAATATGTGAACAGGTGTTCAAACAAAAACGGCACATTGCTTACGGTAAGGAGTGTATGTGCTGAAGGCATGCCAAAAACAGAAAAACAACAAAACAAATACTTCAGCAAACACACTAGGTGAATAACCCTCCTTACACCCCCACCTCCCGTCGAACCCCCAGACCTCTAAGACCTTTAAAAACTGGAACACAAACATCTACATATCCTGCTCATACCAAGCATCTGTGTTGTCAAATGATTAATATTTGCTTTTGTCTGACTTGGCACTGGTGTTGATCCTCTTAGGGAGCAGCGGGTCTGTAAAAGGCACACTCAGTACTTTGCATATTGTCTGAATCAGATGTGGCCAGAGACCCTTTACCTTCTACTTTGATTCTAAAATAGGTTCTCTTTCATCTAAATGGGATATTTTTGTTACTTATCTGAGTGTTTTGGAAAATGCTTACAGCTGAATTCTCCAGATGCTTTCACACTGTGGTATTGTGCTTTCATATTTTACACGCAATATTTATTTGAAATATGTGCAAAGTGTCAAATTGTTGGGGAAAGCACGTGTTACACTAATCCTACAATGGGACCACAGGCTGATCTAAATGGCTTGTTATAAAGGGTCACAAAAGTTAAGCAAGGGCCCCCCTGATTTGCTGAAATGATGACATTTGTGATTCTCCAAAAAGACATAATGTATTTAAATAAACAGAAAATTTACCAAACAGGAACACTCTCCAGAATTTTTCAGGGTCCAAAATAGAGTTAAATTATGATGACAACTTTGTAGCATGACAACAGTGGAGGAAGCTCCCAGAGAGCTTCCAAAGTGCTGGAGGTCTTGAAGAAACAGTAGCTAAGAGGAAGACAGACAGAGGCTAAAAAGAGGATTTCCAAAGACACTGGTGTAAGAGAAGTAAATTATTTTTTTTTGTTTTAAATCTTGTAAAGCTACAAGAACTATCAGAACAATACAAAGTCTGAAATTAAGCATAATAACCCCCCTTTAACCTTTAATCATAATGCCTGTATACAATTATCTGAAAGTGTACAGTAAGCCTAAGTATAAATCAATCTTCTCCTTTCCCATGTGCTTAAATAGATGTATTTGCATAGCACTGCAGTTCAAACACAGTACTTAACTATGACATGAAGAAACAACGGTTAAATACTGTTGAACAATTTCTTCACAAAATAATATATTTCACAATTGCACAGAACAAAATATATACAGGTGGTTTTAGTCTATTATTTATATTTTATTGTGATTCTTCCTAACATATCCTGAGAGTCCTAACTTGATTTGTTTTGCAAAAGAGCCTGGAGAAAAAAAGAAAAAACCTGGCAGGTTGTTTCATGCCTTTTTATGCAACTGTCATCCTGGGAGCTTACTGCAGAGCCATGGTGCAGTGCTCTTTCTCTCTTACACAGGGAATTAGCAGACAGCATCTGATGTAATTTATTAATGGAGGGCGGGCGTGCATTAAGACTGTGTGCGCACACTCGCGATGTATGCGTGTGCGCTTTGGACAGCTAGCTTTCACAGCGCACCTCCTTTCAACTCTTACTTCTTTTCATTCCAGTAGCAGGAAAGGGGTGATGGAGTGTGTGTTTGTGTGTGTGTGGGCGTGTGTGTGTGTGTTAGCGGGAGGGAGGGGTCTGCATCTGTGTGTTTGAAGGAGACTGGTGGATTAGTCTGTGTTGCCTTCCATGGCTCTCTCAGCCGACACATTGCATTTGTTGCTTGTAAGATTAACACCTAGCAATACCTCTGCACTGGCAAGGTTGTCAGAGTTTCACAAACCTCCACACTCAGACTATCTGTATTTGAAAGGAGACTCTTAATTGTTCTTTATAAAAAAAGAAAAACATAGAAAATAAAAAGTCCTTTTTAACTCTTCTTTTGTTTTTGAATAACTGTTACTTCTCTATCCTACTGTAACCCTCGATATTAATCTGCACCGAAGATAATTTACACGTACAACTTCTCTGAAGAATCAATAAAAAGAGCAGCTATAAAAACATAATAAAAGTAATATATAGAGGGGCTATTAAATTCAGTTGCAGAGTCCTGGAAGTAGGAGCCACTGTGCATCAGCTGGTCAAAAGTAAAGTCTGCAAACCCTTACTTTTAATTTCTCTAACAATACCTGTCTTTTTGTGAATTCTGTGAACATTTTGAATCTTTTGACAACAAGAACAACAACATCGTGAGTGTCATGTTTTAATTTCTATTGCTTTGAAAGTAATACTAAATATAAGAACAATAAAACCTTTATTTATCATTTCAAAATCTACTCTACAAAACGCTTTACAAGACAGTAAAAAGAAAAATGCTACGTCAACAACTTTTTAAGGGATCAGTCAGCTTGGATCATAAAACCAATACCATATTTAGAGGCAAATCAATTCAGGTCACTATAAAAGATATACTACTTAGTTTGAAATAGTATTACAGTGGACACGTTTTTCTCTTCCTTTATGAACTTTCCTCTGGATGTCCACCAGTCCTGCTGCTGTATCTTTAAACATTTAAGTAATTAAAGAGATGAGTAATGCTCTCTTTTCTTTTGGCCATCATAGTTTCATGTATTTAATTCCACTTTATCCCACTATAAAGTTACACCATCACTCATGTGATTCTCTTAACAGCAGAGCCACAGACATTAATGGGCAAAGAGAGGAACAACACTGGTCTCGGTGGGGCGATTATTCTCACTTTAAGACCATCCTGTCAAATTGTTCTTCATTTCAGGAATCAGTTTCTGCTTATTGGTTTTAGCTTAAAGTCAGAGGTGTAATGACAATGTTGAGGTATCTTTATAAAAATGGGTTTGAACCTTTACTTCTAGTTCTGCCAGCTTTATATCAGAGCTCCTTAGAACTTATCCACATAAGTTTTGAATTGAAAAAAAATCTGATTTTACACTCACTCACTCATTCACAAAGATTTGAAGGTTAGAGCTAAATGCATGCTTGGCTGGGAACAACAGAAGGTAATATTATTGAGGTTTGTGAGTGTTTAGACTAGAAGGGTAACTTTAGTGAGATGAAAATAGTGGTCCAGGGGCTGCTAATTGTCCATTTCAGGAAATACAGAGTCAACTGTGATAGCTACCAAAGAGGAGGGCCTGCAGTGACTATTTTATTGGTTCCTCTTAGTGCTTGTTCATCAAGCTGTAAAACACAGTGTCTTTTGACTGAGGCGGCTCTATCCTCTTTCTTGTTGATTCTACAGCATCCCTGAATCCCCTTCTCTATATCCACCTGCTTCTCTTCCTCACCTCCATCCTCTGCAGTGGAAAAAGGCAACAGGGTCACTGCTCAGTATGCTAAGAACTACTGCGGGATGCTTAGAGGGAAGGGAAGGCAAACATTGACGGGGCACTTCCATTGTGATCTCCCCCCCAACAACAATCAGCTCATCGGGGCCTCATTTGACTTTCCCACAGTCTGAGTCTCTTTGCTCCATCAGTACCTCCTCCAGACCTCAGACCAGCTGCTCTCTTTGCTCTTTTCGTATCGCTTTCCCTCGTCTCAAGCTTATCTCCTTCAGCGCGGTGTGCAGGTAGCTGCAGGAGAACTCTTGCGCTTGAGGGGTAGATGGTTTGAGTGTTTGGAGGCTGGGGTTAACGGGGTAAATAGATAGATATCATATCAGTATCGATTGTTTTGGAGGACAAGACCTTCCCCCCGCCCCTCGCAGCGCTGTGAGATCAGAGGTGTGGCATCCATCCAGCTCAACAAATGCGTAAACCATTTAGTGGGGCCACACTGTCAGGGAGGACAGCTTCAAGCTGCATGACAAGTGTAATTTGGGGGATTTTCTGCAATGTGTCATGCCAAAGAAAACATCTCTGCTCAATAAAATAATTGGAATGTCGAGGGCAACTCTGTCAGATGCCCGCGAGACAAGAAATGAAATGAGGGAGAAATAGGATACATTATGTTGCCCCCCTCTCAGACAAGAATGCAACCACAAACACACACACATGCAAGCACTCGCGCGCACACACGCGTGCGCTTCTCTGTCACTGCAGAGGAGATGAGATGAGATAAGGAGAGCTTAAAACACATTGCATGTTAGGCGGAGATGAGAATCTCTGTTAGTGTGCCTCACAGTGAGAGCCCTTCACCTGGCCCTGTGTGCTGCGGCAGGAGGGAGGAAAAGCAGCTTATTCACACAGTGTGGACTTGAGACACGTAGCGAGCTCATTGAATCGGCACACGGCTGTGAAATGACTTTCAATAAGCTTCCAAAACAAAACCAGGGCCACAAGGTTTGAGCCTGATTAGCATCTGGTCTGGCCTTTTATTTCTTCATGCATCTGGGCATATCCGGAATTTGATTTATGTCACCGACAGGAACACAGCGGGTCTACTCGGCAAGCTCCTGCGCAGTTTACATTCGGGTTGTGTGCGGCTGTGTGTTTATGTGTGCGGGGGTAGAAATGTAGACTTACTGTGGATCCCTTGGGCATGGCAGTCTCGTCCACTAGAAGGTAGAGGATATTGAATGCCACCAGAAGAACAGAGATTGTCTGCAGACGGAGAGGAAGATAAAGATTAGTTTTCATATGACATAGCTATAAAAAGATTGATCAAATCCTCGTAGTATACGCCTTCATGATATAATTGAATTGTTGGGGCCTTGCTGATCCGTAGGTATGGTGATGCATAATAACTGCCTTGTGATTGTAAACTGTTCCAACATTAAGCTTTCCAAAGCCTGAACAATGTGGGGGTTGTTTGGTGCACGTGCCATGCCTCTCACATGGCCTTTTTACGCCTTATACAGCGATATCAGACGGCATAAACAGTGTTCCCACACTATAATCTGTTGAAAATCACAGTTGTTGCAGGTGGCTATTCAGCATTGTCTTAAACAGCTATTAAACAAAAGTAGTTTCCACACCCAGACAACATGGAGAAACCGCGAGAGGATGGGGTTTGAGCTATAGGGTGTTAGTCCTTCTGGCCACCCACAAGGCTGAACATGCCGTGAGTAAACTGTTTGGGTTTGATAATAGGTCACTCACCGTTCCTGCGAGCAGGATCAGCATCACTATGGGATACAGCAAGTTCTTCTCCCAACCTGATGCTTTCTTTCTTCTCTCTGAATGAGACGAAATGGGACGTTACTAATCCTTAGAAATTTGCAACAAACAACTTTTTAATAACACGAATCAAAGGTGGGTTAGATCCCCCTTTACAAACCACTTTCTTTCCACTGTTGGTTAATTAATACGTTCATCAAAAGAAAACCTCAAGCCCTGTGGCTTTATTTACCAGGGTTGTACAGGTGGGTTTGGTAAAACATATGACGACTGTGAGTATCAAACACAATCTCACCTCCCATTGAAACCAGCCCCTCCAGGTTATATCGTCATTTCATAACTTTTAAAAATGATGCGCTTCCTCTTTAATTAACTGCACTTATCATTGACTTAATTAGTGGAAACAATAATAAATCCCGCATGAAAAGAAATGAATCAAATTAATTATGTGATTTATACTTTGGTCAGATTCTGTGTGTGTGGTGGGCAACTACTGTGTGTTGTCCCCTAAACCGGATTAAAGTTTCAGTTGATATCTTCTATCTTCCTCTAATTTTAACAGCTCATCAGTCATGTTTGTAGACACTGCTGACAGCCTGCGCTATGAACTGACTGCACTTTATATTCCGTTATGGACACCCTCAGCCCCCTTTACTCACTGTGTGTATCTGTCTGCCCTCCAGCCCTTGCCATATTGACTTTCTTTCTCCATTTTCAACCTTGTTAGTCCTCCTTATTCTCAAAGTGCACCCACCCTGCCTTCCCGAGAAGTTTGCCAAGTGCACTTTATATGCACCATCCTTCTAAATTAATGACATCACTAAAAGGCTTGCTACAATATAAAGTTTGCATCTTGTCCAATATCCTAAGTGCCTTTGTGCCCCTCCCCCCTCCCTCTCCTCCCTCCCTACCCTGCTCCCCAAAAGGCTTGGGCCTCATTTATAATATCCTAAAATGGATGGAAAATTATCAGGCAGTTCTGGTCCAAGTCCAAATGAAGAAATTAAGGCAGACGGGAAGAAAGCGACCGCCTGTCAGCAATATGTAAAAAGCAAACTTCTTGGCACTTATTTCCATGAAAATTTAAGGTCTTAAGAGGAAATATTTCAGCGCTGTCACACAATACAAATACTTACCCAATTTATTCCTCTGATTCCTTACATTGTCCAGTTCTTTACTGAGCGTGTGAGCAAAGCTTCCTCGAGTGTAAGCATAAGTGGATGATCCTGCAGGAACAAGACACACTGAAATTAATGAAATGTACTGCGTCGGCCAAATATTTTCTCAGACAGCAGCTAATGATAATTTGTTATTGTTAAATCTGAAGATACATTCAGAGCCATATTTTAATTTCCATGTCATTTCAAAAAGGGATCTTAATGCTCATCATAAGTTATTAAAAGGTAGTTTTGTCAAGAGTCGTTCTATTAAAACTGATAAAAACAGCAGAGAAGAGAATAAATGATTTCTTGAAAAAAGTCACTGAATCCATTTTGTTTTGGTTCAGCTCTCTTATTAAAAATAAATAGTGACATCTTTTCAAATAGATGTTTGCCTCACAACTTCAAAAAGGCAGGTTTCAGTTTGATCACAGTGTTTTCGTACATTTCTCATACATAGGATAGATTTAGAGATAAAAACAGATGATGTCTTAATTAAAAGCATGTTAACTTTTCACTGTGTTTGTCTAATGGTATCTGACTTATCTTTATCCTATCAAAACAAGCAATCCCTCTCCGAACATAACAAATGTGATCTCAAACAAGTAAAAATAATCTCTTGTGTCAGGAGCTGTCTAGCACATGCCGCAACTGGTTGAGCGGGCTGGAGAAGACAGCAAGGGATTCTCCAGGAAAACCACAAGGCCAGCTCATTTAGGGCTAATTTATCTATTTTACTCTGTTTTCCTTCCAGGTTGACGCATCGGCATAGAGGCCCCCTGGAGCCAAAGTGGAAGAGTATCCATTTGCATCCCCTGGGGTGATTGGCAGATCAAGACCAATTAGTTCAGTGTTACACAGTTACTAGCGTGCAATAAAAATACCATCTTTCATCTTTGTTACAGCAGTGAAGGACCAATCACTTTGATCAAACCGCTTTCTTCCCTCTGTTATTATGACACACCCTGTCTGGATGGCTCTAAGTAGGCAGGAGAGGAGAGAGAGTTAGGAAGAGAGAGAGGGAGAGTGAACAGTGTGTCTGTGCCCTCATAGATACCTGTGCTGGAATCTACAGGGAGGAAAGTCTGAACCCTCTGAGCAAATGCAGTCACAACAAAACAGGAAATGTCACGGACAGTTCATCCCTCTTTTACCCCCAAGTTTACCTGAACTCTGCCTCAGGGAAACCAAATCTGCTCAGCCGCAAGTAAACTAATCTATCACCTCTGTGCATATCATATTCAAAGACAGCTCTGCCCTTCATCCAGGACTGATAAATCATACATCATATGAATAGATGGTTTGTAACAGTCATAAAAACGAGCAAAACCAACAAGAGACAAAGAACAATATCATCACTTGTTTCGCGCTGCAGAGGGAAACAGCCTGAATACAACTGCAGTATCTTCGATGACATCACTCCTCCAGACTGAAGTTAAATATATCCTTCTCCGCTTCTGCTGGCAACATCAAGTACAAGACTGAATTACAGTGAGGCAGAGATGCTGAGTGAGGCTTCTGGCAGCCAGGAGAGCCCAGTGTAATTCAGTGTATCCTTTCCAACCTTCAGCACAGTCAAAAAATGACGTCACCCACGCATATGCTAAACACCACGCTGAGGCATCAGAGGCATCGGCAAGGTCATCACGCCGCAGAGCATCTGGACCGGCACTCTGTTGCACTGCTATCAGCAGATTAGGCGTTTGAGAGGGCAGTGTGGGCATGTGTGAAGGCCTTCATACCTGTGCTACAGTGTGTTTGTACACTCCAAACACTAGACTATGCTTCTGCAATTTCTTCAAAGCCAATCAATAATTCAGATCAGAAACAATCATTATCTAATCTTTTAAAATTTACTTGAGTAATCATAACATCTGGAGCTCTCTATCCACCTCTATGCATCAAAACATAATAATGCAAAGCTGAGGACAATGTTTATGATGACTCTTCCAGAAATTTTTTGTAAATCTTTGTTCTAAAGCTTGCTGATCTTTCTTCCATTACGAACTGATTTTCAACTAGTACTGGAGCAAAATGGTCTTGAATCAATATCCTGATTTATTGACCCTTTTTTTTCTCTATAACAATAATGGCAATTTTTGTCTTTTACCTTCACAGTTCATTGACAGGGATTTACATGGCAAATACACTTGATCATTATTATTATTATTATTTTCACAAATTAAACAATCTGTATTTTATTTTGAGTGAATGAATCTGCTGTTAACAGCGTCTTTGCAGAAGTACTTGTTGCTGGCCATCAGTCCATCCCCTTTTTTAGCCCATTAAAGGGATATTCCAGCGTAAAATTAAGTTAGGGTCAAACACACCGTAACACCAAGTTAGACACCCCCTCGAGAGATGAATGTTGCCAACCGCTTGCTTCTCTAGTTATACCAACTTAAGTAATGACCGCACGATAGCAATACACAGCGGTCTGAGGAGCCATAAACAAACCTCAACCAAAACGCCACTCTATAGCCACAAATAATGCTCAGAACAGCACCTAACTTCATCAACAGTACATATAGGGTCCCAGCCACAGCACTAGACACCAAACATCTTTTTAACTTTGCCTGATTTCTTTAGCAAAGAGACTAAACACAACTCACCTACTCTCTTCCAGCAGCCGCTTGTTTGTACGGAGAACTCAGGCGAGTCCATAACTGCAGCGGGGTGACACAGCTCAATGAAGAACATTTCTGATTAAGTTGGTATAACTAGAGAAGCAAGCGGTCTGCAACATTCACCTCTCGAGGGGGTGTCTAACTCGGTGTTATGGTGTGTTTGACCCTAAATTAATTTTATGTTGTAATATCCCTTTAAGCCTTCTTATTGAGTGATGTTATTGTGCTCTAAGTGCTGAAACACATTGGTGGTACTAGTGTTTACATTTGACTCCCTTTTGCTCACTGTTACTTTCACTAAAGTCAAAGTGTGTCCAAATGACAGACACAGCATTTTGCCTGGAGTTTGAGTTCTCCACATGTTGCTCCCATGTTGCAGACTGCGCGAGGTGGACCAATATAAATACTGATTCTGAACACAGAATGACTTCTGGAAGGGCTCTATGTTAGTCACACACTTGATGAGCACTTTGAGGAAATAAATTTCTCAGAAGTCAAATGCTAACCCAAATGTTCCAGGAGCAAGACTTTGAAGCATACAAATTTCATTACACTCTTCACTAAAGATTAGTTTATGCCATTACTCTCTGATCTGCAAAATTTCAAACATCAACACTGTTATTACAAATGGGCAATTAGATTTAGTGAGCACAAGAAAGAGCCAGATGTGTAAATAAATGCTGATGCATCAACTGATCTGGCTCAACAGTCCACATCTACAAACACAAAGCGGGTAAGAGGATAATCTGCTGGAGGAGCTGGATGCAGAGCGAACACAGGTGAAGCAAGAAGACAACATTGCTCGCCTCTGGAGTGTGTCCTGTGAACTGTTCCTGAACTGCCGTCTGCTCTCGGCAGATCAAAGGAACGCCACTTTAGCATGAGTGTGTGCGGGAATGACTGAGTGTGTGCATGAATGTACAGCATAAAAAACATTCATGTCGACATCCTCTTTTGCCTCTAATTCCCATCTTTTTGTACAGGTTGTAGCTGGGCCTCAGTGCACACATTAAGTTGTTGTCCAGAGTTATTTTTTGCCACACAGAGACTTGTAAAGATCAAACAGTGCTGCAGATGATAAGGAGGAGATTACAATTATTCAATCAGAAACTTCAAAGCAGTAGCGGCGTGGAATGAGCCCCAAGGAGCCATACGCATTGGTGGCAGTCTATGGAGGTGACCGGCGTAGCGTTCGAAAACATGCCTCATTATCAGGCAGCCATCTCCCTTACCACCCTGGTTTGAAAGGACGCTCATCCTCTTCATTTACTTGCATCTGTACTCCTGGTTGCGTGCTTGAGTTAATATTAAAGTAGCTTTTGGAACTTGGCCCAAATACTTCCTGCTTTTTTGAGATTATTTAACGTCAAACAAGGAATTTGTGAATACAGAGGGCTGGAAAAGCAGGCTGGGAAAAAAAAAACAGCGTCACCATCCTTAAACTCTTTAAACTTTCCCTTTGTGCCCCATGAACAGCACAAGGCTCCTGGTCACCTTTTCAGCAGTCACTGAAAAATCACTTTAATGTCCACAGGACCCGGCCAAAAGTTCTTATAAAAGATTTCATTTCCATCCTATTACCCAAGCTGCCATTCTAGGCCTAACATTAAATGAGGCAATCATTTTGCCAGCAGTGACAGTGGCTCTGCAGTGTCTTAAATGGATCCCTAAAAACTTCTTTAACATAAAATATGGCCCTGGACATGGTGGCTGCTTCGCCCTTTAGCAGAAAGTTATGAGAGTAAGACAGCAGCAGGGAGAGGCTATAGCGAGTGTGTGGGTGTGCGTGTGTCTGCGTATGATTGTGTGTGTGAGTGAGTGTGTGTGTAGCTGGATTTTCAATGCTAATTGATTCCAGTGTGGCATGCTCCATCACACCCAATAGGGCAGTCAACCCCTATCCTCTCCTATAATGTGCCAACACGTCTCCCACAGACATACCGTTTAATCTCCTCTGAAGGGCTTCCTCCTGCAAATGGATGCAGTAAATCTGCTCATCCAGGTCCTCCAGGATCTGAAGGGGAGGGAGCAAAGGAAAAAGAGATGAAATGGGTTATAATTAGGCCCAAAGTGGGACTGGAGAGATGGCAGATGGGAGAATGAGTTGGTGATGTATTTGTAGTCCTCTGTCACACATCTAAACGGCCGACTGAGACTGATATATGTGTCAGATCAGAGGAGCAAGGTGGATTTAAGGAGCAGGTTGAACTGTGTGTTTCAAATAAAGTCATACTTTAAACTTTATACTACAAACAATCAAAAGAACAACCACATATATTGATCTCTCACCGTTGGCTTCACTAGCAACTGGCCCATGACAGTGAACATCCTGGACAATCCGACAGGAGTGCACACTGCACATTAAGACAGAAAAAAACAGCCTGATTAGTGAGAATGTTAAATAACAAGAAGTAGAGCTATTGCAGCAATAATAAATGAGATTTTAGAAACATGCAGGCAATTATACTATTTGTTTTTCAGGGAAATGGCTTACTAAGTAAAAGCAGTCCTCCCATCAGAGATATGCAGGAATAGAGGTATGGTAGATAAAATTCCCAAAGATCTGGAAAAAAAAAGCAAGCTGTCGTTAAAAAAAGCAGACTCAAGAAGGAACAGTTATACACCAAAAAATATTCAGAATTAAACTCTCGATAACATATAAATGTCTCCTCTCAACATCTTGAGTTATACAGGGATTACACAAGAGATGCAAATAGTCTATTTCTTTGCTTCTTTGGTTCTGGTGGTGATACTGACTATAGGCTTTTGCACTAAGCTTAGCTAATTAACTGATAGCCTAAACATAGTAGATAATGCTTGATACTTTTTAATCTACCTGAAGTCTTATAGCCATTCAACCTGTCTCATATAAAATAAAACAGTAATATCAATAACCCCAAGAGATACATAATGTTCCAAAAACTTACCATACAGTGACTCCATACTGGCTGCATCATTGTCAATGAGCGCTGAAGCCACCCACACAATGCCCAAGATGAGCAAAGCCAGCAGGAAGAGCATCACAAATGTCTCCAAAATACGAGCCTTGATGCCCTGAAAAACGAAGTGCACGGAGGACATAATCAGGGTTAGAATAAGCATTAAAATGTAAGAAGTGTACATCAACATGCATAGACACATGATTCTAACTAGTGGTCATTGCACTGAGTTGGGGAGTCTGTATTTCATCCACTTCAGATTAAAGTTTAACACAAAAATCAGGATTCAATTTACGAGACATTTCCCTCTTCCTCCTCCTTCCTGCCTTGCTCATATTAAACACCATCATTTCCATTCACAGCACACAAACATGACATAAACGCTCCCACGGATTCCTGTGTTAAACAGCTCTTTTATACACATATTGGGGTCTATAAAGTGGCTCTGACTGGGGCTGGTGGTTGTAGAGGTGAAATTAAAAAGGGTAAGGAGAGGGGGTGAGGGGTGCTGTAAGGAGCATGATGCCTGGCTGGGTCAGCTACTGTCTGCGATCAAGAGCAGGCCTTCCATCTGGGGCCGATTACTCGCTCCCTTTGCACCACGGTTTTGTCCTGGGCTGTGTAGATGAGAGGCTTTTGGGGTAATTTGGGTTTTCCGGGTCACAAACTGCTGAGTGGTTAATAAAGTCCTCCTCTACCTGTTCACACAGTTTCCATTTCCCCCCCTGCTGGAGAGCTGAGCTGTCTCGCACTGTGAGATAGATAGGCATTCTCTTGCACATGTCAGGTAGGCTAGCAGGCAAGGGATAACAAGGGCTCTCTGCTTTTTGGAGTGCTGCTTAAATTGGGCACATATGAGCAATTTGTTACCAGCTAACATAATGGCTGTGTGGTTGCTGTTCAGTATTTGCCAACAGGTACATGGAGGGGGTCTCTCTTTGAAAGTTCCCCCTTGTTAATCAAGTGGCTTTATGGAATGGAAATGGTTTTAATTCTGCAGATTAAATCAGACAAGCTTTAGCTTTTCTTTTTTTCTTTTTTGGTTTAAACCAGTCCAGCTCTTAACTGTCATTTAAACCACCCGTCTTTTAGCATGTGAACGGGAACTTGAATCATGGCTGTCCCCTCTTATATGCAACCTAAAATATAGTCCTTTTGTAAATGATGCTCTTATCTTTTTTAAAGCACCTGCCTGACAAATGGTACACGAGCATTCATGGGTCACAGACATGCTGGATGTCTGCACATGATCATCGACCCACCAAGCCCCTTCTTTGGACAGTCATTCCATCCATCTTCAAGGGTGAAAAATCCCCTGTTGCATCTTCATGCTATTACTGAGCAATCGCTTGCCTTTCGCCTCCTCTTACATTGATATTATGGAAAAGGATGAGTGAGTGACTGAGTGTAGAAATTTCTAGCACAGCAGGTAGAGGAATGGGCAGGGTTTGGAGTGCCCCAGTGTGGCTGATGTGGACACTGCAGTCACTGGACAAATAATATTGGAGGGGATGTCAGTCAGTGAGAAAAAAACCCAATTTCATGAATATATAATGTAAATCAATACATAAATCATAGGGATATCATCTCATAAGGGAACCATTTGCCATAAAACATCTATAAAATCCCCAATCAATCAGTATCAATACATAAAAATATAGTCATAAATCTGACGTCGTCATTTAATTCTGCTGACTGCCTCATGCTCTCCTGCACTGGGTTCACTGAATGCTTTCTGCAGTTGGGCAGCTCACAGCATAGCTCAACTGGGCAGTGGGGAAAATGCCTCACACCGCTGGATAAAAAAAGAGAAAGGACAAGATAGAGAAAACTAAAGTGAGAGAACAACAGAGAGAGGGAGAGAGAGACTGTTGGAGGAGAGGAGTCAACGTCTGTGCACATCTCATTCCCAGGAGGTAAGAGAGGTGAGAGAGGAATGCTTTCAGGGACTTGAGCCACGTCCCACACGCGCTCTCTTAAGGATGCATCAAGGAGAGCAGGAGCCAGAGGCAGAACGTGCGTCCACTCAAGCGCACCAGTCCACCTTAACAAGCTGCCCATGCCATGCTGAAGGTGTATTCCCTTTAGATAGGTCGCTCAATCATTTATAAGACTCAAATCATTACCCATTCAGATCATTTAGGGCAAAGGCAATGCTTGTCACCTCCCTTACTATCATCCCTGGCTCCTGCCTCACTGGAAGGATAATCCACAGTGTCAGACATGGTTTGACTGTGCAGGAGAAAGAGGACACTGCACTCTGAGACCAGATTGGTTTCATTGATCTGTCCACATGTATGACATTGCACACTAAAAAGCCATCCTAACCTATTATTGCAATAGAATTACATCCTTTGTTTCCCATCGCAAGGTAAAAATAGGCAAATATTGTGTAAAAATAGGAAAATCCAACTAACCCATTGTCATTGATCAAAGATTAAACTGTCAACTAGTGAAGGAAGGAAGGAAAAAAAGAAAAAGACCTCTGCCTTGGCATCCAGAGCGCCCGCTGAAAGTTTCTATTCTTGCCTTTCTAAATGTGTAACTACCTCTAAATATAGCAGCTCTGAAATATTCAGCATCCCCTGATCCTCACACCGACATCGAGTGAGGGGGCTGCTTAACTGCAGCTATGCTCGAAACAAGACTTGAGAGACTTCCAAGAATGTAGCGGCCAGAGAGGGAAAGTAACCGCTTCATATGCAGAAGCAAACAAACATGCATGAGTTCATGTGCACACACAGACACACACACAGACGCACACAAGCAGCCAAGTAAATCAACCTCTAAATCCAGCCAATTACACAAAGCCGCAGAGGGCCTGGAAACAGTTCACAAGCTTTTTTCCACCTTGCTTGTGCATAAGAACAACTAAAGCACAATCTGGTTGACTGTCTTTGATGTGAGGCTTCGGCTGGTGAAGTGCAACGGTGGAGAAGAGAGGGACGGATGATGCTTGGGAAGTTGCACTGTTGTGTTTAGAAGAAAGAAAGAAAAATCAGCCAAAAGAAAAGAGAGGTTTGGTGGTGGAGGAGCTTTCTGGCTGCCACCATCAATCGTGTGCAGGTCAGCAGGCGGTGGCAGAGATCATCCTGCAGACCATCCTTCTGCTCACTGTCAGGGGCGTGTGGAACAAGGGGCAAGAGTGTAATAACCAAGGAAGGGGGCAGGCCTTTCTACTTATTTTGCTCCCAAGCTAAAAAAAAAAAAAAAAAAAGGACTGCCCTTCTCGCTAAAGACGTGCCAGATGCCCAGAGACCTTGTTAATTTATCCTCCAACCAGTCCACCACAGGGCAGTGACCGTGTCAGAGACAGAAAGCAGAGGAGGAGTTGCACAATGAACTTCTAAAGACTCTTAATAAGACTTCTTAATAAAGCAGCAATGACACGAAAGCGTTGAGCATGATCAGCACCACATCGTATGATTGTGAGTGAGATGGTTAGGAGGAAGGGGAGTGTCAGGAAAAAGAAAACATAGGTGTAAGCGCAGTGACTGTGTTTTGGGGATTTAAAAAAAAAAAACCAAAAGAAAAACCTCACACTCCTGTTGGTTATATGACTGATTCACTGGATGAGTCACTAACCTAAAGAGTTTAAATGAAGGAAGCAGCTCCAGAACTGTCTGATGTTTGAAGAGTTTTATTTGATATCCTACAGTGACCGCAGCTTGTTCTGGTTACAGAGAGGTGTCAGACTGATAAAAGAAAAATGACTGTATCCTGGGTTTGCCATCATGCAAAAGATCAAGACCAAGTACATCTAGAAGCCGGTGAGTAGGATACTGACTGGCTGCATGACTTGAAATTGAAAAAAAGAAAAAAAAAAAGAAACATGGCTGAACACGATTTCTTGCTTAAAATAAAGAAAAGCTGCAAAATTTTCTTTTAAGAATTGATTCATTAAGAAAACTGAGTCACGAGATAAGGGGGAAAAATCCTGAGCAACTTGCTTGTTCTTTTTTTTTTTTTGAATTCCCAGCTCGGACTAATATGTTGCCATGGTAACCAACATTGTAACAGGCAGCTTTAGGGAGACATTGTGACCTTAAAGGAAGGTATGTAAACACCACTTTATATTCTCTGGCTGGCTCTGCCCAAAAGAAGGCCTGGGAAAAATGTCTGCATGTGCAGGAGATTTGAAATAAATATCCAGGCCCCCATTGTGGAGCTCCAACAAAGACGAGTATCTTAGTAACACCATGCAGGGTTTGCTCGGCGAGACGTTTTCTCTCCCCCCCTCCCCGCCACCTCCCTGACTCCCCCACTCCTCTCCCTCCACAATAAACACACTTCTCATCATTGGCGGGTTAAGGCTTAGGATGAGATTGATGAGGAGTTTCTTTAACTACCAGATGAAACCTGTTGGCCCTTTGCTGGGTCAGTCAGGGGGTCAGACTCGTTCCAACTCGTTTCAGGATCAAACACATTTCAATACTGTGGGGTGGACCAAAAGACTATTCCCTGCAAAGCATACGATCCACTATTTATACTTTCTTTGATGCAGAAAAGCTATGTCTGAAAACCAAAAATTAACTTTACATATTTTGTGTTACCATAGCAAACAAATTCACTAATTGATTTTGATTCCTCCAGCTAATAAACATCTGAGTGTTACGGCCAAGATAATCCGGTTTGACTACATTAGAAACAGACCAGGAAGTTGTCATAGTAAACCCATGTTTCTGAGTAACTTCAATATATCATACTCGTCACGCATAATTATCAAGCACACTTAGGTCCCTTGATATAAATAGAAGTCTGAACAAAGGCTGGTGCTGATGTCTTCACAGTCTTTGTCAGAACACGCTGATCATTTTAGAAGCGATGACAGAGATGACTCTCATCACTATAATGCCATCTACTGGCAAAGTGGAGACAATTAAAAACAGAGGAGTAAAATACATCATGAACTTCATACAGCTCAAAAACTTCCTAACATAATGTCCTTTATTTGAAAAGACTGCCATTAATGAGAGATGTAGTTACAAAGACAAACAGCGCTCAAAAGGTTTCTAATACGTGAACTTTACGACGACCTTTAGGGGCCTCAGTGATGCAGCTTCGATGCAAAGATTTGAGAGTTCAGCAGTAAAAGTGGGAGACATTTTACAGCAGCAAATAAAGCCCGATCATAACATCTGACATCAAGAGCCTTAGTGGCCCTGATTCATCCACAATTTGGACAATTTGTTAAACTATTAATCACTTAGGTGACAGAGCCTCTGAAGAGGTGAACAGTTAAACATTACAAAAAGAAAAAAAATCCACATTTCCATCTTTATTCTGGTGGCGTCTTTTAGTACATCGTCAAAAGTAAACACAGCCACATGAAAAGGCTGACTTGGAGCGTTAGAGGTGAAATTCATCATTCACTTCATTTCCGCAGTCAGAAGGACCTCGCAGTGCCATAACATTAGCCCAGGAGGTTAAAATGCTACATAAAACCTTATGACATTGTGGTCGAATGCTGTTATTAGGAAAGGGATAATATCACATTATAAAAAGTCGGATCTGTGTTTTACATTCCTCTGGCTGTTGGCTGCATGATCGACTCTGCAGGCAGCTCTTTTATTTTTTTTTATAGGTGAAACAGGGGTGTCACCTCCACCCCTTCCTTAGTAAACTCAGAGTATATACCTGGAAGTGCAGCTCAACACTGAACAGTGTTCCCTCTACGCATATTTATGGAAGAGCAGTAGCAGAAAACAGTCTTACAGAAATGAAAAAGAACAAAAAGGAGAAAGAGGCCCGTGTCCTGCTTCCTATACATCAGGGCCTGAAAAAGAAATCCAACTGAAACAAATTAGTGGGCTGAGGAAGAAAAGAACTGGCCATACACTACAGTACAGACTAATTTTTATGTGCTTTTGCCAGGAGGGACATAAACCAGAAAGGTTTCAAACTGTGACACAGGATAGAGGCGTATTAAAAGTAAATCTTTCCCCCTCCGTTTTGCGAGGCTCTATTGTGCTGTCATGTTGCTGCGACTTTATGGACTTTTGGAACACGAGCTCCCAGCCCTCTTTTTTTTTTTTGAGGTAATCAATTAAACGAGGAAGTTCGCTGAGCCTTACAACTCGATTATTAGCCTGTCCTTTTGAAGTTTTATTTTAGGGGGCTGGGGAGGGGGTGACAAGGAATCAGGCTTTAAATCAGTGGGGCCGATGCAGCAGTGTTGAAGCGTTTGCAGCCTATGGCCTTATTGGAAGGGTTTGTCAGGATGTGGCGCTGGGCGAAGTCCAGATTCAGACTTTCATGGTTAATGAGCTTTCCACGGTGGCAGTTACAGTCAGTGGCGTGAGTCAGGGAGAGGGCAAGGACTAGGCACCTGCTGCTGCTTTGGCTATTGAGAGAAGACTAAGCATGGATAGCAGAATAAAACTTCATATCAAAGATGAATTAAACTAGTGTTTTTTTTCAATGTTCAAAGTTTCATATTTTTCGTTTTTTCATCATTTAAGACTGTAGTTTCCTCCTCTGAAACAAAATTCTAATAAATATCCTTTTACTGTTTTTTAGATTTTAAGTTTCAAATGCTGTTCTTTTATTAGTTGTTCACCTTGTGAGATAAAAATGCAAAGTAAAGACATTAGAAAAAATGATGCGTAAAAAAATAACAAATGTACCTTTTTAGATCCTGCAAATCCCTCAGACTCCAAGAAGAAATAGGCAAAGGGCATCAGGACAAAGAGGCAAAGGTTGGAGAACAGTGACACCAGATTCCACAAACCTGCAGAAGCCAAATAAATGATACAAAATTGTATGAATCTCTCTTGTTTTTTTTTTCCTTCCTGAGAATTTGACTGTTTTTCTTTATGAATTTTTTTCACTGCCAGGTTTAAGTCATGGACTCTGCTGCCCCCTGGTGGCTTAAATAGCATCCAACACCTATACCTAGTGTAAAAGACTTTTTCAGCTCTTGTGGCCTGGTTTTAAATCACAGAAAATTAACTGGCTTATCCCAAACATTAGGTTTCCGCACAAGTTACATATTAACAGTTAAAAAAGTCATACTTCAGACAATAAAACGATTTCCTGCTTTACGTGAACTTCAGGATTAAGCCCAAATTTGACTCTAGACCAGTGTTTGCACTAACAGTGAGACAAAAAAGAGGTCTACATCCTGATAATGCTCTGATCATGAGAACAACAGAAAGAAGATGGTATAAAAGACTTGCAAACACATATTTTATTTCATGTGATTGTTTCAATATATTATTTATATCAGCAAGCTCTCAAAAAACTCTCAATGCTTCATCTCCAACCTTTTCAAAGTATGTGCATTTAATGGAAATTTTAGTTTATTTGATTAGATGATGAAAGTTGATGTTATTCAAAGACAACCATCAATCAATGAGCAGTGAAGAGAATTTCGAGCTATCTTCGATTTCACACTCTTGTCCATAAGCTTAGCCTTTACACATACAGCATTGTTTCGAAAAAAAAAAAACACTCATAAAACTGTAAAACACCAAAGATCTGGAAATACACATATGATTATGCGACCCCACTTATAAATTTTACGTATAAATAATCTGAAAAAGGCATGTAAGGAAATAAAAGAAAAGGCCCCTTATGCAGTATACAGATATCTCAGTAATGACCTCTGCATAAATCATGGTTCACTCTGGAGTATGCAGATTTAGTCATCCCTCATTTGTATTCTACGCTCCCACATTAAACCACAAATTTTAGTTAATGCAAAGCACCTCTTGACGGTTGATTCACATAAATAAGCAGACTGTCAGTGTATTTTTCATACTGGCTCTCATCTTTTTTTGGTTTATGAGCCAGTTGCATGATAGACCTGGTTCTGACTGCTTCAGAATTTCAAACCATATATTAGGATTTAACAATGACTGAGCAGTAACACTTCTTGTAGGACTGGATTATGTTTCTAAGAGACCATTCTTTTATATAACTTTGATAAATCACTTTTAGTATTAATTGAAAATAGCTGTCTAGTTCTAGTCTTTGCCCAGTGTCTGAATATTACAACCTTGAAAAAACAAATACTGTTGTCAGTATCAATGTGAGGACTACACCATTACAATACATATGTTAATAACCAGAATCTGTATCCAACAGTAATGCATCTATAAAACATAATTTCTTCATGCAAACAAATATACTCAGATCTATTTTTTGTGAAAGAGGAGAAAATAAGTTGATGATGTAAAAAGACTCGTGAACTTTGTGATCCACTAACCGTGAATGAGGGAGCCATTGAGCCACTGAATGTAATAGTTTTTGGGGAAGGAGAGGAGGATCTCGTTACTAATGATTGAGAAAGGCAGCAGTAAGACGGCACCGCCTGACACTGCCAGGGTAAAGGTGCACAAGTACAATCTGCAAATGGAAGCAAACAGACACACACACACACACACACACACACACACACACACACACACACACACACACACACACACACACACACACAGACAAAACAGGACACACACATACTGTGTTAGGCCTGGTTTACACCAAAACAAACATGCAAAATCACATCAAATATCTTTTCAATCAGATCACATCTTAAAAAGAATAACTGGAGCATAAGTCTGACAGCACATGTTAGATTATAGGTGTCTTTTTACTCTGATGCAAAACATGAGAATTTGACTATTCACAGACTGCAACCACTTATACCACGGGGTTGAACTACCAGTAGGCTATGGTCAATCTATACTTTTAATTACTGTCCACACTTTTCCCCACCCCTGCCCTGCCCTTGTCCTAGGACAAAAGAAAAACACTGCTCATGCTTTTGCAGCCTGTTTTACTCTTTTTTTTTTAGAGGCTGCAGGCCTCAAGATTGGGCCCAAGGGACTGACCATCTGCTCAGTGGTCCCCAAAAAGGCAGCACCAAGCCCCATCCTCACTTTATTTCTAAAGGTGCTCATTAGCTGAAATGCTTTCTATTATTCTTTGTGACCCTTTGGTGCCACTCTGCTTTGCGGGGGTGCATGAGGCTCCAGCAGGCACTTCTGAATGTGATGTGTTCTGTAACTCTAAACTGAGAGATATGTGATACAGGCATCCACAGCTCTGTAGCTCATCCAGACTGCTAGTGGTATTCAGTGAATCAGTGCCATGCTATGTCAGTTTGTTTGATTTTTGTTAAATGAGCTGTCATCAATGACTGTATTCATCAATAGTTAATCTGCACATGGTTTATTGGGTTAATGGATTGTTCGGGTCTATAAAAAATGTACAAAAATAGAGGAAAAACAGCATCAAATTTTCTTCACAAAGCCAAAGGTGAACACTTCAAATGACTTTTTTTCCTGACACCCTTAATCCAAAGATATTTGACATACTTTGATATTAGACAAAGACAAGGGTTGAATTCTAACTCCTAAAAGATGGGTACTAAAGATGTATTTTTAAGGAACATATGACATTAAGGTTTAACCATTTAAACTCTGTTGGATTTTACCAGCTAGTTCTTCCTTCAAATAGTCATCATTACTCAACTTTGCAGAGTTTTAATCAAATCAACACTCAAAACCTTGTTTCTCAGTTACTTCATACATAAACAGTTGCTCTTAAGTCATCCAACTACAGCTGCTACTATTTTAAAAGGCATTGACCTCAAGTCAACACCAGATGAGTCAACAGAAATCAGCTTTACTCACGATATTCTATTGACAACCGCATCTTCATCCTCGTGGTCATCTACAAAGAAAACCAAACCACTTTAGTCAAAGGTGATCACATCTTATGATAAAAATAACTCTGAAATACATGATTAGTCGACCAAACACTCACTTCCTTTTTACAGTTTCATGTCAAGATATTTAAAAGAAACAGATGCACAGTAAAATAACAGCATGGAAAGAACTAGAATATGTGAGAGTGCACACAACATGCTCATAAAACTGCATATAAGAAGACATTTTTCTCCTTTCCTCTGAACTGTGAGTGAAAGATTCGCCTACTTAACTAGTAGATGTCGGAGGAATCAGCAGTCTGGATTTGACCGGTAAAAAACTTGAAAAAGGGTGTAGCCTGTGAAGCCTTGGTGACCAAGACACACTTAATTTGTCCCAGGAAATTGGGATACACTTCATAATGTCTAACCAGGCAGTCCTCTCAGTTTGCTCCTTCAAAACTTGAACCAGGTTTTTCTTTTTCAGCCATTTCTTCGGCTGTGGCTCAAACGCAGGCACAAATGTCAGAGAACAAAACATGTCTAAGATGTTGATATCTAATCAATCTTCACAGTATGAATACTATTCAACTACACAGGTGAAGTCAGTATTGATTGTTTTTATTTGACAAATTGTGTTTACTGTCAGAAATGCAGGGTGGGTACAGTTTACACTGATGCACAGCTGACTGTAACAGATTATTATTCTGACATGGGTGTGGTTTACTACACACACACGCTTACACACCTCTAGGCTGTCATGTCCTGTGAACACAATAACAGGCTCTGTCTGTGTGTAAACGCAACACAACCAGATGGACAGACAAGCTTGTGAGATGTTATCTCTGAAAATGGATCCACCATGGACAAATTTGAGCAGCTTAAGTGTTGAAAATTCTTTGCAATGGATGACAGTCACAGTTTCACCAGCATGTTTAAACTCTGTTCCCATGGACGGGGTGTTGACTTTTCGCAGAAACACTTACCACTCTTCCTCTTGTATCTGGTTATGATGCAGTAGGACACAATATAGAGGACTGCAAACAGGAGGAAGCAAATCTGAAAAGATATTATTAAAGTCCATGTCAATAATTAACAATGAATGCAGATCAAAGAGAGTTCATTTCTTGTTATCAGACATTGTTTTAATCAGCTCATCAGCAAGAAAAAACAAAGTGCACACAGCGGGTCTCAAATGAATGTTAAGTTTTGTCGCCTCATACCGCAATAAGACTCTCATTCAACAAACCGTGCTGTTATACAAATTTATTTGATCGGATAAAACATTTCATTTTATTTTCTGAGTATCGCAACACATTTTGTACTGTATTAAGACAGATTAGATCTCAGACGTCACAAGAATTCAGGGTAGCCTGAAATTAGCTGAACAATACTGCTTTATACTGTACGTAGGGGTTTGATAATTTGGTATGCTAACCTAATCTGAAGTACAATTGTAAACCTGCATCATGTGAGACTATCGGTGTTGAAGTATTTCCCCATGACCACCATGGTAATCCATTCAGTCTTGTGCAAAATTGTATATTTTTGAACAGTCTCTCAAACAGCCAATAAGATGTTTTTTTTACCATCTATGAAACTCAGACCTGTTAATAGGTTATACCAGTGGTTCTCAAGTTCAATCCTCGAGCCCCCCCCCGTCCTGCATGTTTTGGATGTTTCCCTGCTCCAACACATCTGATTCAAATGATCAGCTCGTTATCAAGCTCTGTAATGGCTTAATAACGAGCTGATCATTTGTATCAGGTGTGTTGGAGCAGGGAAGTATGTAGTACAGACACACACAGACATGCACACCCATATTGGTCTATTTCCTCCTCTTTGCACTAATACTGTGGAATCTAACAGTCAGTTAAGTCATATTTTTTCTATTTCTGGTTCTAGATAATTAGCTATAAAAAGAAATGTCAAAAGAAAAAAAATTCAGCTAATTTGTTCTCAGACCAAAGCTATAAAGCAGTGATCTGTTAATGCATTTATTAAGAACAAAAGTGGGCAAGGCATCATTGTTTTCCAATGTGTGACAGCTTTAATTAGGCCAATGATTCACGCTAAGCGGTACAGAAGTTACCAATGAGTGGAATTTATTAGGTAACCACTGTCTTAAAACAAGCTGGATGATCTTACAGAAAGATCACCTTTCACATTCCCCCCTTCTACTGTGACAGTGACCGGGACATAACTAATGTTAGAAGCTCCCACTTCAGCACTTTGCTCCCTGTCAACATTGCACAACTCATCATGGCCAAGCTGGGACTACGAGATGACTCAGCCAGACACCAGGCAGAGAAGTACATTTCAGACAGACAAAATGACATAAAACAAGATACCAGACCTCCTTAGTCCATCTGTTGGGTATTTAGTGTTATATCACTGCAGGAGAGAAAGCAGTTTCCTTATCCTCTGCAGCTCTTTTCAAACAGGAAGACAGCTGATACTCTTTAAGCTACAAAACTGTGGGGACAGAAGCTGAGGAAAAAGTGTCCACAAAGGGGACACACCCAGAACCAGATGCACAGGGCTGATAAACTGGCATAGACCCATAGATACGACGGTTCTATAAGATTATCATTTTGAACTATATGCCAACCAGTCAATCCCACTATAACCAGACAAATGACAGAGCTGTTTTTCAGCAATTTAAGAAATAATATAGCAAGACATGTAACAAGAGCAAGTAACAGCAAGTCAGGGTTCCAGCAAACAGTTTGCAAGCACAGCCGACTATCTTAGGAACAGTGTTTCACACATTTATGATATATGAACTCTGGCTGGGGGTCAAGGAGAGTAGTCAAAGTTTCTTGGGGGAGTATTGTGAAAATCGTGCAGGTACAGATGAGGCAATCTTTTTACTTTTAAGCTGTGTGTACATATTGTTCTTAGATTCTTGTAGCAGTAAATAACAACTTCACAAGGTTGTTTGAAGCTGGAAGGTGGAAAAAAAGAGTACGACTGTGACAAATTGTTGACATGGTTGCCTGGGAATTCTTCACTCGATTTCTAACAGTAGGATCATATTATGGATGAAACCGTTTCCCACACATAAGCTCTACCTTGTCACTGAGTCATGCATGCCAACTTAAAATCTACACCAGTGTGACCTTTACTGCAAAATAAGCACACACACTCCAATATCATGTGAGCCCATAGAAATCGATCCATTAGCTGACCCAATCAAATAATTCAGTGTCATTACAGCACCATGGAAAGTGATCATAGGTATTTTGACATGGGATACTGAAGGACATAATGTGCAAAACATGAGATGTTGAGTCTGTACACTGCTATTGAGACATTTGATTCCACATTTCACAGGTGTTTATGGTGTATATTAAAGAAGATCTGTTGTAGACAGAGTCCCTTTTTGACACCTTTCACCTAAACTGCTGCTTTGATTCATGGCTGGGGAAAATTACACGCTAAAGCCTGTGCCAGGGTAGAAAACAGTTGGGTTTGTTGTTGATTGTTACACTCAAAACTGAGTAACCTTACAAAACAACCTCGTAAAGTTGCAGAGGGAAAAAACCGTCAGACAAGAACATAACATCTTACATTCAATATCACACAAAGAGCTTTGTGTCCTAGCCCGAGGTCTGCTAATAATATCACCTATAAATAAAGGTCCCTGTCTAAAACCCGAGTCAAGTTTCATAATCATCAAACAAGGAAAACTCATCAGCAGGGAAGAGCATTTTTACCAAAAAGCATGAAGACAATACTGTGTCAAAAAAAGATGCAATACCAGAAATCGCATAGTTGAAATCAAACCTTTTCTCTACTGTGAAAATTTTGGATTTAATTCTTAAAAATAAACTCAGTAAATCACAGATAAATGTTTAAATAATCCTAAAGCAAAGAAACTGATCATTTCAAGTTCCTGTTTGATGTAAAAGCTTTGTAAACAGGAAGAGCTTTAATTTATGAAGAAGATCTAAATATCATGAATCCCAATATGGACAACACAAGTCTAAAATCTGATTAATAAGAGTCATACGTCCATCTGTGGAATTAATGGGGATAATAGATTCAAGGAGAAATTTACATCCTTTGAGAAATAGTTTCCACTCACAACTCAGCTATCGATTAAGTTTGTTGAGGGTAGTGCATTTTTCTATTATTGCAGGTGATAAACAGAGTGTAGGACGGTGGGCTGCATTTTTTCAGACCATAACCCACCACAGCATATTTAAGATTGAAGTTAAATTATACCAAAACATAACCAAAACAAGTTTGAATTATAAGTGAAATCTCCTTCACATCAAATTCATTTTTAGACGAGGCATGTCCTGACACATATAGAAGCATTTCCTCTAAAAATAACGGATACACGTCTGTCAATCCAAATATATATATATATGGGCATTTAAATATGTGTATTATCTCTGAATACTGAGTATGAATTCCATCCTTACTGAAGAAGATCACATAATAGAGACAGAAACATTTGGTCCATGCCCACGTTCTGTATGTCCTCCTAATAACCGATACGCACATTTATCCCAAATCTCCAAAATCATCGATCTGTCAGACGTTACAAAGTCAAACCGTTACCATAGCAATCAACTTATCAATGGGAGCTAAGCTGAGGCAGGCTAACTTTAATTAGCGCCATCACTCGCTATATGAATTTAGATATAAATTAGGCAACATGAAATTGATAGTAAAATAAATATTTTTGTTGCATGGTGAAAGGAATTTAAAAAAATAAAATTTGATAAATGTTGCCGTAATAACTGACAGACAGAGCTAACGTTAGCAACCGTCAGTAGAGGACGTCGTTAGCCTGCTAGCCTTCATTAGCAGCTCCGTACGTTACTTACAATGTACTCTCGAACTTGGCTGTGGAAATTCTGCTCTCTGATAGTAACATCGTCTTCTTCCATTCTTCATATTGCAAATTCAAAAAAAGGCTACAGACTCACTACATGCTAGCTCTGTCAACTCGCATTTACTACCCCCACGTCTTCCTTCGCTGCAAAAACACCCGGACTGAACTGCTTAAACAGACAGTTTACATCCAAGAAAATAACCGCCCCAAAATAAAGCACGTCATCAACAGACGTCAGATCCTTTGCGTGCCCTGGAAGTATATGGTCACGTGCTTTTGGGTCAAAGTAGAGATGGGCACGGCAGATCTTTTAGATGTACTGAATCACAGGAATCAATTCACTAGAAAGATTCGTTCAAATGATTCATGTAGCGCTTGGCGGGAGGAGCCTGCGACCCCGACCTCCTGAACCGATACACAGCTGAACGGTTCAGGATTCAGTTCAATTCATAGCTTCTGGGACCAGAAGACGTCCCAGAGTGTTTGGCTGTGTTGCTTCAACAAACAGGTTTGTCAAAAATGAACTTGTTTATAAGTCATGATGTTTTAAGTGTACTGTCCTATGGTATGCTATTTATCAGGTCTGCTCGGTAAATTGGGCTCAGTGAGTGATTTGTTCACTAGACGTTTAGAAGAATTCACAATGAACATGCACCGTTTCCTCGCAAACCGCTGCAATGATAGGATGTTGCGGGTGTAATGCACTACTTGTTATATACTGTGTTTAATTGTATGCCAGTTGTTTTGGTGGCAATTTAGCAGTAAAAAAAATAAAAAATAAAAAGTAGTTTTGTTTGACAAAAATGATTCCAGAGAGTATAGTTCAATGCGTGATTTGTTCCCCAAGTGATTCAGGCATCATAGCATGCAGTCCCTTGTTCGCCGGCTGCTCGACTGGCAATGCAGTTTCTCACTTCAGCTCAACTGAATTGAGAAACGAACGAATCACTCGAGGAAGTGATTCGTTTCAGTACGTCGCTTAAGGATTCGTTGTTTTTTTTTCGAACGAATCGTTCGCGAACGACACAACACTGGGTCATAGCAACAAATGTCGTCCTCATGGAGACACATGTGCGGTAACAAGAACTTATCCATCTGAAGGTGTAGAGTTATCACTATTTTCTATATCTGTCGGCATATGTAAATTATTTCTAGTTTGATAACCCTTTTTTGCCAAGCTGAGTGACTGTACATCCTGAAAAAAGCTAGGTTCTCCAAGTTAACGTTATCGTAAGTCAAGCTAGCACATAGTTGTTATCTGTTACTTGTAAAGATGAAGGGGAAATGGAAGCAAAACAGCAAAAAGAAAAAGGGAAACGAGGTTTTAAAGAAGTACATGGTGGCAGTGGGTGATTTTATCAAGAAAAGTGGTGCTGAAGAGGTCGAGGATGACAATAGTTTGAGATTTATAAAGAAGAAAAGCAGAAAGGAGCTACGTAAAGAAAAACGTAAAATGAAAAAGGCCAAAATGAAAAGTCATTATGAGGGTAAAAAGGCCCTTAATCCAACCCAGGATGATGGTGGTAACTTGGGAACATCGACTGATAAACAACAGAAGAAGAAAGGAAAAAAGAAGAAGGAGAAGGCAAAGACAGAAGAGACAAAAGTCCCAGCAGAGAAAGTGGAAAACTCTAAAGCATCCCCAACATCCAAGAAAGGCAAGAAAAGCAACAAGCTCAAGGAATCCAGAAAAATGGCACTCTTGGAGGCAAATGAGGAGGAGGACAGGGAGATAAAGAAGTTGGAGCGCTGCCTGGGATTAAACAAGAGGAAAAACAAAAAAAGTCTCCCTCAGTCTTTTGTGGCGGATGGGCTGGATTATATTCTTGGGATGCTTGACTCTGGCTCATCAGCTCCTGGTGTGTACAATGATGATGATGACGATGACATGGACATGGCAAAGAAAAACTTTGAAAAGCTTGATGAGGATGAGGATGAGTCTGGGCTTTCAGATGAAGAAGGAGAACCTGAAGATGAGATGGAAAGTGAAGCCGGTGATGAAGATATGGATTCACAGGATGATGAAAATGAGGAGGACATTGAAATGGACGATGATGATGATGATGATGATGATGATGATGATGGGGACGATGATGATGATGCTGTGGAGGATATAGAGGGTGACCTAGTTGAGAGTGATTCTGCTGACTCCAACAATGAAAACGCAGGGGAAACAGATGAAGCAGCAGACACTCCTAATGCAAAACCAAAGTCAGAAAATGTGAGTTCTTTCATAGTATCACAGTATTACTGTCTTTTTATTGCTAACTACGTACTTGATCTAATTCCAATTTTACATATTTTATTTTCTAGGCCAGCTCTGCAGCAGGTAAATATGTCCCACCTCACCTGCGAGGCATTGGGGATGATAAACGTAAAGCAGAGCTTGAAAAACTGAAGAGGAATGTGAAAGGCCTGGTGAACAGGTAACAATTCTCAATCAAAGAAATACCACTTCTTTTGCCTAACTATTAAAAGTTGTAATCATAAAAATTAACACTGACCAATATTGGTAGTTAATACTAACCAATGATAAACAGACAGCCCCAATTTATTTTTTAGCTGGTATTACTGTAAGGTTTGGAACTTAACAGTGTTTTATGAATAAAGAAATGATATGAAGACTGCTGACCAAGCTGTTAAATTATGTCCCATACATGTGGGGGTCCAGGTTCAGTTTCAAGCTCTGTTACCGTACAGTGCTCCTTGCTCTCTCCATATTTCCTGCTCTATCCACTGTCCTGCTGTATCTAAGTAAAGGCCAAAAATCCCCTGAATAAGTCTAAAAATAAAGGCTGAATATAGTTCTTGGAAGTATTTAATAGATGGTGTCAGTGCCTAGTTTTTCCAGCAGAGTGTGCTCCATCTATCTTTAGTGTTAAGTTTTTTTTCCTACTAAATCAGCTGTAGTTTGGACTTTGAAGCTCTACTCGGTCTGTCTGATAAATATAAGTGTATTTAAGTGTTTGTGCATTATGGACATATACTTTATGAATAATTCAACTGGTTATTATGCCCTGTCCATATGAGTAACACACTCACCTTGGTATTTCTGTTTAAAGCATTGGTCTTAAACAATATGAAACACATTAAGATTGCTTGGTCCTGCAAATTCACTGGATCATCAGTGAGACACAGGGAAAGATAAGTGGATCAGAACTTGCACTTACAGATCACACATTTTTTATTATATGGAAAAAGGATATCTGCACACTTACTTAGTGCAATTTTCACTATATTTTTACTGAAAATTGCACCAACAAAGTTTGCGCATATCCTGTTTCTTACATCTTATCTTTTTGATGCTTCTGTACCTGATTAACTTTATGCAAGGTTGAGCAGTAATCTCTTCACTAAATTACAAATTTCAAAACTATTCCTGAAAGAAAACTGCAGTATGTCCAGCATGAGAATACTGCATTAAAAACTGCCTGAGTATTAAGCTGTTTTCTAATATCTTTAGGCTGAGCGAGCCCAACATGGCATCCATAAGCAGTCAGCTGGAGGAGCTGTACATGAGCTGCAGCAGGAAGGACATGAATGACACCCTGACAGAGGTGCTGCTGGCTGCCTGCGTCACCCCGGCCCTGATGCCTGACAGACTGCTGATGGAGCATGTCCTGCTTGTCAGCATCCTTCATCACACAGTCGGTCTGGAGGTAAAGGAGTTTTCATAATGCCAAGGATCACTTTTATATAAACAGGCTTTACTTTATTCTGGTATTTTTTTCTGTCTTGTACTTTCTGGTTAATTTCAAGTAATCAGTTTGAACAACAGCATGAGTTGAATAGATTTTTGTGTAACCAGCCTGCATGTGGGCAATAATTACAGCTAAAAAGGACATGGAGGTTTTGTTTTCATGTTTAATGAAAGACTATGCTCTTTCGATTATTTTTGAAGAGAAGTGAAACACCTTTCCTTCTTTTTTAATGTGCAATGATCTTGTTTTCTCATAACAGGATTTACTGTCTGTTTCCCAGTAAGATAAAAACAAAATTATAATAAGTGTCATGATCTGCACTCATGTGGCTTTCCATGCACTTTCTGTGAGATTTGAAATTATTCAGTTATGAAAAACAACAATAATGATAAAGTCACCTGCATTTTGAGGTGTGTTTTTATATGGAGTCAACTTAAGGGTTTGTCCTTGAACTTAAACATACTTTGACTTGACTGACAAATCTTTACTGCTCTGTTTGCTCCATTTCTCAGGTGGGGGCTCATTTCCTGGAGACAGTTGTGCGAAAGTTTGACGAAACGTACCAAAACCCGACTGAAAGCAAAGAGTGCGACAACTTGGTGGCTATAGTGGGTCACCTCTATAATTTCCAGGTGGTGCATTCGGGCCTCATCTTCGACATCCTTAAAATTATGGTCAGAGCGTTTACAGAGAAGGATGTTGAACTGGTTTTGTTTGTGCTGAGGAATGTCGGCTTCGGCCTGAGGAAGGACGACGCTCTGGCTCTCAAGGAGCTCATTTCTGAAGGCCAGCGCAAGGCCAGTGAAATGGGGACTAAGTTTCAGGATCAGACCAGGGTATGTAGCACAGTATTCCTTTAAAGTGTCATTACCTTTCATTTACTGAACTCTCTGAAACACACAAACTTACCTGATGATGGTTCATTTTAATGTGCATAGGTGCGATTCATGTTAGAAACTATGCTGGCATTGAAGAACAATGATATGAGGAAGATCCCAGGCTATGATCCCGAGCCTGTGGAGAGACTGAGGAAGCTGCAGAGGACTCTGGTAGGTGATTTATTTTTAATGAAAGTCGGTTTAAAACATTCATGTGATTATTTTTAAGGAAATAGACGCCATCTTTAATTTGTAGCTTAAAGACTGTTTTCTATTCTTCTACATAGCACTGCACTGTCTCCAGTTAATTTCATAGTAAGTTTTCTTTCACCACCAGGTGGCCCCATAGCGCCACCTTGATAGACCCCAGAGCATTGCTCATGCCTTCACCATGACTATGAGTGAGGCTGTTTTTAACAAGCAGTCTACTTCAGGACGCCTGATTCCATGTCTTCCTTTAATATTTCACAACTTATTTACTGTCTTGGTGCGCTAATGGCAAATTCTGTGTAAATCTGCTCCTCAGATAAACCGCAGTGCAGGGGGCAGTGACATGAAACTGAGGGTCTCTCTGGAGAATCTCTTGGCAGCAGAGCAGGTGGGCCGCTGGTGGATTGTGGGCTCATCATGGAGTGGAGCACCCATGATCAGTAAGGAACCAGGCAGCGCCACATCAAAACAGAGCACGGCTGAAGGACAGGTAGAGTACTGGAACCACCTGAAAGAAATGCATCTCTCAATGTATAAGATTTAAATCATGTAAAAGCTTCAACTTAAAGGGACAAAAACTCATCTTTTCTTGGAGATTCTAATGTATTTTGCACTTCTGCAATATAATGGATTTTATTTAATCAGTCTATATTCATCAAGTCAGATATTTTCTCATGCTGAATTTTAATGAAACAATTTTTTAGTTTATCTTGTGTTGCTTCATAAGCATCTTTTGAATGTAGCTGCGGTTAAGGACCAGAGACAGGGTATTCGAAGCAGTCTAGTTTCCTTGGTTGACCTCATAATCTTTGATTGGATGTGCTAAGGTTGAATGTTTTATAGTCAAGGACTCTGTCATATATTTTGCTAACAGACAAGAATTTAAAAACAAAAGTATTTTGCACAAGTACAGTCAAGTCAGAGTAATTTTATTCTTTGATGGTTGTATTTGGTAGAATCAGCCATTCTAATCAAAATCTTGTTATTGTTTTGCTTGAATCAGTTCAGTGCCAAAGTCCTGGATCTGGCTCGGAAACAGAGAATGAACACGGAGATCAGAAAAAACATCTTCTGTGTCATTATGACCAGTGAGGATTATTTGGACGCCTTTGAAAAACTGCTCAGGTTTGTTGTCATTCACCTCTGTCAGCTGCCGTATGTCTTTGTTTCACCTCGGTCGACCAAAGACAGAAAAGATGATATTTTTAACACAGTTCCATTAATAAGAAGTGCAGTTTTAAGTGTAATAGTAATTTCCTCTGTGTCAAAGGATGGGACTGAAGGACAAGCAGGAGAGAGAGATCGTTCATGTTCTGATGGACTGCTGTTTGCAGGAGAAAACCTTTAACGCTTATTACGCCGTGCTAGGAGAGAAATTCTGCTCCCATGATCGCCGCTTCCAGGTACTCTAGCTAGTAAAAATGGAGCATTGGATGACTGAGAAACAAAAACACCATGAATTTACGAAACACTGTCCCCAGGACTTTATTGTCTTTTATCTTAAGAGCAGAAAAATATTAGGTATCATTTCATCCTGTATTTTTAGAACCAAGACAACAAGATTATTTCATCTACAGAAATTCTTTATCTATGATTCTACTTTATTTAAAATTTGTCATCACTTTATCACTATTTCATTCTTTTATAACTAACTAATTTGTCTTTAACGGCCAGATTATTATAAACAATTTTTGAATTTAGTAGCTATAACAAGACATTCACTGCTTAAAAACCTAACTCTCACCAACTCAAAATTAGTTGCAGGCATTTTTCTATGTCCATCAATTTCACCTCTTGTCGTTTTTCATTTATCATGATATGTTGAGAGTAAAAAGATTATCGTAAAGTTGAATGGTGCAGTTTCCCCCTGTTTATTTGTCTAGTTTAAAATCCCAAATTATCATGGGTGGTCTGAAAAAAATATGCACATACATAAACCATAATTCAACTTATGTATGTCTATCCCTGCTCATTTCTGAATTACAAATTTTAATTTAAAAGAGTAAATTCTCTATACATCTGATGACAATTAGACAAGCATCATTTATGATTAAATGACCTCCCCAGTGTGTGTGTGTGTGTGTGTGTGTGTGTGTGTGTGTGTGTGCCTGCCTGCCTGCCTGTGCCTGTGTGTGTGACCACCCAGTCTCCTAAACTGTGTGTGACCTGCTGCGTGTGGCCTGTAGTTCACCTCTGTAGTGTGGGATCCTCTCACACCTCTCACCTCTGATATTACTCCCCTCAAACTGTGAGCTCAAACAATAGGGGGCGAGAACACACTTCCTACTTTGCTATCTCGTAGACTGCGGGTCCGTATCAGAAAACTGACGACCATTGTCCTGATCAAAGAGCTCAGAGTGGGGCTGGTGAGAATGTTTGTTTTTCACATGTAAACTGCATCTGAAGGAGGTGATTACCTGTGCAGAGAAGCTGCTTTTTGTTGTTTATAGACTGTGCTTCTCTTTTAGGGAACTATCTGATTCTTTTTTTAATCCTTTATGTGTGGATCTGATGTCTCTTTTTCCTCTAAGATGACTTTCCAATTCAGCCTATGGGATAAGTTCAGGGAGCTGTCAAACCTTCCTAGCAGCACCTTCAACAACCTAGTCCAGCTGGTGACCCGCTTTCTCCAGAGGAAGTGCCTCTCACTCTCCGTGCTCAAAGTAAGACATGCAGGGTGAAGCTTTCACTGTGTTAGATCTGGATTTTAATGTTATAAACTGACTTTACTATCTGTGTTTTCCTGTGTTAGGTTATAGAGTTTGGGGAGCTCGACAAACCCACCGTCCGTTTCTTACGTCATGTGCTAACCAAGCTTTTAAAAGAAACCGAGCCTGAGGAGCTGGTCAGCATATTTGGAAGGTGAGCTCCCTCCAGTTCTTCAAGGTTTAAGGATTAGATCAGTCACAAAAAAGGAAGATGAATGCAAAACTGGCTGATCTGTGCAGAGAACATTGCAGCAGTGATTTCAGCTGAATGCCATCATTGGTGTATTGACATGCTCTCAATAAACACTCTGAATTAGGCTGTTTCGCTGTTAGAACATATACATGCCCTTTTTTCAATTGGGAGAAGAAAAGGTGTTGAATAAGAAGTCTGTGAGAAATTTTCACACACTGATGGAGACAATGATGGTTTTAAAGTCACAAACCGAATCTAAATGGGGAAAAACAGACTCCTAAATCTGGTGAGCACAGTAGATTTCCTAAAATAGTTCTTTGAGACAGAAATGCAGGTAAACAAGTAGAGATCAGGTTGATGGAAATGTCAGATTTGCAGAACAATCTAGTATTTGAGAGACACATCTGGATCTGATGGTGGCAACATCTGAGAAGAAAGATTGAAGTTGGATAGGTGCTAATATTCCCAAGTCCGTTTTACGTGTTGAGCAAGGTTAACCCCCATTAACCCACATCTTTTCTCTTTGCCCCTCATGAACGTCTGTAATCAATGTCCTTCCTTGTTTCCCATCTGCCAGGATCTCAGGAATTCCCAAGCTAGGAATGCTGCGGGAGGGCTTGAAGCTTTTCATCAGCCACTTCCTACTGAAGAATGCTCAGTCACAGGGACCAGCTGAGCAAGCATCGCTGCTGTCAGAGCGCGCACAGGTCGCTTCTAGAGCCATGGAGGCCAAGGAGGCCAAACTGAAACTGTAAAAACGACACACACCACACACTCACACCTCAGAGACTTACAAAACTGCGGAACAGAAGTAGACGTACTTCTTCATACAAAGAGCTCAAACCTACACTTTCCCTCAGCAGACAATGCGGAATAAATGTATATTTTTAATAAAATAATGATGTTTTGCCTCGGGGGTTGTTGGACATAGTTTTTATCATGATTTTTTTAAATTTAATTTGGAAGATATCGATGCGTATAAAGACACACCTATCTGTCAAGCAGTGTGCACTGGCTCAACTCACTAACATTCTTCAAAAAATAACATAAAAAAACTGCATAATTTCAATTTGTAAGTATTACCTTTGACATTGAAGTATCTCACCTCTCAAATGAATTGTTCGGGATGGTTCTTGTACATTTGTTTACATTTCTGAAATATAATTCATCTAAAGAATCTCATTTTGCTTTGACTCCAAAACATTTAAATGGATTTCATTTCTTCCACTATAACTCGTGCATATTTTATCAGACTGCCATCATGTAGAAGGTGCTTAATATGGGTTAATATTGTCAAGTTTAGACACCTGGAGCAATCCTTTTGCCCTTGAATGCACAGAAGCAGAGTAATAGTCTTCCTTGCCTTTAACGCCACAGATTGCAGGATATTTGTATGTTTGGTCTAGCCAGTCATTGCCACACCCTGGCTATGAGTCTCTTGATAATTCTACTTTCGTTCAGTGTCTGACATAAACATGAGCAGTGTGAACAGAGGGGGACAGTGCTGTCGTTCATTCAGTGTTTGCACTCCCTGATGAAGTGACCCCGGGCCCTGAGTCTAGCCTCTCCTATTTGCTCGCTGACACCCGTCTCTGCCTGCGTAGTTAGCATAGCAGAGTCATTCTGTTACATTTGATACATGCTCTTATTAATTAGCTTAGTGCGTCGTGTATCAATCAGAGAGGCTGGAGCTAGTCTGAGGTCATGAAAGGGCCACTGAGGGTCAACCAGAGGAAATCTGCCTCACCCCCTTACACTGTAGCCTTGTGTTGAATCACGCACAAATATTACATCTTAGATGCAGATCACTGACACAAAGAATTAACACCTTGCACTTGAATAGGAGTGTGTTTTGATGGAGACTACTGGGAGGATGACTGGAGAATTCGTCACTTAAAACGTGGAGATAGTGGGATCAATAGGCCCTTTGTGCGCTCCATACACTGCCCATTGTCTGCAGCCATGAGCCCTCAGACTTAACGTCAGCTTCACCTGGTGTACTCAGGTCGAGCTTGACCCTCGGCTGAACTTTGATTTAGTCTGCTTAAAGCTAAAGCAAACAGCAGAAGATAACCAGCAGATCCCTCAATAATCCTTCGACAAATGGGACATTATCATGAAACCGCTGCTGTAGTTGAACACTGATTACTGCAGGAACAATAACAAGTGAGCTCATTCTGTGCAGTGTTTTCTGTAAGGAGGCTGAAAACACTCTTGCAGGTAAAAAAAACTAAAGGTTAAGGCCTGTTGATACAAAAATGTGCGATTGTAATGCACTCAAAATGAACACATATGTTGTGTGTGCAAGAATATAGCACTGATTGGGTGCATATGAAGAAGCCGAGACTTATTTTTAATGCTAAAATTGTGAATGTATTATTTTTATTACTCTATAGAGTCTTGTTAAATGTATCAGGAACGTTTATATTTTATCTCAACTCTCAATGTTGAAAAAGCACAGTTTAAAAAAAAAATGTGGAAGGTCTGCAAAATAGTAGGCAAAACTGGGCAAATAACAAATAAATATTTCCAATTTTAAAAATCAACAATTCAGATACACTATGCATTTTATTTGACACATGACCATAAAATGATTTCACCCCTAAAAATAGTGCCCTAGCAGCCAGGTTGTCGCTCAACGCTCCGTTTTAAAGCCTTTATTAATGCCAGCCCATTGCTAGTGTGGTGTGAAATGTTTCCTCCGTCTGCCTGCCCACTTACTGTTTGCTCTCACTGCACGTTTGCACAGATCCGACAGCGCTATTAACAGTAATTCCCATGACCCGAGCTGTCAGAGCAAGGAGAAAAACACCAGCCTCTGTGCACATCCGCGCCGCACCACGCTGTTAACTGTAAATCAAAGGGACTAGTTTTTCAAGACGAGTGCAAAAAAAAACAAAAAATAAAAATACCAACGATTTTTTCTTTTATATAAAATGATTTATTTTACATTGTTTGCACCGAGAGACGCTAAACAATAATATAGCATGCACTGGTATTATCATTTTATAAATACAGTATACAAAAATAAACATAACATTTTTCAAGTGTAATTTCAATTGAAAGAAACTCCATAAGGAACAAAGTAGGCCAGATTTAGAGGCAATATTGTACTGGGTATAGCCTACTGTTGTGTGGGCTAGCCTGTGAGATATTTAGGATATTATTGCTTGCAAATTAACCATCGTAGCGGGTGAGGATTGTTAAATCCATTGCCAGTTTACGGCGATTTTTCATCCATGCAGTATTACATAGTTATCTACAGCCGAGTGTTAAAAGGTAATGATAAATTCTGATGTATTGTGTTTTTTTTTCTGGCACAAAGATCGTCTATTCTTGACCTAATTTTATTCTTTATGAAAAAGAAATTGCTCATAAATTTAACGAAATTCTTTAGAGGTTGGATTACATGCAGCTGCATTTTTAAGACGAATATCCCCCCCAACAGTCATTATAAATGGAGATGGCCCTCATCCTCTTCATTCTCATCTTCATCATTAGGACTGCGGACTAATGTCACTGGTGTGATTCCTCTCGTCATCTGAGGAACAATCTGATGAGTTATACAGGAAATTGTCGCCCTCGTCGTCGTCACTGTCTCTGAAGTCTCTTATTCTGCCGTTTTTGGAGTCTGTCTTGCTGTTATAGTCCGACTGTTCGTGTCCGTCTGATTTCTCCTGACCGCTCTTGTTGCCCTTCTTCTCGGCCTCCTGGGCCGCCTGCTCTTTGGCCTTCTTGCTCCTCTTCCACTTCATGCGTCTGTTCTGGAACCAGATTTTAACCTAAAGAAAGAGAAAAAAAAAGTTTACTTAATTTTACATATTCACAAAGAGTGAAGCTGTGCGTAAATGTGCGTAAACGTTAGGTTGAGTCTGCAGCGTTTACGCACCACCTGCCATTTCGCGGTTTTGCAATCATACCAGACCAACTTTTGAGAAATACATCCTCAACTATATATATATATATATATATATATATATAATATCTATTCTTCCATGCAAGTGTGTTTAAATTAACATGTATTCAAATGGAGCAGCAAGAATTGTAAATAGTAGAGGGTAGAAAGCAGGGAAAACAATTCAAGCAGCGAGAGTGCATCTTAGTTATTATACAAAAATAAAAGAATAAGTTGCTATTAATTTGTGAACCTTTTCAAAACTGTGTTAGTGACCTAAAATAGGGAAACGGAAGAGCTCTGATTTATTACCTGGGTTTCTGTGAGCATGAGGGACGTGGCCACTTCAAAGCGCTTGGGTCGTGACAGGTACTTATTCAGTTTGAACTGATGCTCCAGCTCCAGCAGCTGCTGACTCGTAAATGCAGTTCTTGGTCTTCTGCACTTGCCAAGCAAGTTTGACTGCGCCTGAGCTGCGGGAATAAAATATACCATTAATTTGAATAACAAAGAAAACATCATCAATCAGTCTTTATAACATGTAAGTAAAAAAAGTGTATAATCATAACCAACTCTGCCGAAAATCAGTGTGAATTCGTCAACCCTTATATTATTTTGTTGTGAAATACATTATAAGCTCTCCGTTTACGCATCAAGGTCATCCACTTATGAATATTTCCACAGAGGAGCTATTTACCTCTCCATTTTGAACAAATCTGTTAAAAGGAGCAGAGACAAGAAGGCAGTATCTGGTGAGCAAATAGCATGTCGACTGTGGGTTTCACACTCCTCTGCTACTTTCCCACTGTCCATTATCTGTCCATTTTAGTTCCTCTCAGAAAAACCATCAGTGAGTGACAGCCTCCCCATTCAGAAAAGGTTTTTCGATGTGAGAGGAATATGTGCCAAAATTACACGCGTCAACTAACCTTATTCTGGGGAAATAAGAATTTAACACTTCTCTAAATCCGTGAGTGAAGCTGTCTGTGTGGTACACAATCAAGTTCTACATTGTGATTTTTGTATCAATATTTATCAGGAAACCTGGTGGGGAGACTTTCTGGTCCTACCACAATCAAAAGGCTACATATTTTTTTATAACTTAAAAACGAGGATGACAATAAAAAAACGACAAAACATCCTGCCAGTACTCACAGTTAAAGTCAGACATTTTGGGCAGCATCATTCCGGCTGTGGAGACCCGCAGCCAGTGGTCCAGTTGGAAGGTGCTAGCTGTCAGTTTGATGGGATCGCTGCTGTGGTGATGATGTGAGCCATGCGGGTAGGAGTAGGACAGGGCAGGGTGTTGGCCTGTGAGCGCAGCTGCAGAGTAGGTGTACATGGGATGCCCGTAGAGAGCCTGTGCGGGGATCCCTGCAGTGCTCTGCGGATGTAATCCAACCATGCTGTGCGGACTGTTCAGGAAACCCGGTTTGGGAATCAAACCGCAGGTGGAAATCCTCGGAGGGGAGGGAGTCTCTGTGCGTAAAGACTCTGCACTGGTGCTCAGCTCCGCGGCTGCCACGCTTCCAGACGATGGGATGGAGGAGGAAGAAGAGGACAGGGAAGTGACCAGAGCGAGCGGAGAGGTCTGTACTTTGGGTGTATCGACTGCTAACAGCGCGTCAATGCGAAAGTTTTTGGATTTCTCCATCGGGCCGCCCGGTGTGTGCGTCCTTGTAGCCGCTGGTGCTGTAAAGAAAGGAGTACTCAGTCGTTTTCTCACCTCTCGGAAGTTCTGATGCGCACCGGAGTGTGAGAGAGGAGCTCAGTGTCACACTTAATCCCTGACAGATGACGGCGATTGGTGCAGCCGGCTGGAGGGGGCCGGCCCACGCGTCACACAGCCAACAACGCCAATAGCTCTCATCAGTGCACAGCAGCGTGTGGACTGCTTTATTATTACTTTAATTAAAAAATCTTCGAAGAGAAAATGTAGGGAACTTTTTGTTAAAAACGTTTTCCTCCAAAATTTCTTTAAAAATAGTTGCATTTTTTCTCTGCCCGTATTTGGGCCTTTAAGTTACTCACAGTGGGTTCACGAAATAAAGATTTCTAAGGTGATTTTCGCTGATTTTGTTCATGTATGATCGTGGATGCAGGTGTATGCTGTCTGCTGCGTAATCTTGCGCACAGGCATATCACCAATACAGCCAAGGTCACCTTAGCAGGTATTAAACGCCCCAAGCAACAAAAAAATTGATTCCTGGTATTGCATTTTCTTTTTAAGATTTAAAAAGAACCTGGATCATTTTCAAACTTGTTTCTGTTTTTAACAACCATGTGGAGGTTTAGACAAATACGCCTTCAAATTTTGTGACAATCCTCAGTTCTTGGATGAGTGTTGATCCACTTCTGTAAAACTAGGTTTAAAACCCAATTTTACAGTAATTATTTGTATCTTTGCTTATCAAATATAGGTAGCAATTGAAATAAATATCGTTTCTGCAGGGTCAGTAAAAGAAGATAATGACGCGCAAAAGTGAACATCTTGAGCCAGAGCACCCTGAGAGGCCAACAGGGAAATTTCAGTAAAAGCCCCCCTTCTGTCGCTCTGCAGGGCGGAGAGTGACAGACGCACACTGACCTGTTATAATAGAGATATATAGCCCAAATTAATTAGGTTGAACCTCTGAATGCCTCTACCATTTTGTCAATAGCAAACCAGCTTTCATTTGGACATCTTTCTTTCCAGATTCCGCACTTTACCAAAACGGCTCTCACCAAAAAGCATCATTTTTGAACCCGTGCTTTAAACAAGTCTGGTGTTGTTCTTGTTGAACCAAAATTATTGCATGAGATAAGAAGCAATTTGATTTTTGACAGCCGAGAAATGCTTTAAATAGCTGTCAAAATAAGTCAAATTTAAGCTCAATCTGTGCGCAACGAGCAGCAGAAATGAGGTAATTGAAAGGCCGAAAGTGTGCCGAGAAGAGATGGAGCTAATAGGCCCGTGGCTCCGGGTGACTTCGGTCTAATAAGCCACTTAAAGTTAATGGAAGAGGAGGTCAAAATGAGAATTATTGACACCCAGTTGCCCTTAACCTGTCTACCAATAAAGCTGATTAGTTTTTGTCAATTCATCAGATAAGCGCGCTCCGGGGACGTTTATTTGCTCGGGGGAAATCAACAAGTCACCGGATAGTCTCCAAGTAACGGATCGCCGTTTAATTGTGGACCCTGATGATCATGACCAATTACAGGATGATAACGGGGAGATTGATGCGGGTGGGACGTTCACGGGCCTGCTCTGGGAGACGTAGGGAAAAAAACAGAAGAGAGGATAGGATAGACGGTCGATGTCAGTGTGTGTTTTGTTGGGGGATGGATGCTGACGATTTAGTAGTAAGACAGGCCTCCAATTCTTTCCAAAACGGGCCAGGGTTTGCCAAAATATGTTTGATCTATTTCCACTTATCTTTTATTTGAAACCTTTACGCGAGGCTAACGCATAGGCCTATTAAAACGCACGACAAGGAGATGACGGATGTTTAGCAGGTATCTAAAAGATTGTTGTTTTGAAAGGCGAAAAAAGATCTTAATTTCTGAACATTCAGCACAAACAAGTCGCTGATCCTAACGTCGTATTTTGCATTTTAAATACATTTTCTCTGTCTTCCTTTTCACTACAACAGTCGGACTCTTTCCTTGTCCCCATCGCGGGTTTAATTTCATTAAGGGCCCCACATGAATATTTCTATTAAACCAGCGGTGAAATATGGAGCCATTTAGTATCGGCCTTCACCGATCACCCAGATTTATCGCTCCTCTTCATCACATTCAGGGAAGAGAGAATTAATAAGGCACCCAAGATATGGAACCGGACCCTAAAACCTTGGTCTTTTTCCTGAAAGCTGTTCATTTTCTCAGTAATTACTTTCACAATTAACTAAAATACAAATCATTGTGACAAATAGGGATAGTTTATATATTAATTACGTTGGGTAAATGTGTTCATGATGAAAAGGCAACTTTAAGGGGCCTGCACTGTCTCTTTAAATCCAATAAATACGTGTCTTTTAATTGGCACAGACTTTTGCAACAATTTAATGTGTAAAACTGATTTCAGCAACAATTCTGTTTCAGAATCATTCTCACTGATATATTATCAAATTATTTTCATGACCTTTGTCGAAAATGCCAATAAATCTGTCGAACTATGGATGAAAGCATGGAAAAATGACTTTTTTAAAGGGATATCTTGATTTTAATTTCCTTCTAAAATCTGATTCAGAGGGTTAACTTGTTTCAGATAAGTTACAGCAATACGCATTGAATGGATAGTAAACCCACGTCATTTCTGTACAATAATATATACACTCATTCAGAGTGTTTTGATGGATACATACAGTATGTCTTATCCTCGTGCTCCTGCGTAAGAAGTCTTAATTTGTTTGGCCAATCAAACCCCTGGTAATATACGTCATCGTTTTCTTGGTGAATCTAATAATAATGCTCAACTCTGATAATAACAAAAAGTAAGTGAATTAAAATAAGCATTGATACAGTACCCATATAAAATTCTCACCATAAAAATCATCAATCAATTCATTTATTGACTGTGTTTTTGTTGACAGAGGTGAATAAACAAAAAAGGGCTTACCACAAAATCCTGTCAAATACTTGAAAATCATTGAATTTTCCTTTTCCTATTGACCACTAAATCAAATACAGAGGTATAACATAATCAGTAGCAAAGTATTTTTTTTTTCTATTTCTTCATCCTAGAGAAAAAGGTTTGAAGTGGTGTTGGTTATTTAGACAGATGTGTTAAATTACGTTTCTCCAAAATGTCCACTGACATGCATGAAGGTCAAAAACTCATGACCAAACTCAGTACTGTGCAGCATTCATGATGTCACATTTACTTATTATCATGCAAAAAATCGTTTAAAAAAATAATTCCAGAAGTCAGAGAAAAATATTTAAACCTTGCAACAAGAATACAAACAATAAAAAGATGAATAACATTAAAAAAAAAATGCTGTTTCTCGTATCACTAATATCACCATATGCCAACGATATCTGACAATTAATGTAATTTTTTATGAATATAAAAAACATAATGTTGCCAAAAATAGGAATAAGTTGAATCATATTAACAGGCAAGGCTTGTACATTTGTCTATATTTTATGAATAAAAGTAAATACTGCTACTATTACTAATAATAATAATAATAATAATAATAATAATAATAATAATAATGATAACAAGAATCCTGACCAAGCCATCTTTTTGAGACCTCCAGCTTTGTGTAGAGTAGCAAGGATCTAAAGCTCACAAATATGACACATTTCATAGCATAACTTCATACATCTGACAACAAGACAAAGTGGTAAAAAAAAAAAAAGAGCTGAACAAAGAATTGCAACTAGATAGGTCTATAGTTTAGCTGGTAATCCTATGCATATGAAAACTGCATCTCAATCTCTATAACATAATTGTAAGACTATGATTTTGGGTCATCCACAGCATCCAATATGCCATTCAGTTTGGCTGTGTATAAGGCATAGGCTGCTCTTTGTTCAAGAAGTGAGCCCTGGAGTACACCACAAAGATGAACCCACCTACACAAATGATTTCTTTTAAAATAAGATTTAAAAAAAAAGTACCAGTACAATTATTGATTACAGTTACACTAGGAAATATTTAGTTTGAACCACTCTGGGTTTTTTTTGTTTGTTTGTTTTTTTACCTCATACATAGCTCTATGTTAACAAATCTATTTAGATATTGAATATTGTCCATTTTTAAGTCGTAAAAAAGAGCTTTTTGACTCTTACTTGGACAAGAAACCCTTAAAATAAGACATTGCCAAGTCTACTCATTAGGGAGTGAGAGATTCCTCTTAAACTGTATGTTTTCTTTTTTTTTGTTTAGTAAAATTGACAAAGGTTTCATGAACGTGACAGAAAAACAACCCAGTGATTATTTGTCTTTGCTTTAAATTTCAATTCAGTGACCTGTACTAAATCCTGGGTCAAAATACCTTTTGATTGGCTAAAACAAACCCAGTATTATTATATTCCTTCAGTACAAAAACACCTGTTCTGTTTGATTAAAGCAGAACAGGTGAGTCAATGACTGATGGTAGATTTCGTGTGTTTTCTCGAACCCACTATCAGCAAACAGCACACTCACACGCCTCACAGAACCTTCATCGCGGATCTAGTTGAAAGGTGGGTTTAAGCTCCCGGGAGATGATTGACCTCGCTTTCGTCCAATCAGCTCCCAGATGCCCCAGAAACCGGATGTAGTTAAGTTTGCTGTTCCCTGTGTTGTGTTGATTTCTAGAAAGAGAAGGAAAAGAGGACTTGACGTTTGGATTAGCATTAGCAGCATTCCTCGAGTTATCGCGTCTCTTTAAGGTAAACCATTTTAAGTCTCAGACGAGTGTCGAGGGAAGTGAGTGTTTTAAAAACGACACGCGTGTAAGAAAGACATCCTCCGTAGAGTTAGCCTGTCTCAGGCTTTAGCTGCTCTGGATGCTAGCTGCAGTGCTAACGTCAAAAAAATCACGTCCCTAATAACCCCAAAAACCAGGACTGCAACATTTCACAGATGAATATTGAGTAATTTCATGTGGGTATCGCCCCTTAGAGTGTGGTCATGTTAACAGCGTTGTGTAGAGTTTGACAGCTGCTGAGTCATTAGCTAGCAAAGGTAACCGGCTAGCTAACCATTGTTAAACCAAAGTGAAGCTGTCAGCCGGATAATCAGATGAAATAAACACTTAGTCAGGCTGTCCAGAACTCCATACTGTTCTCAGTCAGAGTTATTTTATTTTGTTTAATTCATTTAAAGCTCAGGAGTTTTATCTTACAGTTGTTATTAACCAGCTGATGGTTTGTAAGCCAGAGCCGAGTCACGTGTACTCTGGTTATTTTAATTTCATTTCGTCTCTAGTGTCAGTGTGTGAGCTACTATAAGGCATTAGATCACGACTTTAACTTCTGCTTTGTTTCATTTTCTTTTTCAGAATCTGGTGGCAACGTTTGAAGCAGTCCATGGGAAAAATCTAACAATGTTCAGCTTTGAGGGAGATTTCAAAACAAGACCCAATGTCTCACTTGGTGGAGCAAGTAAAAAAGTAAGTGAACATGTCTAAGTTAAAGGCAGAGAACGTGGATTCTGACCAGCACATTACCCAAATAATTACATGATGTCCCTCACTTAAATTGGGACTGTCAAAGACCAAAGAAAGTTTCTTAATTTTGTTAAAAAAACATATTTTTTAGGAGGAGAAAGCCTCTCTGCTGCACCGTACTCAAGAGGAGAGACGAAAAAGAGAGGTAACTTTTCATTATGATGTTTTTTTTATTCAGGTGCAGCTGTTGAAAAGCAAGTTTTATACCACTGCATATGTTTGTTTCTCACATTCACAGTATTTGGAAGAAACTAGGGCCTGACCGATTTTTTTGGGCCGATGCTGATACCGATTATTAGGGGGGTAAAAAGTCCGATTACCGATTAATCAGCAGATTTTAAAATTTTTTAATGAAACGTGTTTTCAACCCCCCCCCCCCCCCCCCCCCCTCGCTGATTGGTGCCTCCTTGTCTTAACTTGCATTACCCATTTCTGGTCTCATCTGGAGACATGCACCTTCCCTTAGTAAGAAAAGTAGCTTGATCACGTAATGTGTACTGTTGTTTATTCTACCGTTGCTGGCAAGACTAACAGTGTAGCAAGGCTAATAGCAGACTGGTTTATCCACCGTTGAGGTGGATCACTCTCCTCCGTGCGTCCCTGTTCTGCCTGCTTCAGATCCATCGCTCTGCTGTGCTGTGCTGTGAGGTAGTTAGTGGATGAAGATTGTCATGAGGTCGCTGCGCCATTTACAGGATAAGTCTGGGATCTTTTCAAATGGTGGATCATTTTCAAAGTGAAACCGGATCTTATTCTCCGCATTTTATTCTGAAAATATTGGTGAAAATGGGCGAGTTTTGGCCGATTACCGATTAGTCTCAAATGAGCTAAAATTGGCCGATTTAATCGGCTCACAGATAAATCGGTCGGACCCTAGAACAAAGGACAAACTTTCATAGTACTAAAAAAGCTACTCTAAATTATTGTGTTTCTTAACTACCATTTGTTTTTCTGTTGGTGTAGTGGCGGCTCCTACAATTAGGTTTGTATCGCTCATTTGCTGCTTCTGTCGCAGCAAATTCCCCCTTGTTATCTTATCTTTTCATATCTTCTGCAGAACAAAGTTTCACACATACTGTCCATTAACTAAAATGTATAGGGGCTGCTTGGATTCAGCCTTTGGCTACAGAAATTCTGGATTGTATGTTGCTGACAGAGATTTCTGAGTTTGTTACAATCATATAAACAGGTTCCATCATTAAGATGAGGACTGCACCTAATCTTAATGACTTTAAAACCAAACTCAAAACATACCTTTTTAGTCTTGCTTTTAACTAAATTCTGTATTATTAACTTTAAGTGTTTTATCATTTATCTCTTTCTAGTTTTAATGACAGGATCGTCTTTTATTGAGCTATTTTGGTGCTCTTATTTTAGTATCTTTTACTTTTGTTTTTATTTCATCTTGTTTATTATTTCTTAAATTTTTTTCGATGTTGCTTTGTTTTTATATTTTTAACCTAAACCTCCAGTGTTTCCTTATCTTGAGTTTTAAAATGGTGTTTCCTCAATGCGCACATTCCTATTTCCACAAATCAAGCCCTTTTTTAAGTTTTTGCATTTAATACTGTTTTTGTTGCGTTTAGATCGTGCGGTGGAAATGAGGGGTTGGGCTGGGGTAGATTTGGGTATTCTTTGTTTCTTTTATTCCTTTTTCTCATGTAAAGCACTTTGTGCTACATGGTTGTGTATGGAAAGTGCTATATAAATAAAGACTGATTGATGATGGATTATTACTGACTATCTTGTAGATATTTTAATCACAGAGAGGTATTTGCCTGCTTTTCTCAGTGCTTGATTATGCTTACTTAAAATCACTTTCCACATACTTTCTCCATTACTCAGGATGAAAGAAAACGGCTGAAGAATGCCATCATCATTCAGTCCTATATTCGGGGCTACCTGGACTTAAAACAACAGGTGAGTTTTCTTTCTTTAGATTTCACAAATTTCTTTTGAAATTTTAGGAAAGCTGCACACTTAGCCAGTTGTTGTTGAGTCAAACAGTGACTTTTGGAATGGAATAAAATCAGGTTAAGGGAACAGCCCAATCAGGACATACTTACAAGGATATATAACTGAATTGTTGCTTCCTTTCATAACATCATGGAAGTGGGTGCTCTTTTACAGGCTCTTGCCACGTTGTACTGCCATGTTTCTACTTTAGTGCAGAACAGACAAACTAGTAACACACATTTTAGTGCCTGTACAAAATGCACTGGTTAGAAGTCAAAGAAAAGAGTGTTTGATTTGGACAGAAAATTAACATTGCTTGAAGTTTTTGATTGAATAAACTTGACAAATGGAGGAGCATGATTATCATACATCTCAAGAGCTCCTTGATCACCATAGTGTCACCAAAAGGAGAGGTTAGCAGGGCAGCATTGTAAACTATTGCTGATTGCTGGATATCACTAAATATTCCCATTTCTTCACATGAACCTCTACTTCCAAATAAAGAGGGCCAGTAAATGTTTCACCCTAAAAGTCCCCTTTCCTTCTGTGATGATAGGAACAGCAGGTTTCTTGTTTTCTGTTTTGTTTTCAGAGGCCTGGACATTGTAATGATTTTTGATTAACCAATCACAATAATTATGTGGAAAGGCCAAAGTTAAGAGTGTTATAGACATTTTGGTTTTTTTTATTTTTCTTGAATGTTGAATTGACGGTTTGATTCAGGAATATGTTTTCCTCTTTTTTTCACTTTGAAATTAAACAATGTTAAGTTATCTTAAAATGTTAAAATGTTTATCTAAACGCATTGAACTAGAGATGTGTAATATTTGAAATATGTGACCTTTGAACTCCTTTCAGTATGCTATCCAGAGGGCCAGGTTTGATGAGTGTGTCAGCCAGACACTTTCAGGGGGAGCACAGCATTTTTTGGATGGTCCCGGTCTCAGCCTTCTATCAAGACAGCTCATATTTTTCTACAGACAGAGTTTGGATTCACATAGATTGGTGAGGTTAAGACTTATCTTTGATTCTCTTTTTAATAAATGTACCTGTGCTACTTATTCTCTAAATTATTTCCATTTGTGTATTCCCAAAGATATGGTTGTGCCAGAACCTTGTGAAACTCAACAGCCAGTTTGTGAAGCTGCTTGTGGGCCAACAGAGAGATACGTGTTTGTTTCAGATCAAGAGGATCTTGGGTTTCTGCTGCAGGTACAGTGCTTGAAAAAACGAGCAGAATCATACTTTGATATGACTTTTCGTAAATGGTATGGTAAATGGTCTGTGTTTTGTCTCTACAGACTGCTACAGAACTGCAGTGATGATGGTTTAAATGTGGCTGTTCCCATGCGGATGCTAGAAATCTTTTCTTCAGAGAAAACGTATCTTCCGGTTAATCCAGATGCTAACTATGTAGCTTCATTACTCGAGCAAATTTTGCACTATATGGTACAGAAAGGTAAGATCACACACGCTTAGACACAAAAAAAAACTTGTGAAGGAGTGTTTAGAGGAGGTGAACTGATGATGACTATTTGTGCTTTTCTTTCAGGATACTACAGATCGCTATATATTTTAGTGAATCACAGACTCCCTTCCAGTCTGGACTACAGCGATGCTCCCTCTGTCCCCCTAGCAAGCACACTGTTGGAGCACATTCTCAAACCTCTGCACTTTACCTACTCCTCCTGCACAACGGGCGCAAGGTACAGCATCATTCTGACACAACTAGTACACCCAGAGTAGGAAGTATTAGGATACCCACTCATGTCAGGTTGCAAAGTGTGGTCTTGTGATTTCCTGCCAAATTCAAATATTTACTAATTAAATGTTTTTGTTTTTTTTTGTTTGAGGGAAGAGTATGTCAGGGTCATTTAATTTATTTTCATCTACTATTTCTTTCATAAAGGGATGTTTTTGAAGGGTTGTGTACTAGGTGATAGCAGCTGCACTCCTTCCTTTTTTTATATGGCTATCAGATTATTCTCTATTTACAGCACAGATAGGTCTTAACCCATCGGGAAAGTCGGGATAGACTCAGGTTAGTGATCTTACAAACTTCTGCTTATTAGCCAGAGAAGTCACGGCTGAATTAAAGCAGGACAGGACAGTCCTTGTCCCTTGTGAATTCTTTAAAAATCATCCATTAAGCCGATCGGACAAACGACAGCAGTTTTTTGTCCCCTTTGGTCAGTAGCAAAGCAGTAATTGCTCGGAGGACCAATTTACAACAAGCCATAAAAGACCCCGAGACTCGCTTGCTCGCCAGAGTGTAGAGAATCAGGCTGTTTGCCCTCAGTTTCGGACATTCTTAATAACAAACGGCAGGGAACTTCTTTTCTTCTTTGAAGAGACCCAAGACCGGAGTGAGAGTAACTTGTGTACACACTGACTCTTACAGCTAATTATCTCACTCAGCCCACCAGATGTGTGTGACTGGACCACACAAAGCAGCTCTGTTTGGAGACACAATATTGGTGCAGAATGAGCAAAGTGATGTTATAACAAACCAGCCTCTTGGTTAATTTCTGCCTGAATGTAAAGCATTCAGAATTGTGTTTGTGTTGTTTTAGTCACATATTAGGTGGACGCAGTGTCTTTACTTGTGTCACGTCTTTTTTCTCTTTCAGGCAGTTTGTATTTGCAGCCTTCACCGAGGAGTTTATCTCTGCACCGTTCACCGAGCAGATCTTTCACTTCTTTATCCCGGCACTCTCTGACGTGCGTCTGTCATTCCCATTCGAGGCCTTCTTGAGCTCCCTCCAGGCCACCGTCAGCTCATCTTCTTCACCACAGAGCCAGGCGCCGTGGGTGTTGTACTTTGTCCTTTCTGCAGGGGAGAACTGCTTAGGTGGGTGGTGTTAAAATAAAGACAGGCTACTTAAACTCTTGGATGAGTAGAGATGAAGAGATGTCTTGATTATTACTGTGCGTTTTCAGGTTCCCTATCAGAGGAGGGTCTCCTGCTGTACCTTCGAGCTCTGCAGACTCTGCTGCCGTTGTTGCCTGTGTCTGAGAGCAGCAGTCGGCCTGAAGTTAACAGCGACTCAGAGGATGAAGATGACACTGGCATCCATCCACCACCCATGCAGGTACGATGCACACAGAAAGTAGATTTGGCATCAGTTCCCCATGAATATCTTCTTGCCAGGCTGAGTCATTAAGTGTTGAACAATTGTCAGAAAATTTTTACACGTTTTTCCAAAATGTTGGAAAAGCCTAAACAAGTCTAAATGAACACATGAAGGCTTTTTATCTTTAAAATCAACTTATGTTAAATACAGAACACAGCAGAAATTGAACATATGTTTAGATAAAAAGTATTGAGTTTTTACTGATGTCTTCACTCACCAGCATGTTTGCTCATTTTTACAAATTCTCATTTTTTTCTTCTAATTTTTAAATGTTTCCTTTTCTGTCAGGATGACAGCAGGATCTCCGTGCAGCTGATCACAGAAGAATGCGTCCACAAGCTCGACACAAAGCATCAAACGAACGCTCTACTCAACGTTGTGTGGAGGGACTCGGCCAGCGAAGAGGTGTTCACAATGATGGCCTCCATCTGTCACACGCTCATGGTGCAGCATCGCCTCATGGTACCAAAAGTCAGGTACGAATACACAAATCAGAGGAGATGTCTTTATTTAGTGAAATCCTGAAAGCTGTTTAAAACATCCATCTGTTTCTTTATAGTTAGTGTAATTCTTATTCATTTCAGAGGATGTACTCTTGGGTTCTTGCAGTAAGGTATTTTTTGTAGTGTAAATATAAAAAGCAAATCAAGGGTTTCCCGTTTAAAACAGGGCGTGACATCAGATTTAAAGCCCTTCTCAGTTTTATTTCATATCATAACATTTTACATGTCTTGTTGAGCACTGCTGCTTCTAGAGAGCTTGTTTACACATCTGCCTGATTGAGAGGAAAACTGTGTCTTTATGTGTTTCCGCGCTGTAAGCAATAATGTAAATAACGGTGAAGTGAGGCGGGCAGTTATCAGCGATCCGCACCCACTGGCATTTACAACCGACAAAGGAAGCAAGGATGTCAGGGAAACTGTCAGCTCTGGATGAGGGCAATTACCCCTTCTCAGGTTGATTACATTAGGGCCAGGATGCCAGAGGTGGTGTGTGTGTGGGTGGGTGGGGAGTGGATGGCGAATTGACTGACAGGAGGTGATCTAGACTGCTTCGTGGATGGTCAACCCGCTCTAGTTAATTATTAGTAGAGCTAGTTGATTTAAATGTGTGGCTGGAGGGGGTTGATGCATAAAAATGTTATATTGTGTTGATATACCACTGTTAATCTGTTTTATCACTTTGAAGGCCCAGACTTAGACAGGACTGAACAGAAAGGATGAAAACAAAAGGCTGAAGTCTGATGGTCAACCAGTTATTTTGCAGTTTCACTTGCAAATGAATAAACAGAATCCAGAGGATTCCCTTATTCGCCTAATTTTTTTTACAGCTTCCTCCTTCTCCCTGCTTTTACCATAAATCCTGCCCTTCGTCTTCCATCATTATTGGATATCTGTACAAAATAATTAGCTCACCGAGAAAGATTAATCACTGCAGGAGTGGACGGGATAGCTTTACAAGAGGCTAAGGGGAGCAAATTGCATCCCTGCCTTGATTTACTGCTTGTACAGCAAAAAAAGAGAGAGAGGCTGGCCAGTTGTCCGACTGGACCGGCACGCTGCCTTTTAATAAATATGTAAAATGTCTCATGAAATTAGTATTTTTGACAAACTAGAAACTTCACAGTGGAAATTGATTTCTGATTGGTGTGCTAATTGTTTAGAGGTCTGGTTTGTTCTAGCGAGAATGGTGTAATTTTACTTTAATTGTTTAGGATTGGATATTTGGTGTAATTTCTCTTTAATTGTTTGGCTTCGCTAAATGTAGCACCCTGTTGCTAACAGGACCGGCTCAGATTAAAGTAGGTGGAGATGAGCTTTGGTCATTTATTTAGTTTTCAGTGGTAGCTGTGATTTTTGTGTGGCAGTGGTGCCGATCAAGCAAACACAATAGTTGTTTCAGGTTTTATTGTATCAAATTCAACCTGAGGATGGCTGCTTTAGTTTCTGCTGAACAGAGATTCTTTCATTACCTCGAAATGAAATGATCTGAGTGTTATACATCAAGCTGCTTCACACAGACACATACACACACACACGTAACCCCTTTTGATGTCTTGACTTTGTTTATTAGCGGTTCATTCCATGATTGAAATGGGGGTTTGGGTTCTCTCAGGCCGTAAATCAGCATGTCAGCTGGCATTTAGTGCTTTGTTTCCCATTTCAATCAAACACTCGCATCACTTGTTATGAGCCCACCGCACTACTCCTCGCTTCTCTCCTGAGCCTTGTAGTCCTGACAGATGGTGTGGGTGCTCGGTAAACCATTTTTCAAGCCATACTGAAGGCTGTCTGACACCCCGGTCCTGGCTCTCATTTCCATTTTGGGAGTTTTGAATGGGTTTCTGTTGATTGAAGGTGGAATGGGAATTTAAGCGTTGACATTGAGAATAATCAGAGGACTTTCTTCCAGCTTAACTTTTCCATCTCCTCTTGTGTTTTTTTTTACTCCACTGACCTTTACCCCTCTCTTCTGCTGAGAATAGATGCCGCCCCATTAAACCAAGCATCCTTATAGGAGTCAGCACTGTCACTCTTAAACAAGGGTCTATTATATGCAGGGGCACTTTATTTTACTTTTTAGCTTACTTAACACGTTATTGTCACCTGTACTTACTCTCTGCGTGAAAAGCCACGCAATTTAGGGACACACACACACTCATACACTTGAACAAAGAGCAGCTTCACACCTCGGTGCCACAGCACAGCGGCTTCAGCGAGGTATGCAGGCCTTCCTCGGCGTTATCACGTAATTCACTGTGAGTGTGGAAGCATGCTGGCACTGCGGGGTCACAGCAAGGACCAGGCTTCCCCTCCTCCTCCGCCCTCCATTGTCCTGCGCCCCTGGCCATTAAGTTAAATGGGGCTCCAGCAGGAAGCCAGAGGGCTGTTTATGACCTGAGCCTGGTACATTCGCCTGCAACTAGTTTACTAATGGAAGGTGCCTCGCCTAAATAAAGCTTAATGGCTCATTTAATCTCTCTTCGGTCCTCACGAGGTATAAAAGGGGAGAGAAAAGGCCAAGAAAACGCAATGAGGGAAATGCTGGATAACAGGGATTTTACTTGTGTCCTCTTGTTAACGGGGGAATGTTAACAATCCAAACATAGCAGACAGATTGACGCAGAGCAATTTTACCTTGTTTGCTCTGATTGAGTCATCTGATTGAAATAGCCCTGTTACTCCCGTCATCTTGTTGTTGAGAGCCATGTTAAAATCGATGTCATCTTCTTTGCTCTCCGCAGACTCCTGTACAGTTTAGCTTTCAACGCACGCTTCCTGAGGCATCTGTGGCACCTTATAACATCCATGACGACGAAAATGATCACCGGGTGAGCTCATTCAAAGACGATCATCAACTGTATCTGCGGTCATACAATCATTTAACCACATGTGAGTGTTGCATTTCTGTTTATGTTCAGTTTTTCCTCATACACAGTCTCTCTTTCTCGTCCACAGCTCCATGGTGCCTTTGCTACAGCTGATCTCGCGAGGGTCTCCCATGTCGTTCGAGGACTCCAACCGCATCATTCCTCTCTTCTATCTCTTCAGCTCTCTCTTCAGCCACTCCCTTATCTCTGTGCATGACAGCGAGTTTTTCGGTCATGAATTGGAAGGTAGAGGATTCGATCTTGAAAAATGTAATTAAGGAATCTTTACTTTGCACCCCCCCACCCCCACCCCCAAACTTTTCTTGGTATGCTCTCTTTATGTAAATGCAGAAATGCAGTAACTCAGCTCGGCTGCTGAGTTACGAGCTCATCAGTTATGTTTATACGCCGTATGTCGCTTTTGCAGACACATCCAATAATCTCTGATAACTATTTAACAGATGCTGGAGCTAATTGGAAATCGAGCCACTTTACAATACGTCCTCTAGAGTGAGCTCAGACCTCATTAACCATGGTGTCTTATAGCAGAAGCATCAGTTAGATTTGAAAAGTTATTCATCGTCCATCTTTGGTTGCTGTTCATCGGTCTCGCTCACCTTCTTTTTAACTGAAATGATAGATTATGAACTCTTTATTAACCACCAAGTTTCCTGCCCCAGGGTTCCTATGCAAGTATTGAAAAGTATGGAAATAAATTTGATCAATTTTCAGATCTTAAAAGGTATGGAAAAATATTTATGTTTCCAGACTATTACCACAATTCTGAAATACTGTTTTCTAAAATAGAAAAGTAGTTTTTTCCAAAACTAATTCTAAAAAGAAAGGTTATGGAAATTCCAACTGTGTAGGAACCCTGCTGCACCCTCTTGTGTGGCTTTCAGGATTTTGTCTTTTCAACACCTTATACCTCATTTTGCTCAGTCTAAGCCTCATGTCTTCTTTCAAAGTCATCAAAATTTTAAAGGTGAATGTAAAATATACTTGTCAGAGCTAACAAGATGGCAAACATTTTTGCCGAGTCATTCTTGAACCGATCTTGAGATAAAGACGGGCTTTAAAAACCCTTATCCAGTTTATTGGTTGAATTGTATCTATTTGTACTTAATTGTGTTTTTAGTTTTGCACACAAGTTATTAGATACTTTGATAAAAGGACACATGTTTTATTTGCATGACATAGAGCATCCAAAGATCTTCAGTTGGGCTTTAAAGTTTGTAGTTTTGTTTTTTCACTGCAATTTTAGGAATTAAAAAAACAGTATCATAGTTTGATGGACTTTGTTGACCTTATTGTGTTTGACAGACATAGATATTTTTGGTCTATCTATGAGGATTTAGTGCATCTCAAGTTCCTCATTTATTGTTTCTGTTGAATCAAACCTGAGCTGCTTAACCTGACCTACTTTTGAATCTTTCTCATTTAGTAGTCCTAGCAAAAAAATATATACATCCCATCATCTGTTGTTTCCAGCAGCCACAGAGTGTCTTGCCACCATGTAAATGTAAAAATCAATATCTGTTAAACACTGTGAATCTATTCTGGCTCCCAACAGGTCAGACACAGTCCTCCATGATGCCCTTCACGCTGTCAGAGCTGGTGACTTTGTCCCGCTGTCTGAGGGACGCGTGCCTGGGAATCATCAAGCTGGCCTACCCTGAGACCAAAACTGAGCACCGGGAGGAGTACATGGCTGCTTTCCGCAGTGTGGGTGTCAAGACGAACACCGAAGTACAGCAACGTATCCAGGCTGAGCAGAAACGCTGGGTCCAGCTCTTTAAGGTAAAATGAAAAACACAACCTGGATGTTATGAACATGTCGCCTTTCTTCTATTAAGTAACCATCATGCCTGTTGTGCCACCTTATAAACACTTAGATTGGTCAGCAATCATTTGATTGGGAAGTGTCATTCTGTTAAGCGTAAGAAATAAAGTGGGAGGGATTTGAAGGCAACATCACAAGCATGTGAGTGAAAATGTTTGCTGAAAAAAAAAGAGTGAGTGTGATTATTAACAATGTGGATAGTGCACCATACAATAAACGGTACGAGAGGTATAAGTTTAAGAAGACGAATATTACACATATAGCAGAAATATTTACTTAACATATTTTTTAAGCATAAATCATGAAAGATATTTTGAACTTTAATCACTTTATTTTGCACTAATCTGTTTGTCAGTCACAGGATAAATGTACTCTGCTGGAAAGAGATGGCAATTCCTGTAACTTTGATTTTCCCATAAAAGAGGTGTAGTTACATCTGCGGAATACTAAAAATGATCAGCTGGAACAGAAAAAAGAAAAGAAAATGTTTGCAGACTCTGTAGACTTGGCTGTATTCACACTTGAAAGGCAAAAGTGACCTAAATCCAATTTTCTTGACAATTTGAACACTACAATCTCTTGAACTCCTTTGGTCAGATTTGGGCCACCTTTATATGCGATATGTGTGTACAGGTTGGCTCTTTTGCAATGTGATCTCAGTCTGATCAGCCAGGTCAGAATGCATGTGACTTCGATGTCACTCTTAAGGAACACGCTTGAGGTCAGGTGGGAGTTGGAGTCACTCTTGCTCGGTGAAAACAAACCTAAAAGACAGCTGTGATGGAGGTCCTCATATGAATTCAACAGCTTCCATTGCAACTTAAATTTGCTCACTTTGGTGGTGGCCGTGCTTGCATTAACGCTGCAACATTTGACATCTTTGTTGTTGATCTTATGAACATGCAGTTTAGAAAAAGAAGAGAAATGGGATCATTTTTAAAAGTTATGTGAACAGTCCAAGAAAAAAAGGGCCATGAGAAACAAATCTTCATTCTGAATTTGATGTTTTTTTAATTAACCCTACAAAAGAAATCTAATCTTGGAAAGTTGCTTGGACCAAACAGAAAAAAATGACAAATTTCTGTTATGTTTGTTTGAATTCTTGTGTAACCTCTCTGTTCACTGAAGCAAAGAGTCCGTCTGCTCATCTGTGTTAGTGAAAATCAAGCTTTTATGCATGAGCAGGCAAAGACAAGGTGGAGCGCTGCCATGGAGGTCATCCATTGCTTATTTACTGAGAGGAAATGAGGCGGAAAACAGCATTAACTTAATTCTCCTCAGCTCTTTTTCTCATCGCGCATCACCCTTCGATTTGGCCTCTTCCCCTCTTTTCTCTCCGTTCTCGATCAAGGAAGCGGTAATTAAGGGACTTTGTTCTTGGCCGTTAGTCTCTGACAGGAGAAACACTGGACTTCTGTGAAGGTGGCAAAAATGTGAAGAGCACGTTGGTATTTTCATAAAAGATCTGCTCAAAGGCCCCTTGTCAGCTAAAACGACCCATTAAAGAAGTGGGGAGCAGGGGAAATGCATTTTCCAAATTGAACGGTGGGATTTACAGTCCGTTTAACGCCGCTGACCCCTAACACGCTAATGTTTGGTTCGTGTCATCAGCCGTTCCTCCCCATCTTTTATCACCTCCATTGTCGAGCTATCTATTTAATTGAAAGAAGTTAATTGAATGAAAATGATCAACTAAGCTTGTATTAATATTGCTAATGGAACTTTCTTCTTGGCCATGTTTGGAGAACGATGTCACGCTGGAGTTTGGGAAAGGCCCATTAAGACTTGCACTTAACCCGATGGGCTAATTAAGGAATGCTTATTCATTCCTAGAGTCAGGGGGTAGGCCTGCTCCAAACCCATCGCCACGCGCCTCTTACAGCATTTTGCACTTGCCATTATTGCCGACGACGGTTGCCTCGTAGTGATTGGCGAAGATTGATTGTTGCTCTATGAAAATGATGTGCTTTAGAGGCGAACTATTCGATTGGAATACTCTAACCTGGGTATTATATGGAAATGGACCGGCTGAAGCAGTTATTGGCAGATGTAACAGCTTCCATAACGAATCTTCGTGCAATGACATGCATGAGGTTATGTGTCTGATGGGGACTAGCCATAGCAACAGCCGGCTGTGTCCAGCTAAAGCCAAGTCACCGTGCTGTTTTGATGTCCAAAACCTAGATTTTAAAGTCGATATTCAGCTTTATTTTCCGTATGATAAACTCGGACAATTTAATCCTTTGCTTTTCATAGAAAGTAGAATAAAAAGCACAGGAAGAGATTGTTGATGGAGTTTCAAAACACATTCAGGCTAAGAGAAGTCCAGACAGAAGGCTACAGTTCATTCAAGATCATATGTTTTGAGTACAGTCTTTAAAACGCCATCATAAATGTCTTAAATGACATAGAGGAGGAAAGTCTTAATAACAACGAAACTTCTCCTGAATAACCCCAGTGCCTCTCTGGTACTGACTTTGCTATGAACGGTGTGCTCCAGCATCTTTGCATACTCTGCCTGATGGCTGATGTCAGCAGACCTCATCTGTAATTAACAGGGCTGGACATTGAGGGACGTCACAGGTCGTTTTTCTTTTATACTCCCCATAAATGGTGCACTAATGGCTGAATTCTCAAATTGCCTTTCTCTCTCTCCCTAAGGAAAGACACCTCACCTTACTGAGCAGTCTATACACAATAGAGAGGAGGTTTTAGGTCTATGCTCTTAAATGTATGTCATGTATATTAAAAGACATGTTTTTTTTGTTTGTGTGTATGATCGATAATCCAGGTCATCACTAACTTGGTGAAAATGGTGAAAGCTCGAGACATCAGACGACCCTTCTGTCCAGCAGGTCACTGGCTCTCTGAGGAGGTCAACATCCGAGCAGATAAGGTAATTGACTGGCATCGTAGGTGGTTAGATTTAAGGTTTCCTCATTGTTGGGACTGATACTTTGACTTAAGCCTTTTTGTGAAATGCAATACCCCAGAATTGAGTAATTTTTAGGTAGTTTAGCCCCTAAGGTGTTCTAGTATCAGAAGTTTTTGTCTCCAACAGCAGTGTTAGTGATATGTTTTCATTACTCCGCTCCTTTTCTCTGCAGGTCACCCAGTTATACGTCCCATCTGCGAGACACGTGTGGAGAACACGAAGGATGGGGCGCATCGGGCCACTTCAGTCCACACTTGATGGTAGTTACTTGATGCTGTAAAACATCTTTGACCCAAGAAGTCTTACCTGGAAATAACTTAATTAATAATCCCTATTCTATGTGTCATTTTTCTATAGAAGAGAAATCTTCTGCCTTTGTGTTCAGATTAGAAAAGAAACATAAATATGCTTGGAAAGGTTTAAATCCTTTTAGATATTTTGGTTTTCATTCTCCCCTTAATGTGAATTGCCTTCTTTTTAATAGCCCATATCAAAGCTGCTCCTTTGGCAATAAAATAAAATTTAAAATAGTACACAGTAATTCTTGCGTCAGCTTGATGCATAGCCCAGGAAATCATCCTAATAGCTGCTCAAAGTCACCTTCTGCCTGCTTGCTTTTCACATTCATTGATGTTATTCTCCATCAAAAGGAAATATCTCTATAGTTTCTCTGAACAGAAGTGTTTATAGATGGAAGAAAAAAAAAAGTAAAGGTACAAATTGAACTGTAAAATGATCATCTGGGAAGCCATTGATTTTGCTGTTTTTGGCTGCATGGGAGGCCTCATAATGTAAAGATATCCCTAGCTGTGGTTGGACCTCAAAAAAGCTGAGAACAGTCACTGACCCCTTCTGGTACCTACAGATTTATCACTGCGTTTATCAAAGGGAAATACTCTGATGCTTGCAGGCAGGGATTCATCCGGCTTCAGTGTGGTGTGAAAACAAGCTGATAACAATGTGTGTATGATCTGCCTAATCCCACTCAGAGGCAGCATGGGATAAATTCAATTAGTGTGAAAGTACCTGATGAACTCAGCCACATCTGGTCCATGTGTTTGTCCAGCCTTTTCTCATTTCCTTAAATGGACAGGCTCATGGCTGATGAATGCGCAGCGTATTGACCACTCTGAGGCCATATTTCTCCTCAAAGATGGAAACCTGATGGGAAAATGCAGATCAGACTGACTAATCGAGCAGAATAATTGAGCTGCAGTGGACGCTAAGTGAGGAAGGTGAAGAGTGGTTTAGCCATTGGGGCTTTTTTTGTGGGCTAAACAGTCTAAACCCAGAGTTTGATACAGAACAAACATCAGCTTAATGGATGGAGACCAGCAGGTGGATGGGAAGCTCACAGTTGGGTCAATTAAAAGGTGTAATTAAGAATGTGCCTTAATGGCTGGTCCATAAACAGTAGTGTGTGCAATGAAGAGGATACTGATACTGCTGGATAAGTGTTATACACAGAGGAAGCTCCTGACGTTGGGGAGTTAAATTCCCCAGACGTAGGCTTTTTAACCTTGGGACATTAAATCAGGAACATCTCCCAACTACAGAGAAGAAACTTTAGCCTAAAATGACAATAAATTATTCAGTTTGAAAAGTGTGTGGAAGTTAATTAAGGATAAGTCCATCAAAGGAATCCCAAATAGAGTGCAGTACCTGGATCAAATATGTTTTAAGTTTATGTAGATTACATTTTGCGTCTATCTACATTTCAAAATGGACTTCAATTAAAATTTCTGCATCAATCACTTGTCAGAATAATAAAGTGCTAAGTTACACTTGAGTTACTGTTTACAAAATCATTTTGACTGTATTATACATTGTGAAAAATACAAGATTTAAAGCTGTAATTACTAATATCAGGAGAATAAAACTCTGTAATTTCTCTCTTTTCAGTTGGTTCAGAACCTCCACAGCTATCCGTGTCTGAGGAGAGACATCTGGCCATCCTCACTGAGCTCCCTTTCGTGGTTCCCTTTGAGGAGCGAGTCAAGGTACTGCACATCTTCCCTATAAAAAAAAACTTTTTCACAGGTCTCTCTTTAAGGATCATAAAAGGTAAACAGGTTGAAGACCCTTTTGTTAAGGTGGAACAGTGAAGTAGACCATAATTCACCAGATTTTCACCTGGCATTGTAGTCCCTATAGGAAGCTCAAATGTCAGTGCTTTTTCACCAGCACCTGTCTGTCTGCTCACACAACAGAAGTGTGCTAACAATCGCACAAATGATGGTGATGAAGAGAAATGTACAGCATCTTACTCGCCAGCTTTTTAACTCAGGGCTAACTTCTTTGTCTTATTACTGTTTTGGAAGAATCAGGAGAAACTTAGTTGTGTTTTTATTGACATTAATGTTGTAACACTCGTCCTCTCCTTTGTCTGGAAGTTGTGTCAAATCACTCAAAATTATAAAACCAAATTTCTACTGATTCATGTGGGAAAAAGTAAAGAAGATTCATGGGAAATTGTATTTTAAAGGAAGTGAAATAAAAGGAGAAGTTGTTAGAAAAATAAAAGTACAGATACTCCCAAAATGACTTGCATAACAAAGTACTTTTACATTGTTACATTTCAGTACTGTGAGGTACACCTTTGAACAGTCGTGTTTGCTTTGGTGTGACTGGTGGCTGCTATCAGCCTTTTATTAACTTGAAATCTGGAACAAAGCATTACAGTGTTTGAGTTTCCACGTTCAGTGTGACACCAGAGGAAATGAGTGCCTCATGAATACAGTGAAATGTCCTTCACTACTGCTCAGTTCTTATTGGGACTCAAATTTAAAAAAGGTATTAGGTATCATATTAATATTATTGGTTTTGTTTAGGTGTTTCAAAGTGTTCTTTATAATACTTATAAATTAGGTAGCCATCAGGGTAAACTTTGAACTTTTTGAAACCAGTGTTTTGTCAATTGAGAGATAAGTACTCCTGTGCTCTTAATCAACATATTTCTACTTTCTCTGCCTGTTTATCCTCTAAAAATTGTAGAACTAAAAAAAAAAGATGGTAAAATACAGAAAATGATCACCTAAAGCAGACTTCATACTCAGAATGAAGCATTGTACAGCTGATATGATTTGCCACTCACCTTTTACACCTGTACAATAGATCTTCCAGAGGTTAATCTACGCTGACAAACGGGACGTGCAGGGAGACGGGCCATTCCCTGATGGCATCAATGTCACCATCAGACGCAACTACATCTACGAGGACGCCTATGATAAACTCTCTCCAGAAAACGGTAACAGTTTCATACTCGTCTGTTCAATATGTGCGACCCAAACACTTCCAGCTGTATGTTTGTGCCACCATGTGAAATTTCCTGCTTTTATATTAGAGAGGAGAGAGAGAGCACAGTGTAGTAAATGTTACTGAAACTCTTGTTATGCTCTATAAAATCTTAACATTGAGGTCCAGGCTTCCAGTTAGCATTAAAGCTGAAGGTTAGACCTCTCCTTGTGCAGAGTATTGAATTTCGGTGAAGCATAATTGTGGCTGCGATTATTATAATGGATCGCATAAAGGCAGAATCAATTATTTTAAGTCACCTCTTTTGTGTTTGAATTTGAAAGGGCTCTTTGGTGGGGCCAATCTGATTAAAAAGAGTAGTAGGCGACCGGGGCTGAAGACATGATCTATATCATTTATGTGTCTATAAGTTATAGCTGCCTTGATTTATCACTATACATTAATTATTCTGAAGGATGACCTGGTATAAGATTTGATTTGAATATTCGTCAGGTCAGTAAGTGCTTTCTCGCAAAATATGTTTGTTGGGATATATTACACAAGATTCAAATAGTACTGATAAATATATGTTCAGTGTTTGTATCCATTTTCTCTATTTCTAAGAGTAAAAAGGTCATTCATTTTATAAGTTTACTTTTTTGGTAATTAAGCGGACTTTAGTTATTTAGCAAATAAACTGTGAGGAAACTGATACAGAGAACAGTGTGAGATTTTGTAAGTGATTATTGTGAAGTGAAGAAGTGAAGAAATCAGATATAAATACAGATAAATGGAAAGAAAAAGGATGTCTCACTAGCTCACCTGGTAGTGCGTGAGGAATTAAAGGCTGTTTACTTTATAGCAGTTGTAAAAAAAAAAAAAAATGACTTCACAACACCTTGACCTCCTCCTCTGCCTTCCCTGTATATCTACAATTGTTACTGTTCAGTAAAGATAACTAAAGCACCAAAAATTCAAAAATATATATAAAAGAATAAAATAGTCTTTTTTTAGGAGAGGATGTCAGCAGTGTTGCTTGAATCCACAAAGATCAGACATAAAAATAGACATATGCAATCTGTGAGCTATAAATAGACCACTGAAATGTTCCAGGTTACAAGGATAAAAGTTGTCTTATTGGTAGAGAAGTGCGCAGGTTTAAAAGTGTCAGAATGATGGAAAACTAAGACTGTGAGTTCAAAGGTTTATTTAGCAAAGTTGTTTGTTTTTTTCATTTTTTAAAAGTGGGACTCTCACTCCTTCTCTCCCCTTACCTCACCCACAGCTTTTTCTGTCATCTCATTGGTTAAGAATACGTCATTTGGCTTTAACTCATGGTTTTATTGTGTGTTTTGATGGTTATTTTTTTTTCATTTAATGGTTCGTTTATGAGCTAATGTCTCACCGGAAACTCAAAGGACAACACCAAGTGGTTGTTGAGTTACACCTTCTTTTTCTCAACCAGTCCTGTAATACTGCCAAAGTCAGTGCCATGTTCAGGATTGTGTTGGGATCTCGTCAGTCTGCTTCGTCTTTTGCTCAGCTCCTTTTATTCTTAACTTCCTGTGCCTTTTTTTTCTTTTATCCTTACTGTGACCTGTCAGCATTTAAACACAGATCTTCCTTTTTTATTATGTTAATATGTTGAGAAAACTGCTGTTATGGAGTTTTGACCAATCAAAATTCAGTATCTAACACATCTGGGTAATACATGAAAATAGAATAAGAGAAAAAGAAGCTTTTGTGCTGTTCAGAGATAACTAATTAACTATCTATTTTAAATGATTGAAGGAAATAAAGCCGAAGTGTTTCAAATGGAAAAAAATACAATTTTTCTGTTTTTTATGTAGTAACTTGCCAGAGATGATGATGACCCCTTAAGCCTGAAGCTTATCGGCCTTTAAGTGCATCTGAAATGCTGTCAAAAAGCGTAACATAGCCAAAGTTTATATATATTTAAAACTGAAGACTCTGACCGCCTATCTGACATAATTTTGGTGGAAATGTAAAGCAAGAAAATCACTCAGGTCTTATGTTGGCGTTTGGTCGGGTCAGGGTTAGAATTACATCACAATCATTGTCATTGAATCATGTTTGTCTTACCCATCCTCATTTATGTTAACTTAAAAATTTCCTCCTCAGAACCAGACCTGAAGAAACGCATCAGAGTCCATTTGCTGAACGCTCACGGTCTAGACGAGGCCGGCATTGACGGTGGCGGCATATTTCGTGAGTTCCTAAACGAGCTCCTGAAGTCGGGCTTCAATCCTAATCAGGGCTTCTTCAAGACAACCAACGAAGGCCTGCTGTACCCCAGCCCCACTGCAGAGATGCTGATCGGAGACTCCTTTACAAGGCATTACTACTTTCTGGGGCGGATACTTGGAAAAGTGAGTCAGAGTTCAAAAATGCAGGCTCTGTTGTGTCATTTATGACAAAAACATGATGTTTTTACATATTTATCATTAAAACAAGTAGAAACTCAGAAGAAAAGCAACACACTTACTGAGATGTAGTCATAAAGTGCAATGATTTGACACTCTGCATCAGTTTTAAGGATCTATTGCAGTCAGTGTCAAGGCCGCCCCCACTCTAAATGTAAATTCAGAGGCTGTTTTGGTGTTTGGTCTGGAAGCTGACAATGTTTAGAGAAATTACCGTCATTTGTTTCAAGAAAAGATCTAAAGTTCGGGGCTGCAACATGAACCTCTAACTCTACAAGCTGCAGTTAAGTTAATTACCCCTGTGCATAATCTGTTGACAGCATTGTTTTTTCGCATCGCTTTCCTCCTCTGATGGCACTATTTATTAAAGCCTAATGTTTCTAAATCATCCCTAATGCATGTGGTAGTGATTGTTTATCAAGATGCCTTCCTCCTGGGGGGGCCATCATCTCTGTCCAGGGAGGAATTACCTCATGACAAGCGGTCGCCTCTCAATTAGGGCTTCCATTAGCCGATGATTCCTACCTCTTGTTTGTGTAGTGATTGCATTGGGCTGGCACTAAATCAGCAGGCCAGCACAGACAGGGCATAAATAAGCGTTCAAAGCATGTGGTAATAGCATTTTGATCTGTTTTACAGTCAAGAACATCCAGGTCTCTTCTCTCTCTTGGTCCGGTCCACTTATCAGACTATCTTTACTCCTCCTCCTCCTCCTCCGTCTTCTATTCTTTCTCTTCTTCTTCATATTCTTTGCAGTGAGAAATGATCAATCAGCAGCTACGGGCGCTCCACTCCCCCTCTCAATATTGTGCTCTCAGTGGCTAATGGTTCAGGCAATTAGGCGGGGGGAAATTAATTTGAATTTGACTTTCAATTAACCCTACCTTAAGTTCCTCTTTCTCCATAAAAATGGACGTTTGAGTGGCCATTTGAGGGGTGTATTGATATTTGTTTAGTGCTGTTATAGCCGGGATAAAAGGCAAGCGTTTATATAGATTGGGATTGCATCACCGCTGCTGCAATGTGCACAGTGCACACTGCAGCTCAAAGGACACGGGAGATTAATATTGTTAATTAATGTCCGAGGCGTGCCATTGTTGTGGAGGTGATGTATTACAGGCAGGAGTGGCTTGTCTGGGGTACTCACTGAAATGGGATTGAACATCAGAATAGAGGCCGGTCATCATCCCTCTTCCTCACTTGTCCACCTCTGCTGACAGGCTGAAAGATTTAAGACACAAATGGTGAAAACAGGTTACTTTGCTTTTGTGGCTCCTTCGTTCCAGATTAGAATTACTTTTAATCTTCTTGGAAGTCTTAATGGGAGGAATCGTGTTTTTTCATTTGGTAATATGGCCTGTACGAGGCTCTTCTCGTGCCTCATTTTTCTCTCATTAGAACAAAACCTCCAGCCTCATCAGAAGTGGCCTCTTTGCTCCGTAAACTACACGGGCGAGGAAACTTTCTCCTCCTCCTCCTCTAATCCGATACTCCCCTACAGAAGTGTGTAAGGTCGCTCTCCTGATTGATAGAGATGCGTTTGAAAGGCATTATAATTTTATTGATTCTTAATGCTGTAAATTAAGGAGCATATCTGGCAGCTAACAGAATGCACCTGCAATGTGGCTGGCATTTACTCCACCTGATGGTGCCACGATCTGCTTTAATTGCGTTGCCACTGCACTCACTTATATTAAAAGGCCCGGGCCATGATAATTAATTCCTTCCAGGCAGAGTCATTTTGGCACAATTTCTGGCAATAAACACTCATAAATAAAGTAAGTGGCATTGAAAAAATAACGCTACAGGTTTTTTCCATATACTTATTGCTGCCTCTTCCCGGCATAAGTGTTATTGATAGGTTTCAAGGGGCCACGCTGCGCATATGGTCTGAAACGAGCAGCGGCCACGGGAGAAATACTAAGTGGATTATTTTGCATAAAAAATAGACAATGTTTGAAGTTGTGCAATTAACCTATGTTTAGAAAATAGCAGTGATTTATGCCTGAGTGTGTGTTTAAGATGCATGCATTATGGAAATCCTCTAGATTTATAATCCATTTAGCTGATGCGGTCAGGGTTTTTAGCGCTATCATTTATAAGGACCTGTATATTTTAATGCCTCCTACGGGCTCTTTTTCGGACTATTCCAGTACATTAGCTCTGGGTTTTATGAGTCACCTGCCCAGCTCTGGTTCTTAATGGCATTTCAGGTCAAGGTGAGAATTGGCATTTATAAAGTTTGAGGCAGATGAAACAGAAGCCGGTGTGTCTTAGATGGATTGTGTTGCATGTTTTGCCTCTTTGTCACTTTGGTGTGAACAGATCTACCAACAAGGCGCTTGATTCTGTGAAACAGGCACGCTTAAAAAACTTAGCAATGCTTTGTTTTGTTGATTACATGTTTAAATAAGAACTTTGTGATGCAGACTGTGGTCCATAATGTTATCTTGAATATCTGCTTGCGTATCATTTATCAGTCAAATCACTTTTGGCTGTTCATTTCTTAAACATCAAACCAGTAGTTCTCAAGTCCAGTCCTCAAGCACCCCCATCCTGCATGTTTTGGATGTTTCCCTGCTCCAACACACCTGATTCAAATGATCAGCTCGTTATCAAGCTCTGGAATGGCTTAATAACGAGCTGATCATTTGAATCAGGTGTGGGCTCGAGGACTGGACTTGAGAACCACTGCATCAAACCAATAACCTGTACTAAATCAACCTGTTTCATAACCCACCTGGAAGTTACTTGCAGAGATTTCCATCAATTTCAAAAATGGCAAAAATTTCTATTCGGAATCTATGTTTATCTTTGAAGCCAAGTCTTATTTTTAACAATAAAATCTGTCTCGATATGACTACAGTAAACAGATTTTCTTTTCTGTCTCGCTATACTTTTCACCAGTTTTAATCAAAGGGTCTATTTGTTTTATAATCTCCACCTCAAAATATGTTAGCTGTAGCTGAGTTCATAGACTCTGGATGATGTCCCGTCCACTTGATGTCATTGGGGAAACTCTGACTTTTTAAGTGAAACGTCGTTGTAACAGTTTAAATGTACAAAGTGTTTTTTCTCGAGTGCAGAAGACCTCAGCAGATACTTGGACCCCTAATAAAGTTATTAAAGGCTCATATAGATGTTCTGTTTGTAATTTTTAAAGCCTGCCATGTTGAAGCTCCTGAAAGACAAAAGTGCAGAGACGTAACTGACTAAATCTGGTTTTATGAGAGGACTTGTTAATCAGGCAGAACTTCATTTTTTCTGTTTAATTAAGTCATGTTGATTTCCCTTTTACAGGCGCTGTATGAAAACATGCTGGTTGAGCTGCCCTTTGCCAGTTTCTTCCTCTCCAAACTGCTGGGAACCAGTGCAGATGTGGACATCCACCACTTGGCATCGCTGGACCCAGAGATGTACCGTAACCTCCTCTTCCTCAAGAGCTACGAGGGTGATGTAGAGGAGCTGGGCCTTAACTTCACGGTGGTCAACAACGATCTGGGAGAGGCTCAGGTTAGAGATTCCCTTGTTTTCTTTTTTTTTTCTGGTCAATCTCATTCAGCGATCTGTCCTTCTCCTTGTTTGAGTCCTCTTTGTGGCGTTAATAATTCATTTCCTTCATGATGTACCACTTTTCAGCCCTGAAAAGAGATAAAGCACGTTCACCACTCTACTGCAGTGCAATGAACACAGCCGCTCTGTTGACCATTCCACCTGCATATCCTCTCTGAAATTATCTCTCAACACGCCTGACAGAAGCAACATGTCGCTCTTAAGCACGTCCCCTCCAAAGCTCAAGGCTGCCGAGATGAGCCGCCAGTGCCACTCTGGCTCACCCTGGCTGGGCTCAGACCTGCACTCTGTCAGGCTCTTGTTTGCTCAGGGCCTTAACGCGTCTTATTAGCTCTTCTCAAACAACACCTGAAACGGTCGAGCTACAATGTGGCCCTCCTGGTCACAAATAGGGCATCGCAAACACGATAGGGAAAACAATTTGTGAAAGATTAGGCACACACGGGAGCAGTCTGCCCTCCATTTGCCCCCGTGAGATAACCAGAGCACGCAAGATAAGGACGGTAATTCTCTGACATTAGCACATAATCAGAGTTCAGAGTGTGTGGGAGAGAAAAAAAAGCAGAAAATGATTACCTGTAAGTGAACCATATACTGTATCAGAATAACAAGTGGAGCTCCTTACCTCACAGCACAATGTTACTGATTATCACTGCATTGAAAACCCTTTGTGAAACTTAACAATCAATTCTTGTTAAAACTGCGTCAGAGACGGACTGAGTCACGTCTGTTGCTGCTTCTGGCAGCATTCAACCAAATATCCTGTGAGATGCTTTTTAAAGACCTAGAGCAGTATCAGTGTTACTACTGCTGCTAGTTATCGCTGATAAACTCTGGTGCATATCCAGAAACTTTTCACCAAGAACTCTGGATTTTTGAAGGGGAAGAAATCTGAGAGAAACTGCCTTTTTGATATAGCGAGTAGTGCTGTCCCAATACGATATTGATATCGGATATCGGTCTGATATCAGCCAAAAAACAAATATCGGATTATATCAGCCTGCATCTAAAATCTCTGATATCAGCACTCCGATACAAGCAGTCCATTCCAGACTCCACTTCGGCACCTCTAGCTAGCAGCGCCTGGTTCCAGCATGTAGAGCCCACGTAATCACAACAACAGTGTGTACTAAGGTACAAACAAAGTAGCAAGGAGTTGGAGTGATGTTGGCCCTGTGGCAGTATTTTTTGTTTAAGCACAAAAAAGACATATCGGCCAATACTGAAAGCCACTTTATCAGTATTGTATTGGAATCAAAAAGTTGTATCGGAACACCCCTAATAGAGAGTGTCCTATTTTTCATCCTACTGGATCTTTAATTGGTCTTAAATACTGTTTCGAGAGTTTGGAAACCTTTCGTTTAGCCGCATTTTATAACGGCACAACATTTGCATGAATGCATCAAGCAATCCCTCTCAAAGAAAAGAAAACGGATTTCTACCAGGGGCTGCCTCTCACAGTCCAAATACAGGCCTTGTTGGGTTAATCGGTGACCTTAAATTGCCAGTAGATGTAAGTATCTTCCTGAATGGTTGTTTGTCTCGATGTGTCGGCCCTTTCGGAAGGTTATGCCTCAGTTTTGATTCCAGCTTGTGGCTCCTCCTCTCCTACATGTTACACCTTGCGCTTTCCCTCTATTTCTTGCATGCGTGTCCTATCTTCTCTAAAGGAATCAACAAAAGCCTCTAAGTATAACTTGAAAAAAATATTAAAATGGGCATAAAAGTACATCTGGTTTCCCAGGGTACATTATGAGCAAAAACATGATCACATACCAAAAATGGGGAGAGCAGTTTTGTAAAAAAAAAAAAAAGGACAAGTATTTTGTTGTGCCCCCTGTATCTGCAGTGATGACATCACACACCCTGCTTTATGAACAGAGCTGAGCACATCCTATCAAGGGCTAACTGCTCTGCAGCTAATGAAAAGAGAACTTGGGGCCAAATTGTATTGGAGCAGATGTTCATGGGGTGTGCTAAATTTAGTAAGGCACTTAAGCACGCACACACTGAGCCATACCTTTAATCAGAGTGCTGCTGGAAAACATTTTAATTACTTTTGAGAGTGAATTAAATCCACCTGGCACTTTTACTGTTTGTGGGACAGTGATTTGCATAATGAAGAATATGCAGTAACATTTCTCGGGTGTGGTGAGTGTCAAGTAAGGCAAAGAATTCAAATCAAAAACTTTGCGTGTGTCTTTTTCGTCTCAGGTGGTGGAGCTGAAGCCCGGAGGAAAAGACATTCCTGTGACCACAGCAAACCGCATCGCCTACATCCATCTGGTGGCAGACTACAGACTGAACAAGCAGATCAGACCTCACTGCCTGGCCTTCAGACAGGGCCTGGCCAATGTGGTTAACCTGGAGTGGCTGCGCATGTTTGACCAGCAGGAGATACAGGTACGCCTAACATGCGAGGGGAAACTGTCAATCAACCTGCAGCTAATTCACCACCGAGAGTTAAAATATGTTTTCTAATGTTTTCAATAGGTGCTGATCTCTGGAGCTCATGTGCCAATTTGCATTGATGACCTGAAGAAGTTCACAAACTACTCAGGTAGGAGCATTGCACTCTCTGAGCTGAACTCTGCATGATCAGTGTGTAGACTCTGTGTAAAACTTAGTCACAGATTTTTAATGAAACATCGGATAACAAATGATTTCATCTCCTCCATATTTGTCTCCTCTAGGAGGGTACTCAGCCACTCACCCTGTCATCCAGATATTCTGGGAGGTGGTCGAAGGCTTTACAGACGAAGAAAAGCGCAAACTGCTGAGGTTTGTCACCAGCTGCTCCAGGCCTCCACTCCTGGGCTTCAAGGTAAATTTAAACTTCCTCCTCATGTCATCTTTCCTCACCTGTATTCTCCCCCTCTGCAAAACATATACTACCTTGGCCTGCTTAATGTAGGGTCTATTTCAGACAAGAGTTCACATCTGAAACTCCCTTTTTCTACCGAGGATCAGGTCCTTCAGCTCACTTTCGCAAAAAAACAAAATTTGGACAGTATCATCTTGATCTAGATTCAGATTTTGAGGATTACCATATCATGGTGGAACTCAGAGCAGCAATCATACAGATCAGCAGCAGTGGTAATAATCTAGCTTTTTTTTACTTGAAAAATCTCAACTAGACCTACAGTGGTAGCCATTATAGTTACAGACATCCTTGAACTTGCCTCTGTGAGTCAAACTTAGTGCCTGTTAAGTGTTCAAAGGTAAGTTGACACAGTTTGACAGTTGATAAGAACAAACACATTAAGAGTCCCAAAGCACATCCTGTCTGGTGTGTAACCAAACAACCTGTGATAAGGCATTGTTTTAGATATTTTAAAAAGTGTACCTCTCAGCACCTCAATAACGTGCCCAGCACATGAATATACTCTCCTACATTTGGCTTTTTGGCAACATGCAGTTCTTTCCTGCTGCTGCTTTGAATCCAAACTTTATGTTTGAGATTGTCAGCTGATTGGTTAACTATTTTAAGGTAGAAAAGTACTTTTATTTACAGCCCTCGTGTCTAACTGATCTACTTTTGAATAAGTAATTCTGTGGACAATGGTAAATGATCTATAAAAAGCGTCCAAATGACCAGCTTATAAAAAGGTTATTTTATTTAATCAGTTTAAAATTGGATCAGTCTGAATGCAGCTCTCTAAGGAGATCAAAATACTCTTGATTTTTGGATCAGCTTTATCCAGGTCTAACTCCAAAGTTTTAATCAGTATAAGCTGCAGGTTTTATCAGGATTTTCTTTCTTCAGAACTTCGTAGCAGGTTGAACTTTTGAACGTTTGCCTTCTGAGTGACATGACAGAGAGAAGCAATTTCCGGTTAAATGACTCCAGAAGGAGACCGAACCCCCCCACACATCTCTAAACATTGTCCCAGCAGTGCTGATTCATAACTGCTAACCTATTTCTGAAATGACTTTCTAATTGGAAGCCGTTTCACTCTCTAAAAGACTTGATTTGTGGGACAGTTGGGCAGTTTGAGATGAGGGGGAAAAATCAGAAAGTGTTGCTCCGGACCATTAAAGAGTTTTTATGAGTCTCACTTCGTCAAAGCAGAAGCTGTAATCATCATATGATTGGTTTTAGTTCTCCTTATGACTCCAATCAGTTATGAAAACCTAATTGAAGTCCTGCAGCATATGAGGGAACAAAACTCTTCTTAAAATCCTTTACTGCACCTCCTCAAAAGGTTTCACAGTTGCCTTCCCTCCTCGTTTAATCAATTTGACTTTGGCGAGCGCGTGCCTGTCCACCCTAACCCTCCTTCATCGTATCCTCTCTGGGACCAATAATTCGATGGGAGGGGGGAACGGCCCCTGACCCGGCCCTCAGCCTGAGCCAGCGAAGCCTTAATTAGCTGTCGTGAAGCAGCCCAGGATTCATTAGGGGAGAAATAGCTCTGTCAGGAGAAGCCATTTAAAAAAGATGATGGAAACTCTCTTTTTTTCCAAAATGATAGCCGAGGTAATGGCACTTTCTCAATAAGCAACGATAGTTTAATACGGTAATTGTCAGAAAAATGGGGTCGTTACAGCTAAGCCCCCAAAGAGCCATTTAATCGGGCGAGTATGGCCGCTGAACCACACGGGCTAACTTTAAAAAAGTGGGATGGAATCAGGGCGGAGGAGTTTATTGGCCGGTGTGGCTGGTGATGGAAACGGTCGGTGTCACAGTCTGCAGATGAGGTGGCCTCATCGCAGGGAAGCTTGATTTAAAAAATGCCAGATAGACAACATGAAACGACCATTCCTCCTGTGTCTCATCCAGGGGTCAAAGCGTAGGCCTGCTTCCTGAACAGTACCTATCAAGCGCTAACCTGATTTCCTAAATTTATACCTCCTTAACGCTTAATGCCTCTCTTTAAACATTTATCCCCTGCTGGAATTTGACATTTATCACTTAATGGGGATTGCTTTGGACATTGCGATCATCAACACAAGTCGATTCCCGTCTCATCTTTTGTCGTGTTTTTTAAACACCTTTAAAATGTTCCAGTATGACTGTGACTTCAACTAATTTATCAGAAACCTCGATTATGACCCTCACAGGAGCTCTACCCGGTCTTCTGCATCCACAATGGCGGCACTGACCTAGAGCGCCTCCCCACCGCCAGCACCTGCATGAACCTGCTCAAGCTCCCCGAGTTCTGCGACCAGCACCTGATGAGAAACAAGCTGCTTTATGCCATCGAGTCATCCGCCGGGTTCGAGCTGAGCTGAGGAGGGCGGAGGCTTCTCTGTCCCTGCATCCGAGGACTCAACGCCACTGGATAAAAAAAAGCAGCTTTGGAGAGAAAGATTTATGAGAGAAGATACAAAAAAATGAGGAAGGGCAAACAGACGATGCGCTGACCTGCCTGATTTTTGTGTGTTTTGAGTGCCAAGCCTGAGAGAAAAGTTGCAAGGATGAGGCAGGGTAGGAAGCCTTTTTAAAAACTCTTTTAAGTAATTTAAATGTTTAAGTAATCACATGTCAGAACTCTTCAGAATAAAAACAAAAAGGATGATTTTTTGCAGAAAATCTCATGCACGTGTGGACATTTTTCACCAAAGATTAAGTGGCATCATTTAAAAAGGCAATATAAACAGACAGAGAGACAGGGGCAGACTGTAGGACTCTAAAAGCCACCTCATGGTGTGCCAAGGGCTGCGGAGATGGAGGAGCTTTGTGTTTAGCCTTCATGTAGAGGTCTTCAAAACTCCAGATTTTGTGATTTCTCCATTAGTTATTATAACTATAGATAACCGCCATGTCTGATAACCATACTGTTAGTGTGCACACGCAATCTCAAGTGTGTAATCGGCTTAGATTTGGGGTAAATAGTCTATTATAATGGATTTGTGAATATGTATATGTTTACAACTGCTCTTGTATTATTCATTTATTCAGTATTTGTACAGGTTTGTTTTTTCTTTCCTTTGTGTGATGATGAATGGAGGTCTTAGTACTCACACATGCTCGCTAAGGTGAACAATCTCTTTCCTGGTCAAGAACAAGGCTCAGAGATGATCAGTGTACCAACAGGGTTAAAAAAGCAGAGTGTATGGATATGAATAAACCCACTTTTCTTTTTGCATTTTCCTCCTTTTAGTCTCTTTTTCTTGCAGTTGGTAATTTACAGTAATGACCGAGACATAAAATGGTGCTTTGTGGGAAAATCTCCTTCTGAGTTTTATGGCCTCTGACATATAATTAAAGAAACATCCAGTTAAGAAACACTGAGCAGAACTATTCTGGCCTTGAGATGCATTATCGGGCTGAGCACAAATTAAGATTGTGTGCGTTGGTCATAAATCTCCCTGCCCTCTGATTCAGGAGGAAGATTTCCGTCCCTCTTTGGACCGAGTCCATGTCTCCATCCTCTCCTCTCTGCTGAAACAGCCAACTCAGAGCCCAGACCCCGCACATCCGCCGGGCCAGGGAACTCAAAGTGATAATTGGGTCTTAAAAAGCGGACTTGTCATTGAAATGAGGGATTCATCTCAATTACTCAGAGATTTATTTAAGACTATTACCTCGTGATGGATTATAACTGACAAAGTTAATGCAGGATGTTATGAATCATCCTCACTAGGTAATATACTTTAGCTTGCTGGTAGGCCTTTTAAGAGCTAATTGAAGCTTTTAAGCTTGTTTATCTTCCTGCAGAGTAGGGAAACATCAAAATCACTTGAGGTGGGTTGAGGATTGCAGCCTATTTTGCAGAGGATTACTTTGAAGTGCAATCAGCTGTGCATGGCTGCAAAGTGAGCTTTTAACTAGTAAGAGTGTGCGCTACATAGAGGCATATCCAAAGAATGAATCACATCTGATTCAGCCTTTAATGAGCAGGTAACAAATCATAAGACAGGATGACTTATACTGCCTCATGGAGAGGAGTCTTTGCACCACTCTGAGGGTTTTGTTTTGACAGAGTGCCATCTAGTGGTGTGGAAATGGAACTGCAGTGAATACTGACGTACCGTGACATTTCACACAAATTTAATTGCTTATTACAAAGAATAGGGTAAGAAATTATGGGAAAACGAGACAGTCTATGTGTTATGTCAAAGTTTCTAATGTAAAACTTAAGCTACCATACCTGTACATTTGTAACAGCCAGCAATGAAGTATGTTTCAAGAACTCTTCAGTTTCTAAAAGGTGTATTTTTATGAAATAAAAGTGTCCTTGCAGTAGTTTTACCTAGTATGAAAAATCCATGTAAGTTTATCTGATGCATTTATGTGTTTCATGTACATTATGGTACTGTGAGCAGGGAAAACATGACAAATTCTACCAGTTTGCTATGTTTACTCAGAGACAGAGCCCTGGATGTAGTTGGATTGGTTTCTGCACAATTCTCGACCTTTTCACTGAAATCATAACAAAAAGTTGTGTTTGTAGATGCATTAATTAGATGTGTCTTAACAAACTGGTGAAAAAGGCTGGCTCTGTGGTAGGACTAAAGCTGGACTCAGTGGAGGACGTGGTGGAGAGATCTACACTGAAGAAGGTGGAGACTATTCTCAAGAACATGGATCACCCACTTCACAACACCTTGATGGACCAAAGGGCCAATGGTGGTGGACGGCTCCTCTCTCTTTGCAGCAGGACAGAAAGATTCAGAAGATCTTTTGTACCTACGGCCATCAGACTTTATAACTCTTGTGTAAATAATAGATAACTTTTATAGACATATTATGTGAAACAACAGACAATTGAATTTCCCTTCTGGGATTAATAACGTTCTTCTTATCTTAAATTACTGCAGCATATATCTATAGGTCTACTATACTTTAAACAACATATTTGTGCCTTTAAATAAATTGGCTTGTTTTAATCAACCCCCTTAAGGAACATTACAAAAACCAATACCTGTTTTTCTTTGGTTGCATTGTTGCAGCTTCAAATATTACACAAAACAGAGTCAATCTGCCTGGGCTTGGCATTGATAACAGAGAGAGTAGATAAGTGAGTGTCTGCCTGTATGTGTCTGACAGAGCAGCACTTTGCGTGTACTTTCTGCCTGTCCAGACATGAACAGGGAGGAGGCCAACCTTATTTCTGGTTTTCAAATATTTGCATGTGAGCTCAGCAGCTCAGTCTACATTTACACTTTAAAGTCAAGTTTTATCCTTGTCTGTCTTTTAACCTCCAACAATTGACAGTTTGTGAATAAATTTCATCCTGCAGTCATTACAATAAAAGAAAAGCATAAAAAAGTCCATGTTTAGAGGAAGCTATCGACTGCAAGATAAAAAATGACCTGTGCATGATATCTTATGCTGTGATTCCACCTACCTAATGAGTCTAATTAGATACTGACTGCCCATAATGTCCAGTGTAATTTATAGCCATCTATCATTTTCATTGGGTCTTCTTCGGCTGGCGAGCACTCCTGCCAGCTTTAACTGCAAAAACGACCTTCATTTTCTTCTTAAAATCAATGCAAGTGTGTAATTTCAGGCTCAATCCCTTCAAAACTCCAATAATACGCACTGCTTCGCCCTGCTACTTTAGGAGACAGATTTTCTTTCCCTTTTTCTATCACCTTCCTTCCTTTTTTAGCATTTACCCAAGTAGGCCTATGCGTTAGCCTTTTCTACCGAGAGAAACCACTTTCTGATAAAAGATGACAAGGGCTGCCAAATTGAGCTTTTATTCCTTCACATCATCAAGACAGGACCTTTTCAATCTTTAATGATATCAAGCTCTTGTACATCAGAAGCAACTGAAAGTACTAGGGCTGGGCGATATGGAAAGAAGTTTATCACAATATATTTTTTTCATATCAGTTGATATCGATATATATCAGGATATAAAAAATAAAATTTAACAGTGTCTATTAGTCGCATGTCTTTTCCAATACAATAAGTTACTGCATCTGTGAGGTCTTTGTGTCTCTTTGACGCTCCTTGCTCCTCTCGGGGTTTGTAACCTTTTGCATTGCGCATGCTCTGTGGCGTGGCGCTAGCCTGGCTGGGCCATCCTGTTGCGTCAGTCACTTGAAGTTCCTTCCCACAACAAAAAGTGGGAAGGAACGTCAAGTGACTCACGCAACAGGATGGCGCGGCCAGGCTAGCGTGGCGCTGCTTCAGGTGGTGAAAAAGATTTGAGGTATTCCCCGACTTTGTGAAAACATGTACTCGACATAATTTGGTTCCAATTCAGCACATGATTGGTTCAGTACTAAGCAGACCTAGAGCAACTCCCCTTTTCATTGGCTATTCGATATTCATCTACCAAAACATGGCAGAATGACATTGACAACATATTGAAAAGCATATTGATCATGTTTTAATTTTCGATTTTTGTCATTATTGTTTTATCGCCCAGCCCAAGTAAGTACTCTCTTGGTAAAAACAAGAATAAACTCTGAGTCTTCTTCCAGTAAAGGCTCATTACCAATCAGAAAATCATGCCAGGTTTAATGAAGTATAGCCTACCCAAATCTTATCACATATCAAGGGAGGAACTCTTGAACCATGCTGTTTCTCTTTCAGTATTATCAGGGGAGAGTGGCAGATATCAAAGTCTCATCTTATCAGCAACTAAAGGCTCTCAAAGCCACAATAAAACAACAAACGTTTGAAGGACTATCTGAAGCCCAGTTTAACTGGTGTGTCAACTTTAACTTACTAATACAAGGCTAGAGGCCTGAATAAAGACAAAATTCATCTTTTGTGTGACAAGCAAGGCCTGTTGGAGTCCGACTGTTATAAAACGACTCAAAATGTGTGCCAGTATGTTTCCACAACAGTGTTTTGAAATTCAAACTAACAACACGGGTCCCTCGTTTCTCACAGTACACGACAGATGGCGCAGAGAGCCGTTTTTGTGGCGTCTGTAGACTACCTGTACTCTTAAAGAGGAAAACTCCGATTATTCACCCAGTTCTCTTCTTTCATACGAACAACTGGGACATATGAAAGACTAGATGTTTTTATCTGACATACATTCATAGAAACAGAGCAGACAGACCGCTGTCCGTTCAGTGTTATCCCTGTTGCGATGGCAGGTCAGAGAAATAGGGCTGCTGTCGACAGTCAAAGACATGATGCCTTCAATGGCCCCTCGTAAAAAAACGTTCAGAGGGGACTCAAATCGAAACTTTGAAGGGCATGGTCTTATCAGTCCTTAGAGCTTTTTGTAAAGCACGTGCCTTGATTTTTTGAAATGTGAACTCGTTCATCTGGTTTGTAAAATTAACATGGTGACTGCATCTAACTTAAAACACACTGCATTTACCTGATGTATAGTGGTTAGGAATTTAGTAGTTAGTAGTTAGGAATATTGAATTTCCCTTTGGGGATCAATAAAGTTCTTCTTACTCTTATTCTTAGGATATTGAGTCCATCTAGATGAATAGATTTAAAACAAGACAAGATTTAGTCCCATTTCATTAGAACAGATTAAGTCTTATCCCACCTAAATCCACGATGAGCAGGGCACCTGGAAAAACTTACTTTAATTGGCAGAAACTTTAAACACCACCAGAATCATGATAGGGAATCATCTGCTGCAACAGTGATATTTCATAAAAGCTTGCTGTATCTGTAAAAAAGCAATATTTTTTTGCGATGCATGATATCAACATTGGCAGATAAAGGCTTTATTGAAAGCTACGTAAATTATATGTGTAAATCAAATGGATACAATGGCATCTTGTATGGGAGTATTTTGAAGTGTTAGAAACAGTAAACTCATTTCTGAATGCATATATTTAAAAAAGAAGAACACAATGATCACTCATGGTGGATTCCAAGTTGTTTGTCTGGCTCTAAAACAAACAGACTGTCATTGAGTCAAGCATAACAATCAAAGTCAATTACGCCCTTTACAATAGAAAAAAAATGGTTTATTTACATTGGTTGGTTAACATGATCTTCAAAGTATTGGCAAATTTAATTTTAGCAAGAATCCAATATTGCACATTTCCAGTGATTTGAATAACCAGCACAGATGTTCAATAGGCGTTTGGTCAAACCATCATAATGAATCAACAACCACTCACATAAGGGATCCTTCTTTGAACCACAGCAAAACCAAAGAGTCTATCATAATATTTAGGTAATACATCAGTAGTTGATATCACGAAAGATTTATTTGAAAAAATCTAATAATAGTAATTCCAGTCTTAAATTGGTTGAACAACCGCCTATTCTTGCACTCTTCTATTTTTTCCGAGGGTTTTTGAATGCAGCATCAGCAGCAGCACACTGAGCTAGCCGCTATCAGTAGCCACATCACCAGCCCCTCCACTCACCAACGGCTGCAGTTACAGGTTCTGCAAATAGACTGGTCCCACACTTACAGGCAAAAACCAGGAAACAGCTTCATCAGAGAAGCCGTGGTTGAAGCTGACATTTTCAAGAAACAGGTAAGCGATTTTTAATAAAAAGAAATGTGTGCTAAATGCTGAAAGGGCGTTGAATGTGTCAAACTACCGTCGCCTTTGGCTGAGATACAAGGGGACGCTGCATGTGGGGATGCTGTGTCCGCTATCGTCGACAGACACCATTAGTTATTTATCAGCATTATTCGTGGATGCCAGTGAACGTTACATCTGAACGTACGGTAGGTGAACAAATGAGTGGAGCTCATTTCCGTAGCTGTAACGTTGGCAAATGTTACTGTCACCCTAAAAGAAGAAAAACTTAGCTCCTGTTAGCTTCAAGATAGGCTATACAAGCTGTAGAGTCAATATTAACAATTATGTGAAAGGAATAATGTTCAGTTTTTTGGCTTAGTGCTTAATGTCTGTCTCCAGCGTAAACGTTAATTATGGTTCAGCTATACGAGACTTCCTGTCCAATATTAAAAGTTACGACCAAGCTATTTTTAGAGATGTTTTCATTTCTTATGTAACATTTTGGCTATTTTATTATTATCTTCGTGCTGTGTGGCAGTATATCTCAAAGATGTTCATTCGCCATAAAGACTTTCTAGAAGTTTCTGTTCATCTGATAAGGCTGCTGTTTTTCTCAGAGTGTATGTAAGTTTCCCGAGAGTTGACAAACATCACCTACAGAGGAAGAAAAAACATCTATATTTACTTTCTCAATCGTAGCCACAGTTTGTTTTCAGTACAGGTTGCCATTGGAGGTATGTAGATTTACCATTATTTAGTATTTGTTTGTTTTATTTTGGATCCACCATTAGTTACAATAAAATATCTTCTTTTTCTTATCTTCTTTTCCATTTTCATTTTGGAACTTATATTTACAGACATCATACTTACATAACGCTCATTCTACACTTCATTCATACAGTAGCTCTTATTCTCTCTTGCTCGTTGAAAAATAAACCAATACATAAATAAGATGAAGAAAGTAAAGTGAAAAGACAAAAAAGAAAAACAGAACTTATCTTAGGGGTAACAAGAAAACTTAATCCATCAGAGAGAAGAGCTGAACTTCATTTCATTTATGGTACTTCATATTAGGGCCCGACTGATTATTAGAGGGGAAAAAAATCTGATTACCGGTTAATTAGCCGATTTTTTCAGCTGTCTCAGTAAGAGAAGTAGCTGATCGGGTATTGTGTACTGTTGTTTATTCTACCGTTACTGGCGCGGCTAACAGTGTAGCAAGGCTAATAGCAGGTGTGGCAGAACATTTTCGAAGTGAAATCGGATCTTATTCTTCGCATTTTATTTCTGAAAATATCGGAGAAAATCGGCGAGTTTTGGCCGATTACCGGTAAGTTCCAAACGGGCTAGAATTGGCCGATTTAATTGGTCGAGCCCTATTCCATATAAAATAATACACCTTTAATTGTTTGTTAAAGCAACTTCTGTTAATGTCTTCACTTAAAAAGTTCGGTAATAAATTCCATGCCATCATTGCACTGTAGTAGACAGTCCTTTTTATTGTCTCTGTTCTGCACGGAGGTAGCCGGGATGCCTCTGATGCCTGCCTAGTACCATACTGATGCCCCTCAGAAAGAAAAAAAAATGTTAGTTTATTAAAGAGTACTTCTGCAGGTGCAAGGTAAATAGAAAAGAAAAAAGAGTCAGTGGAGTAAAACCCTTGTTTTAAGTTTTTTATTGTTTGGTCACTAAAATTGTAGCTGCAACGACAACAACTTCTCGATGTAAAAAGACAGGAAAAGACAGGTAACTTATTCATATAAGATATGAAGCTGTAAGGAGGATGTGAACTGATTGATGAAACGATTAAAACAAGCAGTTATCAACCCAGAACTTACTTGTCGGTTTCAATTGCTCTCACTTTTATAGACAACATTTTTGTGATTAGATGCTGCCTTTTTAAAACTACAAGACACATGAGAATCGTCTCACTGACATCTGAGACTATGTTAGTGGTTCAAACACTATTTTTTTGTTTGTGTGTGGTCACCTTTGAGCTTGCAAGAGCAGATTGATTGTCTCCTGAAGTGTTAGTAGAAAACTAACTAACCAGTCAGATTTTTCATGTTGATTTCACACATAGAGGAGTGTACATGGATCCTCTGTCTGAGAAAACAGTGCTCACTGCTGTTTCTGGTAAATAAGCCATCTATGGATGATATGCTGGTTGAGCTGGTTTGTTCTAATAGAAGGTAAATAGATGACTCTATCCTCCAAGACGATGCTCATTATCCTCTGAATGCACTCTATGGAGTGTCCGAATGACACTGCACATTGCTATGAAACATAAGACTTAAAGATTGTATTGTTTTGTGTCTGGATGTCATGTGTGTCTTTTCTAGTCAGTTGTGTTGGATAAAACCTTTTTTCTTCTGCGCCGGCTATGATTTGTGTGACTGGTTAATGACAGATTTAAATGTTAAAGGACCCTTTAACTCTCATGGATCTACTCCAGCTTTCCTTGTGGATTGCAATCATGGTAGGGGCGACTGTACTTCAGAGTATAGTCTTAAACAGCTTGAGGTGGGCTTGCAGATGATTATCGTAGAAAAAGGAATTGCTTCGGGGAAAAATGTACCCTGGAAAAAAAGAAAGAAAAAACAGTGAATCGTAATGATAGATTTATATCAAGAGATAAAACCCCAGCAGGTAATTAACTAGGGAGTTTCTGCATAGGCAGACATTGTTAAAGCATTGACATTTATGAGCCTTTACCCTTCCCGCCGGCATCTGCTGATACTGACAGGATGTTGCTCAGTGTAAGTATGCAAGGCAATGCTTCAGAGCTGGTAGCTTGACATTGCTGGGAAAATTCCAGTGGTGCTTGAGGACTCCAGTCCTGATCTTTATCTTATCGTATTGTGTTTCTGATGAGTTTGCCCCATAAGGCTGCCAGAGGGAGGGGTGTAACACTGAATTTGATCATTTTTTTTATTTTCAATATTTACTTATCTAACTTTTTGAAGTAATAACCTAGCAAACAGAATTGGAATTAAAGATGTAGTGTGTATTATTTTGCAACATTTGGCAGGAAAAACTTGTTTGACTTGATGTATCACCCTTATTATAAAATTCTTTGCTTTTGATTAGTCAGAATGTTATATCTAAGAAGCAGGTCCTCTTCCATCTTGCGTACTATTTTGCACCACCATGTTTCAGTAGCACAGAATAGACAAATAAGTAACCTGCGGTTTGAAGATGAAGAAGAAGAGTTGTTGTTGTGGGTAAAAACACTTCGTATTGATGGGCATTTTTGAAAGGTAAAAACTTGACTAATGGAAAAGCATACTCATCATTCACTGCAGGAGCTTCTTGTCCTCAAGGGTCACCATCATATCACTGATCAGTGGAGGGAGCAGGTTAGCTTTTAAACCTCAGAACCTGACCACCAGAAAGTGCGAGTTGTTTTCATTTGTAGCTTAAACACAGTTGCCCAAAGACCATACCAGGAGTTTTTTTTTATGTTTAAGCAACAGACTGTTATGAATATGTGTAGAACTATTTCTATTAAGTTGATCTTAATGTCTAAAACCACCAGTAGGGGATGGGTGTCAAAGCAAGTGACCAGGTGTAAGCTGCTGATAACAGCCTCTCTCTCATGTTTCATGTCAAAGATACTTGAGTGATACATTTGACTGTAATAACAAGAATAAGATTTTTTTGTCTTGAAACACTAACAACACATGCTCGGCAAGGATTGTCGTGCCCACAGGGGATGCCATTATTGATGTAACCTGAAAGTTCCTCAAAGGGGGTTTAGATTTGCTTTCTAAGTAACATACAGTAACTCTCCTTCGTAAGGTGTCAGACATTTGCATCAATAATAGATGGCATCTATTTTGTGTTTCTCTTTTCATCTCCAGCATGTCGTTCTTTTTGTGGCATTATTTTTTTCATCTTAACAATGTATAATATATAAGAATAACTGATCATTTTTCATCATTATTATTATCATCATTAATTATGTACTGCGATTCAGCATTGCAAGAGCTTTGACTTTGGTCTACTATCTTCTGTTACACAATGTAGCCCCTTCAAGGGAAATCTCTTCTGGCACAGCAGTACTTCACAGCTGAAAAAAGAACAGATGTTGTAGTCTCTCACTCCTCAAGTTGTCTGATAGAGTTTGTACCAAAACCCTGTGAAGAACCTGCAGAGTCAGTGCTTCAGAAATATACAGAGCTCAAATTACTGAGCACAAGTTTAACTTTGACATGCAGTCGTCTGCAGGGTAGGGTAGGTAGTAGGGTAGTCTGTAGGGATGTAAATTACAAGTTCTTTATCTTTTAATATGTTTGTTTTTATTATGTTTTAATGTAAAATGCTAGAGTTCATGAACCAAGCAGATGTTATCAATAATAGTTATAGTTCAAAATTCCAGTAGATGTTTTGCAATAGGAACGGCCTGGTTCAGTTTCAAAATTTGATAGATTCTTCCTCAACCTTGTTTTCTTTCATTCAACAACTTTCATGCAAAGTTTGACAAAAAACAGTCCAACAGTTCAAGCCCTTTATAGAGGTATTAACGCCTGTCTGTCCTGTGTGTGAATTTCCCTTCTCAAAGTAGATGCAGGCTCATTCTGAAAGCATGAACCTCTGGCAGCACATCAGTTCTGCCTTAAAACCATGATTTGTTCATATAGTGCACTTGCTTTTACTTCCTTTCACTAAGAGACTGAGGATGTACTTTGAGTTTGATTGCTGTAAGCTCCTACACCACAAAGAAAACATGAGAAGATCCCTGTAGACAGCTTCAACATCAAACCATAAGTACTATTTCATTTTAAGATGAAAAAAAAAATAAAAACATTTAGCTTTTTTATGTAAAGGCTGAACCCATAACCAAAAATAGACTATTTTTTAATGAAAGACTTAACATGGATCCCTCCACAGCAGTTTTTTTGTATGTCAAAAGTGTTAGGGGCTTAAGCTTATTTTTATTCTGCTATTCTTGGACTTTTTACGGTGAAATTGTCCTGTTGGCAAAAAGGCATTTCATAACCATCACCTCTGAGGCATCATGGGATTGACTGACCTACATCTGTTGCTCACACGGAGCAGAGATGGAATCCATCAGATCTGGGTTAGCTGTGTAATGCTACCATGAGGCATAGAGCCGCACTTGCATGCATGCACGGATACACAATACACACACAGCACATGACCATAAGTAGCAATACATGTCGCAGGCAAAAGTGTCCATTAACTCGCATTGCTGCAGGGGGGGCTGATCCCAGCATGGCTGAAGTGAAGGGGGTGAAAAGACTATTTGATGAGTCAGAATATTGGGTCAGATTTTACTAAAGAATATGGGAATTTGGGGGTGATAAGTCTGTATGAAGATGGTCATGTCTTAAATGTTTGTTTTGTGATGGTTTGAATTACATTAAATCAGTAGATTCAAGAGTTTTACCAATGTGTGATTTTAAAGACCAGTGCACATGTTGATGGAAAGCAGTCTACAGATAACTGCTTATATGGTAAAACTTCAACCCTGACCTTGTGGATTTCCCCTCAGTACACAAAGATACTGAAAATACTGGTTTCTTATACTGATCACTTAATCTCATATGAACATTTGATTACCCTTTTAAACAATTCCCAGGCTTGTGTGCTGTAGGATCTCTGTAATAACGTATTTTCATAATCACTAAAAAAATGTTTTCTGCATTTGATGTTCTGGAATAAGAAAATTAAGTTTTTGTTCCCAAAATTTCTATAATTAACACCCACCTTAACATCACATTCGCCAGGCTTCTACCTGTATATTTTTGGAAAAGTATTAAATTACACTGCAAAAAGACAAGATAAGAAAGTGTCAAAGGAATAAATATAGATACAGTCTGAAAGAGAAGAGGAGAAGAGTTTAATGCCTGTGCCATGTCCCATCCAGAAATCACTCACCGGCACTGCCATGTGCCAACCACCCCCCCACCCTCCCCACACGCTTATGAGTTCTAACACACACAAACACAATCCAGCGGCAAAGGCCACAGGTTAAAAATAGCAAACAAACAGGACACAGTGCACCCCCAGTTCATGGTTTCTACTGGTTTGTTTATCAATTGAAGTGCAGATGCTGAAGTATTGCTTGATAAGTAATACCCCAGCCTCTTGGTGGGTTTGCTTGGTAGTTTCCTCTTTGCTTTCGTTGGCTCTTTGCCTTTGGATGTATGCTTTTGTCTGTCTAAGAAAGAATTTAGACTGTAATTGATTAGATTTAGTCAATATTTGGGCCATGGATGTTTTCCACAAGGTCTTTCAAGTGGTTAGGCGGACAGATAGTTTCTTGCATAAATCTCCTAATTTGATATTTTAGTTTCACTCCACGCTCTATTTATTTGTTGAATATGTTATAAAGTTCCCAACTCAGACTGATTGTTTTTGTATGACAGTGTAGTTGTTGGACATGGCCTGTTTTGCATTTGAGTGGCATAAGATTTTCCGAGCTAAAATCTTCAGATTAACCTTTGAACTCAGTGGTTTTAATCTGTGGGAAGAAACAAGTTCCTCACTTAGTTCCTCAATGTACAGACCACAGAAAATGTGTCACATACAGTGTTTGTGTCAGAGCAGAAATTCACAAAATGGAAAGACTCAACCTGTTATCGACAAACAGGTCCAATGAGGGAATAATGAATTTACATCGACAGCGAGAGGGACATACTTTATGAGACACGTAGGTCAACAGATGGTTGTGGTTTTGAACAGATATTTGTCTAAGGATGACTATGTGAAGGATGATTGTGTTCATAGAGCCCTACATTTCTTTGTTATTGTTGCTACTCCTGTCAAGGTTTCACACACTACAGATGTAAAGCCTGCAGAGTTAACACCCCAGAGTCATAGTAGGCATGGAACAACGATTTCAGTGGTAAACAAAATCAGGCCTCATATGAATGAATAGAAACTGTAGAAACTTTTGTTGACTTAATACCACAGACAACATAAATTGGTAGTTTTTGACAGCAACATTGTGCTAAAATTGAGCTTTGAACATTATTTTTCTTTAATGACTTTGGATTGAGCCATCTAAAAGAAGAAGGCAACGCAGTGGCAACTTCCTAGAATTACCTTGGACCAATTACCAAGAGTCACAGGAATGAGGGTCTAACTGAACTTGGTCAAAGAATCACTGCGGCACTATATCCTCATCTTTAAAGATACAGTTACTGTACTACTACCCCAATACAGATAATTAAATAAAATACAATACATATCCAAATCCTGACTCCCCCTGTCAAATTTGGCTCCTTATGTGACTACTCCATGCTGACATTGATGAAATGAATTCCACGCTTTATCTTTTGGGGACATTTTGTAGCCTTCAGTTTATAGAGTATCATGGTGTATCGTTATGATTGTATTGCACTTAATCAGTTTTTACTGTATCGTATCGTAACGAATTGTGTAGTATTACTTTGTATCTGTAACTTGCCTTGTCATTCCCACCCCTTGTTTGTACTATGAATCTTAAACCAAGATAGAACTGGCGTTACCCTAAAATGTTACATGATAGTGATAGCACATGGGACTTTTTGTAATGTACTTACATTTTTGGTGAAGATTGAGTAAATCAGTTGTTGGAGAATAGTTTTCTACATCGGATTGTTCATCAAAAGCCCATCCAGAGTGCGTATCAGTACATCTCCAGACAAAGAATCAGGATGTTGGCAGCAGTAACAGAGTGCATAGCTTTAATGCAATGATCTGTCAGCGCAGGCAACTTCATCTGTGTGATAAGATTTAAAAAACTGCTAATGCTCAAGCTAAAACAAGACAGCCTTGATGTGATTCGATACTTTTTCATCAGACCTGTTCAGTCATGTTTATGAACACTTTAAGCCTCATATCTTTGTTAGGTCACGTTAAAAATTTCTCCTTGGTTGTCATATCTATATCCAAATTTCCAGAGTATAACATGATTCACATTTTCTCTGCTGGAGCCTCAGGGTGAGGGATGATCACCTGCTGATTATGTAATATTGCTTGGCTTGTATTAGCTTAGCTGTTCTTCTTGCTGCATCTCTATTTCAGTGCACTTGATTACATTGTTGGGTATTGCCACCCTGCTTAATACCATTGCCCCGTCCCTCCCCTTCACAAATTTACCCCTCAGGGCCGACGAGGGAAGATTTTCACCCGTCACACTCGGCTACGCTCAGTCGCTGTCTGTTGGACTCTATCTCTCCAAGCTAACATGTCTTAACAGAACTTAATTTTTTTTCCACAGAGGCCGGGCACGGGACTTTCACACAGGACGGCAACTCTAAACTCACACAGACAAACACAGCCATGGTGGAATACTACCACATATTAGGAGTCCAGAAAAATGCAACGCAAGATGACATCAAAAAAGCGTAAGTGAGACTGCATGTACACACTCTGGTTTTCCCCTGATGTTGTTGCAATATCATCAGATCTCCCAAGGGTGTAACAGGTTAATTATATCCCCCTCTGGCTGTATAAACTGACACAAGGAGAGCGAGAGAACACATAGCCTGCAATGCAGAAAGTTTCCACTCTATTTCCTGTAACCTTGCTGCTGTCGAATGCCTTCCCTCTATACTCATCCACCTCTCCCATTGCCCACAGAGCAGGCCAGTTCCACTTAATTGCACTTCCTTTGGTTTCCCACTATCATGTTTTGGTTTTGATTAGAGAGTTTCCTTTGAATTTTGAATGTTGAGGTTTGATTTGAATTTACTACATGTGCTTCAGAGAGAGAATAAAAAGTTATTGTGAGTAATGCGGTAAATTGCTAAATGAAGTAATATCATGTGAGAGGGGAGAAAACGACCGAAAAGGACTTATCAGATCAACCCGTGTAAATCCAATTTGTCAAACTGGAGCACAGAAATACACTGAGATGGTCTGATCTCCAGGCACTGAAGTGTCGGCTATCAAAGTCAAAGTTATCTCAGCTGACGCCAGCCACTAACTCATGTCCTCAGCCTCTGACCCCAGCTCTGTCTTGCTAATCTCTGATTGATTTATTTGCCATGAAATCGGCTCAGCTGTAGGAATAACAATGCTGGTTCTCTCTGAATATCTCCTGCTGCCATGATGGGAGATTAAGATTTACAGATGTTTTATGACGCTTCATCAGTAGGTCAAAATATTTCCTTCCTTACCTCAGAGTCAAGAAAGAGTTGAAGTTTGTGTTTCTTAGTGAGATTTCTCAAAAACTGGATGGACTTATATGAAACTGGGCAACATTCTTACTCACCTTAGGAAGTGATTTACTACTCAAATGCTAACAGAGTATGGCAAACATCATTATGTTGGCATTAAGACATCAACATTAAGCATGTAAACTGATGCTTTGGCTGATATGTTCATGTCAGAAAAGAGTTTCTCTTCATGTTGAGTTTTAACTGTCTCACTAGTAAGAAAGTGCCTGAAACCAGCCAAAACAAAATGTCTCATATCAACCAAAGGCTGCTGTTAAATGTGTTTAGATTCTAGATTTGATGTCAGTATTTCAGTTCTCAGTTTTTCAGAGACATCTATATAACTTCTCTCTCCGGTTTCCTTCTGGACAGCGGCAGGTATCACTTTTAAACTCAACTTGAAGTATCCAGATGGCTATTTTTCCTTTTACTAGCAAACCTCCTACCAAAGAACTGGCACCACATTGTTGGTTCAGCCTGTTGTCCATTAAGTGCTTTAGAAGGTCAGATAGCATCACAGTTTACAACAAAGATCTGCACCAGAGACGCTATTCACTCTGGAATAGTCCCATAAAGGAGGAAGTCCCTGGGCTCTATGCATGCTAACCCACAGCTCCTGGTCTGGTCCCGAGCATCTTTGTGCCCGCTGCTGCCGGTGCTGCTGTGGGGCTTTGAAACAAACAGCTGATGCAGCGTAAGTGGTTGTGCAAGCCGACGCAGCACGTCATTGGAGCTCAGGCAGTCTTTGTTATTTCTGCTTGGGAGGGGAGAAGGACAGAGAGAGTGTGTGTGTTGAAAGAGTGGTGGTGGGGGTTTGTATGTTTGGTGTAGGCATGGTTGCCAACCTAAAAAAAGACTTGCACGTGGATATGTGTGTCTGATAGGAGCATGTCTGTAAGACATTCATATTTTCCACCCCCCCTTTCTGTTCCATCAACTGATTAGAAGTATTTATGATGAAACGACAGACATTGTGTGTTTGTTTCTATTTTTGTGTCCATGTCTGCGTTTTAACTTTATGGTATGTGTATCTCAGTTACAGAAAATTGGCATTAAAATGGCATCCAGACAAGAACCCAGACAACAAGGATGAAGCAGAGAGGAAGTTCAAAGAGCTGTCAGAGGCATATGAAGTGCTTTCAGATGGTGAGAGAATATTTCTGCAGAAGGAGAAAGACATTGCGTATATTTTTTTGTACGTCACAGCTGTTTTTAATGGAGAATGTATCCAGAATTGAGCGTTTTAAACAAAGCTTAAATCTTCTACTTAAGAACTGAATTCCCCTTTGAAACCACAAGGCTCAGTCTTCCATTTTAACACACTCCACATGCTTGTTTCTGTTTCTTGATTTGGTTTAAAAACAAGAATATTTCTGTGACTATGAGGTCAGAATTCCAGGTAATGGAAAACTGCAGAACCTTAAAATATCATTTGTATTATGATACTTGTAGTCGGTTCTGTGCAATTTGGTCACAGTGAGCATGTATTGTAAGCTTTTAGCCATGCACAACGTCAGGATTGCTCTTGCTGAGTTGCGTAAACCTTGGCCAGATTAACTCTCTTTGCCACTTTAAGTTATTAACTCTTATTAGTTTGGTTTTTCCTTCTTTTTTTACTGTAATATTGTTGCTTTTATTCACATGTAGATGGTAAAACTAACGAATATAAGAATAACAAGAATGGATTTTAGGGAAAGGATTAAGACAATACAAAAAGACTGAAGTAAATCAGAGCAGTGAACTTTCTCTTCTTGCTTCTGTTTGTTTTATTATTTTCTCTCTAATTTCAAATCCAACTCTCTCCACATCAGAAAACAAGAGGAATATTTATGACCGGTATGGCAAAGAAGGCCTTTCAGGAGGAGGAGGAGGAGGGGGAGGAGGTAAGGACATGACTACTCTATGTTTTTGCTATAGATAAATATGGCCACCAGTAATATCATGTTCATGTTTATTCATTCAAATGTAGAAAAAACAGCATTGTATTGCATTTGAGTTTATTTCCTGAAGTCACTGCTGTGTTGTATTGATCTGATTTATAGCTGCATTAGCTGATGACCTTCATCCATGTTTAATGTTTTACAGGAGGTCATTACGATCACTTCGGTGGCGGCTTCACATTCCGTAATCCTGAGGACGTTTTCAGGGAATTCTTCGGCGGCAGAGATCCATTCGCAGATTTTTTCGGTGAGTTCATTTTGTTCCCTGGTTAGATGGGACTTCCCTGTTTTCACCGATGAGAGTCATACGAGTGGGAGCGCACAAAGCCTATTTTTAACAACATAATTTTATCTTGTTAAAAATAAGCCCCCCGGATGACCTGAAGAGGCTCAGGAGAGATGAAAGCAAAGTCGAAGGTCCTTCAGGTTCTACTTTTATATCATGCTGATAGTTTATTTCCTAATTAGTGCCTGTTAGCTGACGGCCTGTAACTCCTGCTGCGTGGAAATAAGGAAGATGGAGCATGAGAAGCTTCTGTACAGCCCACTGATGATCTCCCACAGCACAGCAATGGGCATTTTCTCAACACTGGGCACTAAGTTCACCTTAGGGGGTGATCTAACAGTAAATGTCACACATAGGAAAAAGCTTTTTCTCTGCTGGATGTTGACCCCAGCTTCAAAGTGTAGCCGCCATTCTTTATTTAACGTTAAAACACAACTGCACAATAATGAGAGAGTATTTTCCCCTCTAGCTGTAGAGAACTAAACTCATGAAAAGAAGATTTAGATAGTAACAGAAACATGTTGAAGATTCAATAAAAATATATGGAAGCATAGGGAAGAGGTATAAGCAAACAGCAAGCCTATTTATCAGTAACAGCAGAACATCATTTTCATATTTCTTTCAGCCACTTAAACTTTATTTGGAGTTTCTGTTTTACAACTTATTGCTCATTACTGCTAGAATATAATCATTTAAAAACATTTATTTGATAATATGAATTAGCTGTCAGGGAATTACTAATTGGATTTGGTTTCTTGAATCCTGAATTCTCTTGTAATAACTTCATGTCTAAATGATTATCTGGGTTTGAAGACATCACAGTCATAATTTTGTATGTCTACCAGTTAATTGAGTGTTTAAGAATGACGGTAACAGTTATGACATCTGATATTCTTTATAAAGGCTGTTCTACGTCTTCATCTGCATGTTCTTTCTTTCTGTGTTATTTCTATCTGCTTTGACAGCCATGGATATGTTTTTGCTGCAACTTCTTAGTGATGCTTTTCAAAGCAGTTCCTTTCAGTGGTCTCAAGAGATTCTTTTTTTTTTTTTCCTCAACACTTCTCCACCACTCTGCATTTTCCACGGGAGAGCGAAAAGATGGAAGATATTTTGTTTTCAAGTAACCCTTGAAAGCTGTCGCACAGCTTAGAAAGTTAGCCAGCAGCTGTTCATGTCTTGTTATGAAAGCCTGTCACTGTGCCTTACACTTAAAAATGATTATCAAGTTTTGCGTACCAACTAGGCAAACCAGTTTAACAAAACAACAGTGAAATAATAAGTTAAATTAGAATAAATGAGCAGACATACATAACAGTTTTTTTTTTGTCACAATGTTGATTAATTAAAGATAAAAATGTAGAGCCATCAGACCAGCATTTAGATGAAAAATAGTGGCATAAAACCATCTATATTTAGTGTGGTGTAGTCGCAGTATTTTAGTCTGTATGGGTTGTCCTGGGTTGTCTTGGTTCAGCAAAAGGCTGATTGGAAGGCATGTGTACTTCACCCCGTGTCGCTCTAAATATGGAATTCAGACGCAGGCAGAGGATGGATTTGAGAGTCTGCATCACTCTACTGGAATGCTTTCAAAAATAGCTTCTGTATTAAAACAAAAGCAGATGTAGTAACCCCAAGTGTGTGTATGTGTGCTTGCATATATTAAAGCAATTATAAAACGACACAAGTGTGGCTTAGGAACAAACTTAGTGGAGTAACTGCAGTCTGATTATACAAGTAATGGGAATTCCACTGTAAAACCAGGTAAAGAACTACAACTTGAATCGAAAGTGGATCCATAATCTTCAATATCAGACTGTTTGGTCTTTATGGTGCTGATATGTGTTACCCATTGTAATTATCAACACGGGTTAGATAAGATAGGAGGGTGCAGCTGTTGCTGTTTACTCTTTTCACTAAACAAGGAGCGTTTAAAAAAAGCTGAACCGTAAAGCTGTCTCCACCGTCGCGCAGAGCACAGTTCAAGTTCTGTTTTGACCTTTATTGTGCTTGGCTGGTATGAAACAGGATACACCCAAATCATCTATCTTGTAAAGCTCTTTTTTTACACTCTACCATGTGATTTGCCTAGAATAGATCAAAGTATAAACAACTATATTATAAACTTTTACCTAAAATGGGCCCATAAAAAGAGGGTCCAGGTAGAAAATTCAAGAATCTGCTTGTAATTTTTTGTCCAAAATCTGCTCACATAACTCAAGGAAAAATAACACTTTCTTTGCTCATAGTAGTGTTACAGGAAAAAGGAAATATATTATGACGAATGAATGATAGGAAAAAGTCCCATCCAGCCCCCTGTCTGACTGTCCAGCAGCTTGTGTCAGTGAGCAGCAGCTGGTCCTCTGGATCTGTCACTCACTCACCTCAGAGAAAAGGAGGGCGAGGGTGTGCTTTCTTTATGGAGGCAAATACAGATTCATGTAACCCGTCTCTGACATGGACATGACAAGGAGATGATATCAAAGCTTTTCAAATTGACTTTATGTTAGACAGGAATATAAATAAATGTACAAAAAATCCCATTGTGTATTTAATGTTTTTTTCCTCCCTTTTTCTGTCTGTTGGTAGAGCTTCTGTTCCCTCCAATTTAACTTATTCTTCTGGTTATATTGGTGTGGCACATTCCTTATAGACTTAATCCCTGTCTTTGTGTTTGACAGGTCTTTTGAAGTTTTGTCAGACGTTTCAGAGCACCTGGCCTTTACTTTTCTCCCTCCTATCTCTTTGTGTACTCTGATCATGCACACACAGTCGAATTCAGTGTTTGAGCAGAATTTCTGAGCCTCAGTATCTCCCTCTGTATCTTCCACTGCTGATTTCTGTCTCTTTCGTAAACAGAGAAACAGACACAACATTGTACAAGGGGTGCTTTTATTGGAAGATATGCGGTAGAACAAGCAAAGCCTTCTTGTCGATGTCTCGGCACATTCGAGGCTGAAAGAAGGAGTCTTCTTTCTGCTCATGGTGCTAGTACACCATCCTTATCCTGCTGGGGTGACCCAGATTGGCGGCACGCAATTAGTGGCATGTCTACAGGGTTTTAGGAGGAGAATTAGTGGTAGACAATCCAACAGTGAAGGATTTTTTTAAAGATTGGGGGAGATTTTTCTAACCCATGCTCTTAAATATACCCTTTTTTAACTAATCACAACTTCATCATTGACAAACAGTGTTTGTATGTTTCTTACCTTTTACTCATAAATCTCTATTTGTCGTGTTGTTTCCTTCCGCAGCTGATGACCCATTTGAGGATTTTTTTGGAGGTGGTCGCAGTCGTCAGACGAGTGCAAGCCGGAACAGAATGGGGGGATCGCTCTTTGGTTATGGAGGTTTCCCTGCATTTGGGCATAGTTTTTCAGGGTTTGATTCAGGTGACCACTCCAACAATTCACTTCACACCTATTGTGCTTCCGATCCGATTTTACTTATGTTTTCCTTGGACTTGTGCTCCTTTGTAGGTTTTAGCGCATTTGGAGACATGGGCGGAGGAGGCTTCACTTCCTTCTCTTCGTCATCCTTTGGTGGTGGTGGCGGCGGCGGTGGAGGAGGAGGAGGAGGAGGAGGAGGAATGGGCAATTTTAGATCTGTGTCCACGTCCACCAAGTTTATCAACGGCAGAAAAATTACCACGAAACGGTACTTGAGATCTATCACCTTTTTAGAGAAACTGATTGAAATCCACTCTCATGCCTGTACCTTAATTTTTAAAAAGCCTAAGCCTACACTACTTTAGTTTTAATCAACTAATTAATCAATTTTGATTTATACAGCACCAATATTCACCTTATTCTTATTCTTATTCACAACAACTGACAAGACTAGATTTTTTTTACAAAGACCCAAAGTAAAGATGGGATGAGATTGAGCCCCACTCATGTGTTAGTTTTAGCTTCACTTTTACCACACAAATAAACAGTGTTATCGTTTCTGTCATTTGAATCTTGACAAAGAAAGAGAAGAGGCCTAATTACAAAAAATGACAGGCTGCTTCCTCTTCCCTAGCTTCACTTCCTGATCTCTGTCTGTGTTTGTTACAGGATCGTGGAGAACGGCCAGGAGCGCGTAGAGGTGGAAGAGGACGGTCAGTTAAAGTCTCTAACAGTAAATGGTAAGGAGCAGCTCCTAAGACTGGATAACAAGTAATTCTCTCTCCACAACATTCGACAAACATACAGTTTTCACACCTGGAAAAAACTCGCACAGTGACTATGTTTGCTACTGACCATTGGTCTCACCTCTCTGTCCTCCTGCATCTCACCCTGAAGAACATGTTAGCTTAGCTGCAAAGAGAGGCAAGCGAGGTGTTCGCTGTATTTGTATATTTGTATTTATTCCATTATTACAGGGGGGACCATCTTGCTGGAATTTGATTTTGTTTACTACAATGGTTGAATTGTACTTTTTATTTCTGCCATGTGAACAAGCTGGGTACGTGCTATATATGTACTGTTTTACTTAATGAATTGGATATCGTCTTTCTTAATGTTGCAGGAAAACAAAACACTGTATTCTAAGACTCATGCATGTCATTTTTTGCTCTTTTCATTCGACCAATTTAACAAATGAATGTTGAAAGCTTAACCACTTTGCCCTAATGTCTTTAACTTGAACTCCACCTTGCTAACCTGTTAGCTGTTACCATGTTCACGCGTGTGTGATAAGAATGACATATATTATTAATAAATTAATGATTATAGTGTGCATTTTATTTCTTACTTTTGCATTTGTTTCTGTATTTGAGATTTTCACAGTGTTTGATTTGTTTCTGCATGACTGCTGATTCCAGGAGGCTGCTCTGTAGTTTAACTCTATAAGCAGCACAAACCATTAACACAGAGCGCACAACACATTACACTGATTCCGGACAACCAGGGGAATTTTCAGTCTTTGTAAATCTAAAAACGACGGAGTGAGGAGCTCAGATTTGGTCAATAAAGTTTAGTTTGTGGAACTTTGTGGGGAGGCTGCTGCAGTCACCTGGTGTCTTTTGTGTGATGTCTCTCACTCTTCCTGGATGTTCAAAGTTGCTGTGTGTGTGTGTGTGTGTATATGCCTGTGCCTGATCACATCTTAAACCTGCTTCACACGGACTGCATTAAGGGAAACCAGCAGCTGCTTTTTTTATTGAACACTCACCCCTCATACAGCTCACGTGTGTATTATTTTAACCTACTAATGCCTCCATTAAGTGAAGGTGACTCACTTTGGGCTTGGTCACTGACACTACAGGGAAACGGGAATGCTTCCACTGAAATAATCCTCAGTCTAATAGATCATGAGAAAAAATCACTTTGTTTTCAGCAGACAGACGCCTCTCTATCCCTGAAGCCTGAGGCATTTTGCTCTTCATGGTAGGTATGCTTTACCTTTATGAAACAGTGGAGAAGGAAACACCCACTTCCAGGATTCACGTGCCCTTTCGAGTGTTTGTTTCTCTCCTTGCCACTCCTAGTAGGACATTCTTAAAAGTTTGTAAAAGTGCAGATCTCCTTCCAAACCCTACAAACCAAGGGCTAAGGACAAAATAAGAAGTTCTGTCTTTCAAACAGGGATCTTGTTTCTTAACTGGAAAAATCTAATTAACACTTCAAATGCTGCAGGTTCCAACTTGTTAAGTTTTATAACAAGTTTTTTACTCAGATTTCGTTAAATTGTGCAGAGTGTGTGATAGTAGTTGGCTGAAAGGTCAGCATGCACAAAGAAGAGCCTGTGTGTGTCTTGAGGAATGCGCTCTGAGCGAGTTTATTTACATAAGGCTCGCTGCATATTTTTCAGAGACAAGTCAGGAGTACTGGAGGGAAAGAGAGAGAGAGATAGAAGTGCTGGGTGAGGCCTTGAGTTGAGCTAAGCTATAACATCCTGGATAAACCGTGTGATTTATAATAAATTATAATAACATTATCAAGTAACAATGTCGTGCCTGCGTATGGGTTTTAGGTTGTTATCACTTCTTTAAACATGTGGTTTATATTCCTTCTTTCACTATCTTTTCCCTTTTGTTGATTGGAAAGGCGTATGCGCTTGCGCAGATCTGTTGCTAGGTGACACTGCAGCCCTGCGCCAGTCAATTGCTGCCCTTACTTTTCATTTTTGTATCTCTGTGCAAGTCTGTTTCCATTTTAAAAATGATGTAACTGGATATTTGTGGATGGAAATTATGAAACGAACCAGCGTGATACCTACATCACCAGACTTGGGTAATTAAATGGGTGATAGGGCACCACAGCGTGAATAAGGTCGAAGAATTGAATAGGTGTTGCTGGTGCAGGTTTTTATTTACAGTGCGATAGCGCCCTCTGGTGGGACAACAGAAGTTAAATTATTTCGAAGTAAAGCTTGCTTCTTTTTATTTCCCTTTCTTTTTTTTCTTTTTTGTAAATAACTACCATGCATTATACACAAGACTACTCATACATTTTTATCTCTTTTTGCTTCGTTCAGAAATGTTCAGTTCACTATGATGTATTTTGATACCAAGAGAACAAATGACATCAAGGAGTTTGGTATTAAGAATTCAACTTTATTGTTATTGCACATGCCACAAGTACAGAGCAACGAAATGCAGTTTGCATCCATCCAGAAGTGCTTAGCAAATGTAAATATATTTACAAATGTACATGGTATGAAGGAGATATATACAGTAGTATATCACGGGTATATAACATTGTTATGAATATGCTATAACTATACGTATGAACAGGCTATAGTAGTGTATGTATAGGCTATGAACAGATTATACATATGGATATAAATATGAAGGCTATAAACAGACTATACATAGATGTATTTACAGTAGCGCAAATGAGGTTTGAAGGTTTTAAATTGGTTTACAGATATAAAGTGCAGGTAATTGTAGATAATTGTAAGTAGTGGTTCAGTGGTTGTTTGTGTGTTTGTGTGTGTTCAGTCCATGAGTGTTTATACGGTTCAGATTTTTGTACTTGTATTTGACAAAAATGCCGTTTTTTTAGAGTACCCACAATTCCTAAAGATAAAAGAATAATTTAGAAAAATAGCCTGAAGATTTAAAACTACTTCCCTTTATATTTACTACAGAGATTAGATTGATGAGAATTAGGCTAAATATTTTATTGTGTGAGTAAAATTAAAAAATCAAATCAGAGTTTAAATTTGTTGATTCTTTCCCCTCATATTTCTCTTAAACTTTATGTGTGAGGACCCCAGCATAAACCCTCACTTTACCACCCCCAATAAGAAATATAAGAATGATTAATCTATAATTTCTATGTGGCTTAAAAAATGGCTACCTGACTTTAAATTTCATGTACACCAAAAGACCACAAGATGTCGCTGTTTCTATTTAAAAAAGCATGACATACGTCCTCAATGAGCATTGCAACAATTACAGTTTTAATTAGTAAAAGAAAACCAGATTGTGATTATAGAGGCTACTTTTATGTGTTGATATATATTTTTTTATTTTTATTATACTCGTGTTAGTCTCAGTATAACAATCACAATTAATTTTGAAGTATTAGATAGGCTTTGAATATTAGTCAAATTTACTTTACAAGTCTTGCAGCCATGTCTCCTGCATCCAGTCAGTCCAATATGACAACCACCCCTGTGATTTCCTGTCTCTGACTGTCTCATTGTAATGAAAGATGGCTTCCTGTTGGCAGAAAACAGGATCCGGTTATCTCCCCCCTCCAACCCCAACCCCATCCCTACCCATAACCCATACACACCCACAACCCACACACACACACTTACCTGCTCCCTCCTGTCTGCTTGACAGCAAAGCATGAAACATCAAATAGGCCCAGGGCTGCTGGCCACTTTATGAACGATGGCAAAGATAAGCTGCCAGTTTCTGTTTGGCCGTGTCTGAACGAGAACTCAGACCTTATCTCTGCTGTATGTCACATCAGCACGACAGCAGATGTGTTGAACTTTGGGAAGGTGGGCTGTTGAAAATAATCTGGCCCGTAGTTGTAGCTGTCGTGTAGAGTTAGCCTCTGCCTTAACTGTGATTTATTTTAGATTTAAGGCTCCAGAAGCATAAATTAGAGGCTGATTTTGTGTTTTTTCTTGAAGAGCAAACATCTTAAAAGATTCAAACACTTGAGTTTAGCTTAGGGACATATGACAGGCACTCTCAAGACAAAAGCTGCAAATGAAAGCAGGCAGTAAGTCAAATCTGCTCTTTAAATGAAGCAACAGAAGAGCTCATTATCACCACTTCTATTAGCTTTTTTTTTTTTAGTTAAAATTAATGAATGACGATGCATCATGCCACTTGATTGCAGATGTAATCTTACCAAAGCAGTAACTGGGACAGAGACAAAAATGACGATCCTTTAGGTAAAGAGCAGGGCTAAAGTCTCACATATGTCAGTCAAATCCAGGTGTCTAACTTCCCCTGATAGGATCACCAGACAAATGCAGGTTTGGATTTTTACCCCCCAAAGCTGGGCAGTAAACGAAAAGCTCCAGCTTTGAGAGTAAAGCCAGCAATTGTCCTTTTTCTGTTGCTCCACTGGGCGCTGGTCTCTCCTCACAGAGGTCAGCTCCATGGGCTGGACTTTAAAAAGCTGTTTTGCAAACTCTGAAATGAAGAAATCCAAGTCCCTGCGCCACAGCGGGATGAATCACCTTAAAGTTCAGGTGTTTTTAGCAAGAAAATAAGCTACAAATGCAGCCAATTTCAACCCTAACACACTCGAAAAGCGTTGTGACATAGAGAGAGTCTGCAGTAATAAGATGTCTGTTCAAGGAGAATTGGAAATCCAGGTAAGTCTTTGTCTTTGTTAGTACATGCAGACTGTCCTTGAATGGATCCAACCCTCCATAAAAGAGGACAACCTCTCTCTGAAGAACACATCATGCCATTTAAAACAAGCAAGCAGGCAAACAAACAAACAAAAACATCAAGAATATAGTGTTGCAACAAGTTCGCAACCTTCTACATCATCTGACTTTTCTTCTTTTTACCTGGTTTTTGGTGGAAATATAAGCATATAAATAATGTTTTTTTTAGTTCTATTGAGCAACAGAAATAAAAAAATAGAGAAAGAAATGCACCATCTTTTTAAAATATTCATTAAAATTAAAAATCTCAACACAAAATAGAAGAAAAATTGAAGTGTAACTGTTTAAAACTGCATGAGGATGAAAAACAAATGGAGCTCAAGGTGGGGCATCTCTAAAGGCTGTAAAAAGATGAAAAAGACAGCACATCTTTCACATATTTCTACATTTTATTTTCTGCATGAATGACTGAAATCACTCTGTGTTCTTAGAAAGGTAGCTTTAGCCCCCAACGTGCAGAAATATGTCTAACAAAGCCGCCATGTCTCTAATGACTTGTGATGCGTTTAAGGCCCCACTATGTCACTTCAGAAATGCTGCTCCAGTTCCTCCTCTAAACAGGACCAGGTTCAGCCCGGCGAGCATCTGGCCCCCTTTCTTTTCCTCTCCACCGCCTTAATTACACAACACAATAGCGATGAGATCTGCCTGTAATCTCACAGAATAATAAGCCCCCCCCCTCCACCTCATACCCTGCCTGCCACTAATTCAATATAAATGTAAATTACCTAGAGAAAAGAATAACCAAATCTCATTTTATTTACATGACTAATCACAATAAAGGCAGGCAGATGAAATATGAATGAAATATAAGGGCAAGGTTTGAAAAGAAGGGAGCGCTCTGTGTGGCCGTAGGGACTCTTTGAACTTCTTGTTTTATATCATCTTTGTTGTTTTTGCGTTGGTTACATCAATACACCTTTTTTGCACTCATGCTCAGCTTGCCGTAATAGATGTGTGTGTCTGTTTTTATTCACACCGCCAAGGGCAACACAAGGTAATATGTTTCCCTTTCAGCTCACTTTTTTTTTTTGCCTTTTTTTTTTATTTATGGGCGCTATGTAGAAAAAAAATAAATACAGATTTAATGTTGGTTTGAACACCTCAGGCCATCCACCCAGACAAGGAGAAGAGAGGGTTTAGGTGTGATTCATTCCCACTTTGCTTTTCTCTGCCCACACCCACAGACATCACGGCAGACGACTCCTCGGAGGAAGACTTTCGTCGCCGCAGACAAAATGCACTCCCTGGCCTCAGCCTGCACCAGCGCTACCTGAGGAACTCCGCCCAAAACCCCTCAGAGGAAGAGGAGGAGCACGGCTTCCAGAGTCTGGGAGTAACAAGAGGTTCGCCCACCCGCCACCGCAGGGGCTGATTAATTACCAGCACACACACAGCTCCCTTTTAAAGAGTAGGGTCTTAATAAGCGCAGCTAATTGTCTGCTTTTGTGTCTGATGGATGCACAAAGGGCGATGACGGAGAGTGTGCGTGTGATTGGCAGATATAAACACAGGGGACAGAGGTGTTCATTAGGCAGCTCTGTTCTACACCACAGTAACCACTTGAGGTCAGAGGTCACCCTCTGTTTTCCTTCCTAGGGTCAGGAAGTCGCACACAAAAGCGGAGCAATTATCTGCAACACACAGTCTGTGAATGTTTTATAAGAGCTACTTCATTAGTTAAAAAGGGGAACCTTTAATTTTAACTTTGCACATTTCCTACCGGCACATAGCGTTCCTAATTCTCTCTGTGTGAGATAACGCCAAAACTTCTCATGTGGGAAAAACTTGCAACCAAATGCGACATATTAAAGATCACTGGGTGTTGAAGACGGTAAGGGCCTGTGTTCATCAAAAGAGTTGATGAAAACACGCCCTAATTTCTAAATAAAACAAAGGTACTAAAAACCAAACACTGAAACCCTCCTCCACTCTTCACTACTTCCTCTGTAACCAGTTTAAATAAAAAAGGGGCAATAAAAATAGGGGCAGGACTTCTCATGTTAAATTTTCCAATAACAATGGCAAAAGTTAGCTTTGTATGATTTATCTCATGCATTCAGATCCTATCTCTTCAACTTTATTCTTATGTCTAGAGCCGCTTCAGAGGACGTTTCTTTTTCAGTGTTCAAATTTTGCTCCAATAAAAGAGCAAGAATGGAGAGCAATTTAGAACAGACTTAATGCTTTCTACCAAGGGAAGGGGAAGTGTCAAGTGTAGTTATGGGCGCTGCATGTGCAGAAAACCCCATTAATGGAAACTGATAGTCTGATCAGTGAAATCTGTAAGAATCTGTGGAAAGTCAGCGGGAAAAGTTTTTGAATTAACATCAAGCCATTATCCACGGCTTACAGACTCTACATAGTGGCTCATGGCTCATCTACTGAACTACATAATGATAGTGTTTTTATTTTGTTTTGTAGGACACACAGATACAAAAAGGAAGAAACTGTGGCAAAAGGAGGCGGAGTCCAGAAAGAAAAGATCTGCTCGGTTCTTCCCTCGGTTTGGTGGACTTGGTACTTTTTTTTAAAACACCTGCAGCCAAAACACCTACGCAGACACAAACATACAAACATATATATATATGTGAAGTTGTTGTCTATATGTGAAGCGCCATCAATGACATGTGGCATTAGTTTATCACGTCTGTGTGTTTAAGGCAAACACCCACACTGCTGTGTCATTCAACTTCAGTTCAGAGCATACTCCAGCCTGTATTCATCCGTAACCTATGGAGACCTCACTGAGATACATCTGTGGTAGTTAAGCTTTTTTTATTGCTGTATTTATTGTGGATGGGTCGTGTGGATGTATAGTTGTGTGTCATAGGAACTCCAGCGATCTCCTGTAATCTGACTTTTCTTCTTTTACAGCGTTCATCTTTTAAAATGTGTGGATGGAGAATTATCATCCGATTCTCGTAAGCAGGGAAATATTTTCTTTAAAAGCATCTGAGAATGAGCAAAAATCTATGTTTTTTTAAGATAAATAGAGAGAAAGAGAGGGAGAGAATATGAGAAAAGAGTGAAATGAAGGGTCTGATAAGTGAGTTTTAAAGCAGAAGGACATTAGCTTTACACAACAGAATGGACAGTGAACACTACAGCTGTTACATTAAACAATCTAATACCTGCTCAAGGTCACATCAGTCAAAAAAACTCTGGATTCACCCCAGCACACAGGATTAAAAAGTACAGCCTTATAACCTTCATGCCATTGTTTTCATTTTATAAGTGGATTATTTGTACTATAAAGAAACCAAACGTTTTGTGAAAAAGTTTTGTGAATCAATATCTGTTTTTTCTTTTTTTTTGTCTGACTTTTCTTTGAGACTTTGTTTCTGGAAAATCAAAAGTCATAGATGTCAAAGAGTTCATTTTTATATGGACCCTAACCAATAAATGCTTTAAGAAAAACGTGTCCAACTTTTTAGTAGTTGTACAGTATATAATGTCATCACGCCATCATGTGTCATTAAAGAACTACTCATTTCATGTTGATTCTTGATGATATATCAACACCAATTCAAGTGGAAAATGATATGCACCCAGTAGTGGTTATTAATGAAATAATTTATTCATTTATTTTAGACCTGATTAATTTTCTTTCCATTGCCAAGTCACCTGCGCCGTTTCCTGCTGTAAACACCACACTGCTAAACACAGAAGCAGGACCAAAACAGTCTGGATTTCCCTGTCACATGAGCAGAGCCCAAAAGAAGCAGTAATGGGAGATTGTTTTGAATGAGCCTGCAGTGTTTTGTATTATTCATGTGGCAATGCATGCACATGACCCAGCAACTCATTTGGCCCTTGTTCCCATGCAGCCAGTATTCTCTGAGGGTTTAATTAAACAGTTTTGAGGCACTAGCCAATCTCCCTACATTGCCTTACTTTTCACAGCCCTCCTCGTCCTGAAGTCACACAACTGTTTCTGACTGACTTAAAAAAAAAAAAGAAAAAAATGTGAAATCCTCCTATTGACTTCCACTCAGAGGATGTCTACCTCCTGGAGAGAGAAGAGTGAAGCAAAAGCTCACAGTCAGCCACCGTCTGCCTCCTAAAAAAAGGAAAATCACCTACTATCTCTCAAAAGGAGCAGAGCACATTACCACAATTTACACATGGAGGGAAATCATGTTAAAAGTAGGTAATTTAACATTAAAAATGGTGGATTTCTTAGAGGAAGCTGTGCAGTTTTTTCCTTTTAATTTGATATAATTTTGACATAACCTTTGATTTTAGTACTTGACATACTTAAAGCATAGATTAAAAAGATGGGTGAGAGAACAGCTCCCCAAAGGAAAAGCAGAAATGTAGAACTTCCCCTGGTGACTGGCTACAGTGGGTCATAAAATCTTCAAAAAAAAAGGAAAATATGGAGCATGGCTCAAACTAGAAATTGAATGAATCTTATTATGACAGCTATTTTTACACCGATTTATAAGCAAGTGGAAATTTAGCTGACAAACGTTGTTTTGATTAGTTATTTGATGCCATTATGAGGGGATTTGATGCTATTATTGACACTATACCTAGAAATATAAAGTAAAACATAGGGGCCATCCCCCCGCCTGATGACAGTACCTGTGCAGAGAGTCAGTGCCCACTGTGAGGGTGTTTTGGCTTCATTTCTTTAGACTGGTGGGGCAGTTAAGGCCCTTACACACCGGGAACGACGCAAATATATGACACGGAATTACAAACTATTCAGAGGTGAATTTTGACGCGCCTGACTATACACATGAAGCATGATGCAATTTTGTGACTTTCCGGGGGGAAAAAAAGATGCGTCCCGGGTGGAAGCGAGAAGACTGACACAACAGCAGACTGACTGATTTTTTGTTCTGATTAGACACTAGTGTTGAGATGACTGTCTGTCATGATAGCATGTACTGAGTCGAGTCCAGTACCAGATAAGCACATTAAACTATAATCCATAAATGTAAGTGTAATGGTGCAGTGTAAATACATATGGTATGTTGTATCTGAACAGGTTAGCTTACAAGCTAAAGTTACTTAGCACAGATGAAAGTTAAAACAAAGACGTTTAGCAAACTGTTAAAGCACACAAACCATCATCATATGAGAAATCCGACGCTATGACTCTCCACAAGTTGTCCTTCAGGTCGTTATCTTTGTAATATTTGTGTTATTTATCAAAAAGCACTCTGTTCTCCGACACGTAAACAATCAGCCGGTCGGCCATGTTGGATATACCGGAGAATCTGACGTCGCAACAACATGAAATCTTATTGGTCGGAAGTGGACACACAGTATGCGAAACTTTAGAAAATTTGACCGTGATACAAAAAAATAAATGCCGCAATACCGCATTATGGGAAAATGTCGCTGATGTGAACGCTTGTATTGACAGGAATCGGGTTAAAAAAAAATTATTGACGTCCAAAATAATCGCACGAAAAAAACGCTCCCAGTGTGTACCTTTAGGCAGGACCTTTAGACAACAGCTATTTACTCAGTTTGATCATGTCTGACAGTGTGTCTGGCATACAAGCCAAAATGTTAGCATGGACGGGGTGCAACACTAGAGATGGCTACAGTTTTACAGCAGCTGAAGAGTTAACTTAACTTTATGTAAGCCAAGTAGCAAGGAAGTGGTTGAATCCTAACATTTGCAGCTGCCAGTCAGTCGCAGTTATCAAAACGGTGTTCTACCTTGAAAATAATGCGGATAAATGTTAAAATCTCTTCAGATAGCAAGTTATTTGTATCTTTACCTGGGCAGAATCTTTTCAGAGCTTGTAAGAGTTTTAGCACCTGTTAGCTGAATCAAAAGAAAGTTGATAAAATACTCTATTAAAAATGTTTTATTCATTTCAGTCAAAGAGGAGAGGAGTCAGAAGGCCATAGTTCAGCCAGTTCAACGCAGATGGCCCCTTATATTAATCATAAGTGCTGCGGCTGTTCAGCAGAAGGTCGTGACTCTACAAATGCAAAGTGCTGTTTGAATCAATTCACTGAGCTGCTTTTTTGACTCTACATGACTGAATTAAATCAAGATAAAGCAAATGCACCTTATTTTGCACCTGAGGCACTCAATCCATCTGGTGAACAAATTACTCACAAACCTGTTGTATACCAAATAATCTCTGTGAGAAAATGTGTGACTTAACCGCTTGTCAGAGAGCTTTTGTGCTCAAGGTTCAAGGCGTACAGCGAATTTTGAAGCTTGACTCAAAGAAATTTGTTTTAACTTTTTTTGTGTGTAGTTTTTTTTCTTGCTTGCGAGATTGAATGGAGGCAGAAACAGGAAACACAAAGCGAAACAAAAAGCTGTGTAGTTGTGCTTTATTTCGCAGCTGCTGTCAAAAAGGGATTTAGTTTGAGTTAAACTGGAGTAAGATTTTTCTAAAGGTGCACTCTGCAGATTAGGAGAGAGGGACCATCACTTAACGTGTCCTTTTGGCTAACTAGTGAGGGGAGTAGAAAGATTTACACCGCCAACAACATTAACAGCTTTCTTTGAAACAGTGTCTCTAATAATATATGGGCTGATTTGTATCTTCTTTTGGATTTCATTTTGGCAAGTCGCTTGCTCTTCACTCCGGTCCAAATGCAACAAAACAAATCTTAACATTCCTCTGTGATTGATTTTTCATGCCTTGTTTGTGTATTTGCTCACGCTGCCTCGTATCGTATTAGCGGTATTAATGATGCTTTGTCTGGGGAATGGAAAATTGATTCATGTAAGTCGGAACAAAAGCCTCAAGTTTTGTTTCTGTGTACAAAATGGATTCCAGGCATAATAACTGTGGATCCACAGTGGTTAAGGTGGTTTTATCTCTTCAGCGCAACAAATGGGAGCCTGCAGGAACTCTGACTCTGTGCTTGTAGACTGACTGAAGTTTTCATCTGACTCAGGTGGCTGTTCTCTGACAGGGATAGAAATGAGTCTGGACAGTCTCAATGTCGCTTAATCCCAGGATAGAGAGGCTCACTGTGAGCAGGATGTGCTGTATGTACTGTTGGTGGGTCGGATCACAGAGGACACCCGCAGAAGAGGAGGAAAAACTCTGAGAACAGGATTAAGAACCACTTACTCTAAGTCTATAACCGTGCAAGTGGTTTTGTCTGTTAAAATGCAGCTTCATGACTGAATTACATGAGTTTTGCTTTATGTCTCACTCACAACGAACATTGTGGGTGTTCAAGTTAAATCAAAATATTCTTTTACAAATAAATCTAGAATAATGTACAAGTATTCAAGGCACATACACAATCCATTTTAATTATTTATACCATCGTTTAATACAGTTTTCCAACTGAAGTCTGAAAACAAAAGTAAGTCTCTCCATACAATAAATTTTAATGTTGGAGGATCTAATTGTGACCATTTTCTGGTTATGGATTTCCTACTACTTGCTGAAAGTATCTTCAATAAGTATTTATCCTTCTGTTTCCAGTACTCCATTCCTCTAAAATGACTGGATTATCGGACAGGAGTTATTTTGATTTTATGGATTTTTAGGAGTTATAAAAAATCTCACTACATTCTTCCAGTCGAACTCTCTCAAAGATCGTAAGTTTAAAATTTGCAGTGGTCACTTGTGTCTCACATATTTCCATCCAGATCTCTTCTGATATTGTGTTTCTACTCCTTTTCCCATTTTTGTTTCATGGATGATTTTTCGAGGCATTTAAACCAGTCTCCAACTTTAAACCAACTTTTTATTGTCTCTCTTTTGGTATGCATCATGATCTCTGATTATAACGTAACCTATTTTTACTTTTTCACTCCTGTACAGCACCTCCTTCAGCTCTCATCTTATTTTCTTGTTTTTCATTCCTCCTCTTGCTCGTCTTGGATGTATCTACCATTCATTGTCCCCAGGGGGGGCTTCGTGATAGCATCTGTTTCTTCATGTCATTGTCTAGTCTTTCCCACATATTTGACCCTGAGACAATTCTTCTTCCATTTTTGCTTTGAGTTCACTTCTATCTGCTCTTCTTCGATGGATTTCCACAAATGTTTCTTTCAAGGCCGCCACAAGAGGAGGAGTAAAGCAGCTTACAAATCCTACAGCCAAAAGAATCAGAGAAAAATCACACAAAGTCTCACCTGAAATAAAGCTCAAGTTGGTTTTGCTTCCAAAGAGAAGAAGAACAAACCCTTTAATAAATTTGGATGGTATATTGGAAATAATGACCTTGGATGTATTTCACTGAGGAATAATACCCTACAACTCAAATAACAGTCCGTTGATTGAGCCAAGCCCTCCTACAAAAAAAGCTGCAGTTTCAAACTGTGAGACAAAAATAAAGAGCAATAATCTACAGGCTATTTTGATGCCAAAACTTCCCCCTCCTGCTGAGCGCAATCAGCGCACACTTGTACGAAAACATACATGCAGTGAGGTGACGAAATGAGGGGAAAACCATGCGTAAATCAGTTTCAGTTGCTGCTGACAAAAAGCTGTGAGTTTAACGTGAAGGCTCTTGTCTGATTTATTGTGCAGCAATAATTTAACTATTTTTGCAAGTGTTGAGGGTTTTGACTCCGACTGTATCTACCGTAATAAACTCAGACACAAAAACTGTTCAGCACCACGAGGACAAGCTTC